TTTTGTGCTGGATATGTTGAAGTATCCATATACAGTCTTGTACCTGGTAGGGTGTTCCACATGTTGTAGCCAACCCTCTGTTTCAAGAATGCTTATGAAGTTATCAAAGCGCTCTGGATAGCTGACCTTAACGCGCCAGATATAACTTTCGCTGTGTGTGGTAGTGCTGCCACGCTAGCGAACATGCTTGTTAGACTGTCGTCGTATGCGTCTGGGGAGGAAGGGGGCCGGTAAATGCATCCTGTAAGGAGGGATGTGGGACGAGTAAGTTAGGCGATAATCCATACTGAGTAGTCAATCTCGTTTAGCTCAGATGTTGGACACTGCGTATCAGTAATGTGGAACTTTATATAGATAATGCACCCTCTTCCCTGGTCTGTATAGGTTTTTATCAGCCTTCGAGTTGACTTGAGAGGCATTCTGATCGGCCCAAAACTGCTCCCCGGATTATGGAATCCTGAGTTACCTAAGTCGAGGCTGAAGGCTCGCGAGGTGGTCATGGAAACCTCGACGTTTGTGTTGTCCGGTAATACACATGCACTTCAAATGGTGACGAGAACTGTTGGCGTCTGTCCTACTTGGGATTTATCTGCATTAAGAGAACCTCATTCGGAATATTTCGTCTATCAGGCTAGACCTTCATAACACTCCTGTAGTTTCGCTGACTTGGCTAGCAATATCGTTTCATCGAAACCTTTAGTCTACCCCCTGTCAGTCAATCCTAGTAGCCTCGACTGACTGGCTACATTAGCTTCCAGTTCTTCTCAGCGGTCACCCTCCGGGAACCACCCGTTCTGGTTCTACATACGCATCTGGGTCTCACGGCTAGACTTGTGTTCCATGTGTAGACGCCAGAGTAACGAGTGGCTGGGGGTAGGTCAACCTGCGTTGTTTTCCTTTGCACATCCTGTCGTTCCGCCGCATTCAATCTTTCACCTCTCCACCATTGTTAATCACATTTTTGTGATGATTTTATGCCGAGCTAAAATGGTAGATCTAGCGTATTGAGGTGGATACCGAGACCACGTACAATGGGTGACAGTGACCCTCGTAAAAGTAACCAAACCTGCACTTGTGATCACTTAGAGGTCGTGCGAATGGCCGACCTATGTAAGTTGCGATCACTTACCATCCATATTAGGCCTGAGAGAACTTCCGTACTTGGCGTAAACCAGACTGTGTCTACAAAGCAGAAGCTCAGGGACAAGTGAAAGAACAAAGTAGCCAGAATCACTACACTGCAAACCGTGGCATTGTTCCCAAGGAAAACAAGTTTCAACGCAACATCTCATGACTGGAGTATCAGCGAGGCCTTCGTGCGCAGCTTGTGACATCGATGTTTACACGGCCACTGCGACGCCAAAACATCCCAACAGTGAAACAAGTTCGCAAAGAGGTAACCATGCAGATAGTTCTGAGCCTTTAAAAACTGTATTCCATTGCACAAAGTAGAGTCAACACAAAAGAATAAAACAAAGGGGTCTGAGACGGAACGCTAGATTCCCCGGCCAGGAGCTCTAGAATGCAGTCACGACCACTGGTCCCTCAAAGAAACTATGCGATGCCACCCGTTGGGGGACCTAACGGATGCGCATCCCAACTGGATTACGTTCTGGGGAACGATGATCCTCTCGCTGAGAACATGTTTATCAAACTACCCCCTAGTCCCAGTGTTATAATGCCGCAGTAACTTCCCTTAAATGGCCAAGAAGGCATCACCCAGAGATAGCCAACACCTTCCCGTCCTACAACACTGCCAACTATGAGACTGAGAGATTATCTCACTAGCGTTTCACGGCTTGATGACCAGACGAGTTCCACAATTAGTGGGGGAGATAATTTTTGGAGCCATCAGTCACAGTGTACCAGGGATAACACCCCAACGATCCGTGAGAACATTTTGACTAAAGTGCAGGACAGATGGGCTACTTCACGACAAAACGTAGGCTTGCTTCAGGTGGAGTTCCCTACGCAGGGGTTAAAGTTCTCGAACTACAAAAGAATTCGCCACCACTGCGACAGTATATGGGTTGCAGATGAATGGAAAGTCAAAGGAGTGCACGGATCCTTTACAATTAGAATACTCAATAGGAGTGGGGACGCGAAATATGCCACCAAGTGCAACATCCTAGAACTTGAGCCGCCATGAAAACGAAGACTCGGACCGAGCCTGGTGCCGTTTTACGAGCTCATCAACGGGGTGACTTATAGTAAATGCACAAACATGTGGTTCATACACAACACTACACGTAGATTAAGAAACATAACCGCAAAAATGTCACCTAAGCATTTCAAAACGGTCACTGGGGAGAACGCTTTTGCGATAAAATACGCTCAGGTATGGGGCAGTTTGCCGAGGGGAGCGCATGAGTCAAACCCTCAGACTGGGCTTATAAGACAGCTTTACTCTACATTACAGGACAGTGCCACGAAAAGCACAACCAATACTGCTACTAAGACTATGGACATAATGGGACCTCTCAATATACATAAACGATTCCCGACTCCGAAGGTACAGAGGCTACACCTACTTTTGCCTTTCTTCTGCCAGAACTTCGGATAGTCGTGACACGGGGATATCAATGGACTATGAAGAAGCCACACTACGATGAAAACTTACCGAATAATTTGGAAATCTGAGCGCCAAACGGACATAGGATTTAACTGGAAACCTCGAAGACCCACATCATCAGGATAACCTTCAGTAGTGACATCAGGGCACAAATAAGAAATATGCGTTGCTAATTCTCAACCTTCCACTGTTTTACGAAACAATGAAAATGCGTTTTCGTGAGAATTACCGTCCAATAAGTAAGAATTACCGGCCTCATTGGGGCCGGCAGTGGTGAAAAAAAGTATGACTGAAAATGGTTTAAACTTTAACAGTCTGTATATGCTGAAAAGCAGTATTTTCTTGTTCATTTCATAAATTGTGGAATGTTCCGATTTTTTTAAATAGAATTGAATGACCTTGTTAGACCCAGAGCTTAGGGCTAGCGCTATGAACGATTTGCTTTAGACAACCACAACGAGGCATGTAAAAAGGCAATAGTAGAAGTATAACGCGTTTATTCCAGGCACTCTGGTTGGGGCAAGTTTAGCGGGCAAATCAAACGATTACATTAAAAGTTATTCATCATTCAGTTGCAGTCAACAGTGAATATAAAGTTTACAACAGATAGAAATTATAACCAAGTTTACTGGGGCCTACAACCTGCCTCCCGTACCATTCAGGTCCCGTTAGATCGTATGGATTTTTCAGCATGTGTCGATGTGTTGGTGCCCGTAACCTGGCTTTCATCATGTGAAATTATTAGTACGAGGAAAAGCCATTTATGATTATTACAACATAACAGCCCGTAGCGACAGGTTTATCTACCAAACAGACCTGGTGAGGAGGTTTTAACGTTTCCCCATGTCGAAAAGTTAACCACCAATTAGTGGTGGTAGTAGAAGGGGCTGACTGTGCGGAAATCCATAACTACTAGCAGCCACTAGAAATCTGTTCGTCGGAAAACGGTTTCAGCCGGAAATGGTGCATAGTTGTGGACAGCTGAACCCACGAAGCATAGTCGGACAGGTTCCAGTGCAGGACAAATAGCTGCGCTGTCACCAACGTACCTACGGGAAGACATATATGGCTCGAATTCTCTTCATGCTGCACACTTGATCTAACTACAAAGGGAAGGTAGCCAGAGTGGATAGCACATTACACTTTCTGCGTAGTTGGCTTGGTGCTCTCACCTGCGGACTGTTTCCCATGTTTTCGAGTCGTTTTCGAGCCGTATCTGTAAATTTTCAATCTGACAGCATCCCGAACACTCGGGAGAGGCTTCAGTCTACCCAAAAGCTCAAAGACTTGCAAAAATCAGTTGCGGGACCAAAGAGGAAGACATTTTATAATGGACTGAAATACTTGAACTCGCTCCCTTGGGCCACGGTGGAAAGAGAGTGACCTTGTTCTGGCCTGGAGGATCACTCGTCGGGCAAGTCATACAGACCTAATATACGTTGGAGATGGGCCTGCCAGACATCTTCGATATTTTATTTGCTGAGGATCCCCGGGTGGGACTGACTGAACTATCACTAACACAGTTTGCACCGGTTGTGGCAGTTTTGAGAGAAACAGTAATCGGAAGAGGCTATTATCAAACGTTCGTGCGCCCATAACCTTTTGCATGCGTGTGAAGACTTCAGTGGCTGAGTTGCTGCCAAGCTCAATGTTACGGAGCAATTTGTCTAGGTGCCGGCGATCAGTGGGATCACTTTTCTTCAGTAGTTCAGCATTGAGATCACTTACTTACTTAACATGACGGCGTGCCAAATGGCATGGATGTTTGATTGGGTGCCTTCAGCTTAGTGAGTCAAGTTAAACTGTCAAGGTCAGCATCAGGGTTGAATCTCGTCGAGGCCTAAGCTACTGATTCCGGAGAAGTGTGTTGCTCTACAACAGTTGTGACCCAACTCGGCTACCACTATCCACGTCTTATTCACCGCGCATCATCTGTCTCTCTTCGACTAACCTGCATTATCTGCTAACTTTTGTCTGGCAGGAAGAGGCAAAATATATACTTCTGACTTCCTGGTTATTCCTACATACCTTTCTTCACTATCTTGCCACTCATAGTCAGACAATTGCGCAGACGAGAGTCACAAGAAACCCTTAATCTTCCCAGCAATCCGCAGCTACCTGATCACTCTACAAATTCTAATTACTAAACCGCAAACACATTCAAGCTGTCGGGGCTAAAGTCAGGAGTGTATAAGAGGTGCATTTTCTCGCTACAGAAGAAAAGCTAACAACAAGAACTAGAATTGAGCGATCGGAATGTATCAGTTTCCTGCGCTCACACTTTGATGTTAGAACTAACATTAGATGTCTATTGAACGGGAAAATTACACATTGAGATCTCTTCACAAGCCAGAAAATCTATTCTCAATATCATAGCTTTATTAACCAACTGTTTTGTTTCTATTTTGAGTATAAACGACCTTGAGGTATACATAGTAACGTAAATTAGTACATCGTTTCGAAATGAAATAAACATGGCCAAAAACGCGAGTCATTCAAATACCCACACAATTCATATACATTTACTAAGAATTGTCAACAAAGTAATTAATAAAGCATCGTAATTACATGTTTAGGAAAAACTAAATGACGGAAGCAAGTATTCAGCCAAATTAGAGCATGGGGATTTCTCCTGTGGCGAGACTAATAAAGTAGACCAGAATGAAAATAATGAGCTCTTCTTTGACTATACCTTCAAATATGACAAGTCTTTCACCGATATGAAAACAATCGAGTCCTTGTGTTCCATACCATTCGTTTGTAAATCTATAATATAACATATTTTTAAAATCCAGTGTCTGTCTTTGAACAGAAACCAAAAGATAAAAAGCAGAAAGAAATCAAAAGCGAACTGCTAGGTCAGACAACCTTCGATTGTTTGCCACTTGTGAAAAATGTTTCTAAATTTCAGCTGAGCCTAAAATTATTTTGTTCTTCCTCTGCCACGACGTCAGGAGAGTTCGTATGATATTCTGATTTTATTTGATGTTGTATATTTTCTAGCCAACCGTCGAAATAGCAGTTTACGTTGACCAGCAGCTGCTTACTGATGAATCTTTCGAGAATTTAAATATTATTTACCTGAACGTTGAATCCATGCAAAACTTACCAGAGACTTTTCATTCCAAAGACCACAATATTTTTATTGCTGCATTACCAATGTTTACTGCAGTTCAGGTGAGTTCTTCGGTTTTCATACCTCTTACAAAAGGATGCCGAAGTACCTGTTATATCTAGCAAAGGATGTTTAAAATCTCCATCCGATGTGGATTATCTTGATTGTTCATTTAAATGGCCTAACAGTGGCACTGCTCGCAGTTTTGCAAATATACTGCAAAGCAGGTATTTTAAACCGAGTTTATTATAGTGAATAATAAGCCTTTCAGAAGATTTACTATCATCCTCTAAGAAAGAAGATGGTGATTATCCATTATCACAATACCCCACTCTTCGCGCTTCTGCTAATTCTGCTAGGAGTAAAGTTATCTGGAACCATCAGCACAGATGCCTGTTGAATAAGTCATCTGAATTTAAGCAAGTTCACTCCCGAAATTAAGCCATACTTACTGTTTTAGATTTAAAGAAAAGATATCTGTATCTAAAGTGTGGCCAGTGGAGGTATTCTGCATACCTAACAGCTCTTCTGGAAGAAAAAAAAAGGTAGTTAAAAATATTTCATTTCATGTAATCCTTCTGAGCAAATAGGATGAGGAATTGTCTTATAGCCATCATGGTGTGGCTTATGTCAACTTAACGCCTCTTCTTTATCCTGGTGGTAAGATGAAATCTCGCTTTTCTTTTGACATTTATTAACTGTTGACCTTGACTATTTTGGTTCTCTATTTGGTAAATTTAAACTCTAGTACTATACCAAAAGACTATTGGTGAAAGTTGACAGTACTGAAAGGATATGGGATTCCAGGTAGATTCCTTATGTCTTCTTTAAACATGCGTCTTTTCTAAATGGCATCATACCAAATGAGACTGGTGTGTTGCGCATATCAAGTCGTTGTCTTTCTTATTATGGAATGTTCCTACCTTCAAGTAGAAAGTAGAAGAAACTCGAATGTCCCCAGAGTGAATGTGAAGTTTACTTGCTTTTAATGCGAAACAGGCATAGAAAATCTAGTCTTATTGACTGAGACCATAAAACATAGCAAGATAGTAGTTACAGATTATCAACTACTCAGCTTAAATTTGTTCACAATGGTGCACTAGTATTTGTCCTTTCACTTATTGTTCCACTCTATTAGCTACTTGCACATAAATTTCTCTGTTGCTGTCTCATTTTCCCTGCCAGGTTGACTTAGTTAGTTTCCTTCCACCATATTCATTCAAAACGTGACAGTTTGCATTCTTACATAAAAAGCTCCACAAATTCCAGTATTTTGACCAAATATAAACTAAATTCTACTAATATATTAATAATTGATGACACAGTAAGCATGTAAGTGTCTGAAAGTTAGCTTCAAATATGTGGTGTGTGAGACATAAAGAAGATCGAATAATTCTTAATACACTTCGAAGTAGTAAATGCGTTTGAAATACTTAACACCACACTTGTAGATTACATGACATTTTTACCAGTAGATTTAAAAGTTTGTATTCACAGTAAGCGGGTCAAAATTCTATTCAGATGAGTTCAATGCCTAGTTTTATTGTTATAGATAGACATTAAATAGATAGACATTAAATTCTCACAAGTGGAACTAAGCCACTGGAAGACAGAATTTATGTTCTCATGTTAAGCGTAAGTAATTGTGTTATGCAATTATACCAGTTGAAAACAGGCAATAATAAACATTAAAACTGTACAGTAGTCGAAATCGATACTAATCATAGTTATGTAGGGTGGAAAATTCAGTCTTCAAAATTTACGTGAACTCGTTTTGGTGGCGAATAACCTGTTTGTTTGTGAATATCATTTATAAAAGCTTTATGTGACTATAATTTTTAATTCATTTAGTTAAAGTGTTAAACTTCGAGTGGCTTTTTGTAGGTTGATGCGTAATTTTATACTTGATTAAATATTTGTTTTGTTTATATAGGTATGTTTTCATATAGTCCCATCGTTCGGCGCTCAACTTCTTTCAGGACATTCGTGAAAACTATGACCAGGATGTTTGTAATTATTTGTTTTGTCATTTGAAATTAAGAGAGCACAGAACTTTATCACCTTTAATTTAGTTTAATTCAAGATAAATTATTCCTTTTTATTGCGATTTCAGTTAGTTATGTTCGTGGGGCATACAAAATACATCCTTTTAATCAAAAAGAATATGAAGAGAGGGTGAGCACATAGTATAACCCCGAAAATTATAGTGATCCGATATTTTTTATGATCAGAACGTTTGATGACCAAGGTGTTTTACGATGAAAGCCTTATTTTAATGCAGAAGTTTGAAAGCATACGAGCTGAAGTATAATTTAACAGATGTAGGTGCTGTGGTTACTTACTTTTCCACCTTAAATAAGACACAGTTATGTCGATACCGTAAATTTCTATCAGAGCACTGTTATCACTTGAATAACCGCAAAAAATATTGAGTAGAATGGAAGAATGTACTTAGTTCAGATGTAGAAGATGGTTTTGATGTTGATCGAAAAATCTTGTGTGAAAAGAAAAAAGAAAATGTAACGGACCTCTAAACATGCTTTACAAACTGGTTCAGATGTAAAAGCAGACATCAGAAGGCTTATTGCAGGGTTCATATAAAATTAAGATGGTATGTTTTTAATTAATACTTTGATTTGTAAGTACTGTTTAAATGAAAAGAAACAACACACTCTTGTTAGCACCTTCAAGAATATTTCCGTGTTGACGATTCATTTTTGGGACAGTTAAAAACGTCAAACCATGTTAGCGTTTCTAAATAAGCTAGAAGCGTTATATGACGATATTAGATTAAACGAAAAAGGCTCCTTTTGTATTGTAATTACACCATTTATTAGACATTTAACAGTTTATTTTGAGCTTCTTCACTGGCTGTGAAGCAACTGATTCATTGCGTTACAAAAATAAATCCCATATCCTACATGTAAAGTTGAACTTCAGCGACATTCAAAAACTATAAAACTTATTCTAAAATACGTCGAATTAAAGTAGTTATATATGCAGTTGCATAGTTGCCTTTTAAAAATGGCTCGGAATCTAGTATTTTTAACCTATTGATTAACTTATATACATGGCAATTCATGTCATATTTCAAAAATGAAGTACATGCTTGAACAATAAAGGTAAAAACTTTGTTAAAATTGTTTATTAATAGACAGATATAGCATTTAAGTGTCCGTAGGATAAGAAAAGTTATTGATTGGGCGATTTAGCAAAGATTTTTCGATGGAAATGGAGTATCGTTACTGTGGAGGGGATGGGAAGACGAAATTAAGGGAAAGAATAAGTTTCAAAATAAAAAACATACGGAGAAAATATTGTCATTAATAAAATTCATAGCAGTTCAAACCACGTCAGATAAGAAATACAGGTTTATAATATTTGAATTAACAGCTGTTTCTTCGTTTTCAGGATGGTCAGATGAGTGCCAATCTCTACAAAAATTGTCACTAAATCACACCAGAATTATGAAGGAATTAAATAACAATCTATGTTATTCATGCTTAACTCTTTAATTTCCGTGCCCCTGCATTAGTATCCTTTTTAGGAAGTACATATATGCGATTGTTAGCATTAGTAAATTTCTGCATGTTATATCAACTCAAATTTTGATTTGCCTTAATATTTATTTCAGACTAAACGTCAAAATGGTCTACTTCAAGAGGTTTTAAATAAAGTAGTAGTACAGAGTGCATCGACTGCACCAACTGAAAAGAAGAAAGGACAGCTTAGTGTTTCAAAGCCTGATAGGAAAGTCAGTATGACTGGTGCCAAAGTAAGTTACACAGTTGAATTGCCTCTATTCTGACAAACGCAAATTCTGCATAATTTAAGTTAGTTTGAAGAAGTATTTCTGAAGATTATATTATATTTTCAAACTAACTAATGAAAGAGCACAAAAAATCCTGTTTATAATCTACTCTGACTAGCTTCTCCAGAGAAATGTATCAAGAATGAGTTTTTTGAATATGTGCATTGTCTTTGAGAGTTTGTTAATTAGTTGTCTTCGCGATCAGTATTTCATTTTTATCATATGTCTTCCTAGATGGAATTAACTTTAATACTGGTTTTAGCAAGTCCGAATTCCTTTGAGTGATGATTCCACAAACAGGGGAACACTTGTTATGGTCAGTATAACCTAAATTATATAGTGACTATTCGACTCTAAGCAACTTTTAGAAAGAGCTCACAGCGTTGAAAAATGAGCAACGAGATCGGAAAATAGGGAGTAATCATTGAATCGATCATTAACAACTCAGTATTATATAAAGAACCCAAAATCATCTTTTATTTCAACCTAATAATATTTATGTATTGTAAAAAGTCTTTTTTCCAACTCAGTAAATATCTGATGAGCTGAGCAGTGCATACTCACCACCCAACTCTCCAGGGGTCGAACTCAGGACCTTGAGGTTCCGCGGCTAACACATTACCATTGAGCTAGTGGGTCGGAATCCAATGGTCCATATTTCCTACTTCCGTCAGTTTGCGAGCATCTTTTATCAACTCAGCATAACTGATGTTGTGAAGGTGAACTTCAGTGTCGGTTAAACATTAGGTCACTAAGCTGTCAAGATTTGAAACAATAGTGAAAATGTGTAGCTTATGTGTATAAGTTTTATACTACTTGATCAGTCAGAATTAATGATCGGTCTTTAAATATTTCCATAGAATATCTTTGGTTCTTTTGGTTGGAGATTAAAGTGCAGTTATCTGCCGAATAATTTGCCATTCTAAGCCTAGTTTGTTGTCCGTCAACATTCATTAGAAACCTAAGTGAACAAATATAGCACAAACTCAAGTATGTCAGCGACGTTATGGCTGAGTTATATAAGTAGTAACTGCTTAGGTACATGAATGAGTGCAAAATGCCGTCCAGCTCATGGGAGGGTAACTGAAATCATAATGTCCTATTTTTACTGTTGAATGGATTCTGTCAATTAATTTCGCAAACTGCTCAGTAGTCTTCGTGACTCAAACTTCCGCTACACTATATCATGTGTATTCATTCAATCCGGTCTCAATAAAGAAAAAGTAATACATTAGAGAGGGGATTTCATACGATTAATTTTTCTTATGTCAATACTGTTATCAGATTTATACAGGAAACGTAGAACCTAAGATAGATCTTCTACATGTAAAGGAGATGAAAAGTGTGATACTAAAATAGACGAAACTGTGTTACACAAAAGATAATTAGAAAAGAATCAGTAAAGACATTTAAGAATTTGAAAATGATATCTGCGCTATTGTTCACATAATGATTTAATCAAAAATAGGAAATACTATGAAGCCACTCTTGGTCAATAAGTGTAGTCTCTTCATGTCTCCTGCTGTCAATGGCCATGCCTCAATCTAACAATAAAAGAAAAAGGTCTGCTACGCAGGAAACTCATGTTCTGACAGGTAGTTGATTGTTTTGGATATGAATGGTGTAAGTTGGCAAATATCAAATAGACTTTTTGAATCCCAGCTAATATTTTCCATCTATTCAGTTGAATACGGTTAATGAAACTTCAGAAACAAGTCAACACATTTCACCACTCCACTTCCTATCTTTAAACAAGGAGTTGATGAAAAACCATTCTCGACGCATCACCTTATAACCTGACAACGGCCTACATCTTTCCAATTAAAAACAGATTATGAAGAAGTAAGGAGCCGCATGCAACAACTTCGTTCTCAAATGATGCTTTCTAAAACCTTCCTACACCAAACAATTTTTCCCCATCTGTTTCTCCTAATTTGCAAAATAACAACAATCTTTGCTCACCTAAATTTCAGGCTTTTCAAAACTTATTGTAGAGGCGTATCTGAAACCTCACGAAGACTTATATACCTTCAGAATTTTGAGGTCGGAATATCAGACATTTCAACCGATGACTTTCCCAATGAATGAACCGTTTAAGTCTTGATTTACTACTGATAACTTCTTATTGATAAATTGCTAGACGGTAGTAAACGAGATTCTCTCATCTTCGGGATGGACCGTATTTCGCAGCGTAACTAGTATATTGAAAAATTTGTGTTTTGTGGAATGGATTAGTGTATTATAAGTAAATTTTAATTGAAAAATTTATTTTTTATTTAGGTAATATTTCGAGCAAAACTACTGCCTGTGACTAGTATGTCAAGTAAAAGTGGTGCTAATACCTGAGAAGTTTGTTGTTTATTTACACAATGGATTTTACCAACTGGTTGTTAATCACTGATGTTTTAAACGGAAATTAAGTATACAACAACGTAGGCCAGAGCTATAAAAGCCAACTGATAATTTTTCCAAACTCCCGTTATGAATATGTTTTAATAAATTGAGTCCGAAACCTTATCTAGTAAATAATACAGTTTTACTGCGTAACATATCTTACAAAATAAATGAATTGGTATTTTTTCTGCCTAGTCTACAGGAAGAACTGCTACTAGTGTCGACATGGAATATGAACCTGAAAAGCAGAAATCAAACGTAACATTGAACACAGTCCATGAACAAACAACCGCTGATCAGTTACAAAATACTGATGCTCAACAATATCTAGATGCACATTCATTTATTATTCTTGAATTTCGTTTGGATAAACCATTAATAAAGAAAAGAACTTTAGAAGAAATCGACCAAAATATTTCATTATATATAGCTGAAAAACAACCAGTTGTTAGGCGTCATGTCACAGCAGAAAAAGTAGGCTGTTTGTGTTAGTATATGTATGCATACAATTTAATAGATACTGTGGTTTATGAAATCTAAAAATAATGCATAGTAAATATATTCATTCGTATATATCAGCTGATAAACCCTTAAAATCGTAACCTATCTATAGTTTTGAGCGCACTTTTGCTGTCGTTAAATAGCACAAACCTTCGGAAACTATTTTCTAAAAATGGCTATCTAATTTATTTTCCGTACTGCTCAAATTGGCCAATATATATATATATATATATATATATATATATATATGATAGGAGACGGCCTAAATGGAAATCACTACTTTGTCATCAGCAGCTAAGGTGTAGGTTTCGGCTTTCAACGCTTGTTTCATGCTGCTGGGTTGTCAGGAGACACCTTATTGGACAATTTATTCTACAGTTGACCAATTAAAATAAACATCCAGCTTTTGACCCAGTGGTTTTATATATTCATGAGAAGTGTAAATAGATGATGTATCTTCGTCGAATGAAGTGTCTTCCTCAGAGTCACAGACTTGTCTTCGCCTTTTGATTCTCTCGGCTAAATGAAGTTTATGGTTCTGGGGGAGAAAAGTCGCTATTCATATCCACTTCAAGTGTCTCATCTTGTTATCATAATTTTCAAACTTATTATTATTATTATTAATCGCTCAATTACTTCAGTATATTGAATTTGGGGCTTCGTGGGGATTTAGTGATTTTTCAAGTTGGTGTTCATCATGAGCTGACATCAGTTGGAGGGAGATTGTAAACCTGGAAGCACTGAAGATCTGCTTCGTCCTAGTATGGGGTTCCTCAACATGCGCACCCTTGACTTGGCCCTCCAGGGATCACACCCAACACCTTCAGGTCTCATGGTCCTGGGTCCGATCCCCAGCGGAATCATGGGTACGCACAGCTGAGGAGTCCCATACTAGAACGAGACAGCTGTTCAGCACTCCCAGGTTTTCAGTGTCCCTTCAACTGATATCAGTCCAAGATCAATACCAACTTCAATATATACATATATGTAAATATATATATATATATATATATATATATATATATATATATATATAATCGCTGTGTGATTTAGTCAGATAAGCTGTTCTGATACCTGTACCATGGTGCCGAAGTTTTACTCATATATAGCAGAATGGACACTATTAAATGAGATCCCCCGGAAAATTAGTTATTTTACGTTTGAGGTAGTTGCATTCCTGTTACGTGGAGATAATTTTAAAGAAGCATTATGTCGATAAAGCGTTGGACAGGGACTCAGTATATGACCTGACGTGACGATATATATTCATTATGGTTTGGTGAAATCACTTATTATACTTATTTGTTTATATGTTTTCTTTTCTTCAAAAGGCTGTCAAGGAGTACCATAAACAAATTGCTGAAGTTGCCAACTATCTGCTCATGGAATTCAAGTAAATAGACTCAAATCGTTGTATTTTGTTTTAATGATAGTCTGTTATCAATGTAAGCAGTCTGATAAACAATTCAGTTGGATGGCAGTTTTCTTTGTAAATAAGTTTTAGGCCATAAAATCAAATCCAGTTCTAGGATTTCTGAGCACTCATTCTCATTTTGACTGAACTGTGGTTATCGTTATCAATTATTAACCGATTAATAAAGTGGCTTTTATCACCTCTATTTTCGTTTCTTTAATTGAGATAATTTCTTGGTTTACCAAAGTTTTTGGAAATATCAACTCAATTTGTTACGCTGATGTTGATTATTGACCATCGCCAGTCATTTGATGTTAGTTTAATAAAAAAGAAACAGTTCCTTTCATACCATCAGGTGACAAATCTTTACTAATAGACGGCCAGTTGGAAAACGTCATGGTTTCTGGTTCTGTTTTTCATATGAACAGCTCTTTACGTTGATATATAAACCAGTATAAGTAGCAAGAAAGTATAATTTAGTTGTTCTAACTGACAAAAGAAACGACCATTTGCTTGAAATTGTGAAGTGATACATTTCAGTCAAAATTGGTTGCTTCAATCAAGCAAACTGTTTAGACTTATTTGAAAACGTATTACAAAGGAATGTAGGCTTGAATTCAAATATCAAGCGACAGCGGAAATGAGAAAATGAAGAAACAAACAAGAAGAACATGAGTACTTGGAAGAAATATATGAGTGAAAATAAGGTGTATGTATTTCGCTGTGACTGTTTCTAAGTCTTGTCACGTACACTTATCATTCTCTAAATTATGATACATTGGGCACTTTAGTTAGATATCTTACACCTCTCTACATAACTTGCATCAGCTGACAGTCATTTGATGGACTAGTACTAAATGTTGGTAGGACCAACTTTCTCAGTCAAACATTACTCTATCCAACAGTAAATCAATGTAGTCATTGAATTATCATTCTTGACTTATAGCTAAAACATTCCAACCACTTAGTTAATATTTTTATTCTAACTCGACAATAAAATTGTTGACTCACTGATTCAAGTTTATACAGATGAAGAAGTAAAAACAGCAACTACAAAAATAAATGATTCTGTACTAAATAGATGGGAACCAGTTAACTGTTTTTGTTTCAGTTGTCAAATGAAGTCAGTAAATGTCAATCATTTTTTATCAAAAACAATACTAAGTACAGTATCTAGGATTCTGAATCCCACCTTTTACATTGGTTTTCTTTAAACAATCGCTTGTGTATTTCTGACAAACTCAGTTTGACATAGAATGATAATTTTTTGAATGATTAACAAATTCCACGGTCCACATTGACATTTCTCGCTGCTGAGTAGTTTTCCAGCTGCCCAACTGTGGTGTTAACAGGGCTTCCATTGGAAACCACTCGACAAAGATCATAAGGTATGATCTTTGACACAAAAGTTTCATGAGCCAGCGAAAGATACTACTACAAACCTAACGAGTAGTTAGAAACCACCCAGGCCTATCTGTAATTAGTATTTCACCGGACAGATAGGAGTAATCTAAATACCTCATGGCCGTTTCGCTCATTTGGTCCTAGCTCAACAGCGTTGTACCCAGAGAAATCCAGCTCATAGACTCAAATTAGTTCAGATCACCTGAATCTGGTTAACTGACTAACTGATACATCAAATGTGTTACGTATAACCGATCAAAAAGTGAATATACTGTACAACTCTTAAACATTGAGTTGCTCAGTCGCTTGAATATTGTTTATTCGACACGTAGTTCCGTACCTCTCCAAAACTTTTATATCCCTAACTGCTAACATAGCCCAGTTGGTGAAGCATCGGGCCGAAAACCCAATTGTCTCTGGTTTGAATACGGCCGCGGTCCAAATTTTCATTTCACCTTCAACCATCACCCAGTATCAGCATACTTTTTGCTAAAAACCACGCTGCCACAGTATACTTCAAATATAATTGGCCGACATCAAATTTTTAGTTAATTCTTTTAAAAAGTTCGTTATTTGAAAAGTAGTTTTCTTTACCGGTCATCGAGACTAGCTTTACTAACAAAAATAACTGAATGTTTCACGACTTCGTGGAAATCGCTTCTTCAGAGAATCAGACCTGTACAAGTTATCAACTGTTTAGATGGTAACTCAACTTATTCATTCTATCAGGTTAAATTTTGATCCTGAGGTTTATAAAAAAACAATCAGCATCCAATTAAGACAAACTTTATAACTTTTAAGAGTAATTATCAACACTTTTGTTTCTCACAGAATTTTCCAATGGCGATCATTTTTGTATTTTTGTGTTCATTGGAACTGACATTCTGTCATGGATCTCATTTCTACATATCTCACTTTCACTAGGCCTACTTACATCCCTTTCATTTGTTTCAAGTGAATTTCCATTCTACAACTTATTTTATGAAAACGTTTCAACTGGTCTTTACATTTTCTGTTTACGTTTCACTTCTTTTTAGAGTCATGTTTGCTGACTTGATACAAACGGATCAATTGCCAGTGGATCATGAATGTGCTGAACAGATGTAAATTAGCATTTTATTAAATTTTACAGATTGTTTGATTTAGGAAATTGGAATTGTATTACTCATTGAATTCATCTGGGAAATATTTTGCATTTAAAGAACGCCTAAAATTTGCTGTTATCAAAATAGTCAGAGAGAGATTTTTCCGCACTAAGCCGTTTAGTGATCAAGAACAACTACACGTGAGTTTTCATTTGTACATTAGTTTCTGTTCAAATTGACAAATAAATATAATCTGTCTTACTTTATTCCTGCAATGAATCTTTTTCGATAAGGAAGACCTTATTGTTATGCTTGATCGCATAATCACTTGAAACACTAGATAAAAGTAACTTGAGAAGATTACCCCATAAAAAAACCTCCGAGAGTGTTGCAGCCAATTGTTCACAGTAATTGAACTATCTTTACTTGTGTATTCACTTTATTTACTTCGGTTGCTTGTTACTTAACCGTTTATGTGTTTGAAATTTTCGTCCACATATGCCTATGCGCTTGTTCCACATAGATATTGACACAATACGTTATTCAAGAGAAAGATTCTCATCATCTTTATAAGTCATTTATTAGGGAATTTAGCTCCTTTAGATATGAGTAAAATTAACACTTCCTGTCTGCACACACTGTCTAAGGTTACTTTTTCTTGAGCCATCTGAAAAGGAAATTAGATTGGTAAGGATGGTTTTAACAAACTTCATGCATCATCACAGAGCTCAAAAAGCATGTGCCTGAGGTCGATCACACATGACCTCATCCAAACTTGAGGATTCTATATGATGGGTACCAGAAGACCACCTTTTGATAAGAGAAGACATCAGCTTGGAATGACAGTCAAGTTCAAGGATACATCTGGCTTCTATCATACCTCGTACAGTTAGCAGTAAAAATTCGCCAACAGAACCCCACCATAACGTGAGCTGCTTACATTAATTATCAGCATATTTATCCTAAAGTTTCAGAGTTTTTCTGATTGAATAGGTCTTGACTTTGTTAAGATTCCCTAGTGGGAGAGGAAGTGTTAAGTTTCGTCGACAGCTTCTACTTTTTGAGATTCAGTCCTAGTTTCTAACGATTGAAGTTACCTCTCTAACAATGTTGTGTTGTATTCTTCTATCTGGAAATCATGGGGAGAGGAAATTCCGTAGTCTTGCGGGTGACGTCTATTTTGCAAAGTTTCGATGTCAGAACTTGACCTAAAAACGTTCTGCAGCATAACTGGTTTGTCGACCACAAAGTCGAAAGGTTTTATAATTTGTGAATTTTTAATCCTTACTTATCCTATGATTTATTGTTTCTGTCAAGTCACTTTTATACATAGAATATTTTTAAAAAGAATGATGGCTTTGATCAGCGAACCAGTGCCATAATGTAAAACTGCAATACAGAATATTAAAAGTGTTAATCTTCAGTCATCAAGTGTCTACGTATTCATCACACTTTCTGAAGAGAATTTAGTGATGTTTAACAAAAATTAATCACAATGGAGGAGATACACTCAGTCTTTGGTGTCTAAAGTTTGAATGTTTTAACTAACCATCTATAAATCCTTTCTTCTATACACCTTTGTCTACTATGATAGCAGTCTTCCGTTATCCACTTGTTATTATGTATACTATTGTAAAGTGTGGCGGCTTGGACCGATCAGCTTGTGCACGAGGTTCTACTTTGATTTTGTTTATCTGTTTGTCTGTAGTCAACGGGGAAAGTGAATCAATGCAGGTGATAATAAATACAGAGCAAGATGAAGAAGTCTTTAAGAAATATTAAAAACAGCATGTGAAAGCAATAGCTAAGGAAGTAGTGTAGTCAGGAAATATGAGGTGTTAATCATCGGCTGGGTGAACAATAGGCTGGGAAAAGATTTGGATGTAATAAGGTGCCAGGGATTAATGAGTCAAGTGGTAAAATAATATAAATCTCAGCAGTACTACAGTAAACAACGAAAAAAATCCCACGAAAGTATGTAAGTGCAGGCGAAGATAGAAATATAACCACAAAATAGAAGGCAAATGATATAAAGAATTAAATATCATTAGATATTTATGACATTTTATATCCCCTTTGTTAGGACAGTTCTCAACCTGTTGACCTCTAGTTTTCCTTTACAAGAAATAGGATATGGTAATATCTGTAAAGAACGATGAAGTAATTGTATTCATGGCAGAATAAAATGCAGTACGAAGAATAACGCGTACCGTCTTATAACTATACTTTTGTGTAGATTCATAGGAGCTAGATCAAACTTTGTTTTAATAAGCTTAGATTCACATTTCGTATTATGATTTGACGAGGTCACCATAGGCTGATCATATACTCAATTTGTTATGATTCAACATATCACAGTACTTAGTATGAACGGAGCGATAAATGAGGCATGATGACTAACTAGTTTTTATTTAATCTAAAGCCTTTTATTCATAGTTTTTCCTTTTCGAGTAAATATAATGAAGAAATCGTAAATCGTTCCTTATACTTTCATATACAGTTCACTGAGACTTCACTAGAATGAAACATTTTATTCACTAAGTTAGTCAGTTTCTGATTATTGTCAATCGTTTCGGATAATGCAATAAAGAGACGAAGGTTATCTGACAAATGTGATATATTTGCACAACACATTTCGAACAATCTGGTGACACATTTGCTTGTCAAGACATTTTATATGAAGTATGAAACTAGGGTGAGGTAAGGTAAATAAATTAGGATAATACAGGATTTGAAAAGTATGGGGATAACAAGGAGAAATAATACGTTTCCACACCTTTCATAGTATTAGGATGAGATTACCAAGGGAGTATATGAGTAAGGCTTAGACACGGTGGTAGATTGTAATTCCACATTGATCATTTTATTAGAAATGTCGCACAGTGAAACAGTATCGTTTAATGCGTAGCGTTTTGGAGAAAATTGGTTGTCCATATTCATATCAGGTAAATCCAAAACCTTGAGACTGAGTTTATATAGTCCTAATTCTCTCTCCTTATTTGTGATGACAACAGCAATAGAATTTTCCATATATCTGGGACAGGTACAGAATCATTTCTCTTACATGTATTCAGTGCTGTTTCGATAAACGAAGATTCGGTTATCCGTCTCTCTATCCACCAAACTAAGTTAGTTTTCAAAATTGTCATTCTATCCCACCCTACTGTGTGATTGTGTGTAATTGCATGCAGAGCAATGGTCGAGCATTTTGCTAAATTCCTTTTCTTATTAGGATTTACTAATCTTGGTTTAGCTAGGATTTTGTGCTCTGTTCTTCTGATTGACCCTGGTCAACTTCTTTGACCTATGTATTTTACCTCACAATCATTGCAAGGGATTTTATGAACAAAATTATTTTGTTTAATTGCATTGACAAGATCTTTTAACCTACAAAGCTTGTTCCTAAGCGAGTTTGTTGGTTTAAATGCCACTTTAATCCCAGCCTTATTGAGAATTCTTTATGATGCTTATGAGGCGTCTTCCTTGTATGGTAACGCAGCAGAGGCTTTGAATTCTCTCTCAGCCTTGTTACCATTATTACCATCATTATTACTATTAGTAGCAGAATTATTATGAAAAACACCTGTATTACTACTACTACTATTGCTAATATTTTTCTTTCAATTTCTTATGGATTTATTTATATGTTTAGGTGGGTAATTATTGCGACACAAGGTATTGGTGACGTGTCAAACTTCTTGTCGTAGATTTTCTGGCCTACTAGTAAACCTTTTCGTAAAGCTTTCATTGTCTTTCTAGACAAAATTATAAGCACTACCTTCAGTATGAAGTGCCAGTGGTGTTGTCTAGAAAGACTATGAAAGATTAACAATTAAACCACCCAGTTCAGAGAACACAACGCAACAGAGAACAATCACCTGAGCAACAAATGTTCTCCCCTATTTCAAAGACCAACTTATATTGCAACACAGCTGTTAATTTCAATCACCAATGTGATGGATGTTATGGTGTTAATGTCACCCAATCGCATCTTCCAAACTGAAGTGAATATGTGACACTTTTTCATTACAAATTACGTTTACGATATGACTTGCATCCTGAAAATTCCACACAGAAGTTTCCTGGGACTTTGTATATTTATACACATTCTCTTTTAACCACTTTCAGCTTTTCCTAAGAGATTTATTCGTTTATCTTGTGGATGAAATGCACATTGGCTTGAGAAAGGTATTCAGTGCAAAAGATATAACAAAGTTGGTGGAACCAAACTTTGCTGACCCGGAAATTCTGCTACGTTATGCTCGTGAGGCTGAAGAAAATCAAATGTATGAATGGGCAGTAAAATACTACGAAGTAAGTTAAATAGTATTGTCTTTGTAAGGCCTTCACTAAAAAATCACTTTATACCAAGAGCACCTAGTGAAAAGCTGTAAAGTTTAAGATTTAGTCATGAAAAGATACAAATCACTAAAGTACCAATCAAATCGGGCTTTAACATACAGGTAGATGAATCCAGAATTCTGTAATGCATATTAGAAACCTTAACTTCTTGAACAAACTTACATATTGTAATAACTTTCTTCTTGGGGTCTATATTGACAAATTCATGTTCTTGTGATAACAAGCATCTTGAAAGATATAGAAAACAAACCTCTTTGTGATCGGCTCAATAGAAAACTTAGAGATGGTCGGTTTTGTTGTTTGCTCGTTTAGCACAACAATAGGCATAAGCAAAAACAAACATAAGACGATCATCAGTAATGTTCGACTGACAACCACTTGCTCCTGGTTAGGCCTAGCTTCTATGTAGACAATGTGATGCTGTCTAACTTTGGATCACAAATATCTACAAAATTATATCTTCCACAAGTCTTTATATGAGTTATTGCCATCTCGGTAATCTAGGAAGCATAGGTGACATCCATTAGTCTAAGGGCCATTTTATTTTACTTTTATAACTTGAGACAATACTTAGACTACTCTATGACCAATGATGACGATTCTTATAAGGAAAACTGAAGGATAAGCATGTAAGCAGTTGGTTCGTCTACTTGGGTTAAATTTTCACTAATCATAGTTTCGTGAAATTACACACTTGTAAGGGAAAGAATTCCAGTTAACGTTAATCACAGTATATCGTGTTATTCACCTGAAGAACAGGTGTATATTAATGGAAGAAATTGCCGTTAGGTTGTGTTTTCGTCATAGAAACGTATCAGGTTCAATTCACATACAGATAAGGACGTGAATACGGAATCTGTTGAAGTTAGACCGAATGAAATTTAAAAAAACTATCAAAACAGTCTAATTTCAAGGTATAAAAATACTGGATTTGCACAATTGAAGAGCCAAAGATGAAATAACGATGGAAATATCAAGTCAGATGGGAGTAGAGCATGGTGGTAAATTGTTATTCCACTATCACAAAGTGAAACAGCTGGGATTAGATTGGCAATAAGGCTGACAAACTCAATGAGATATAAGGTTCTTAGGTCGTAGGATCCTACCGATCCAAATAGGCAAAACAATTTTGTTCATAAAATCCCTTGCAATGATTGTGAGGTAAAATACATAGGTCAAAGAAGTTGACCAGGGTCAATCAGAAGAACAGAGCACAAAATCCTAGCTAAACCAAGATTAGTAAATCCTAATAAGAAAAGGAATTTAGCAAAATGCTCGACCATTGCTCTGCATGCAATTACACACAATCACACAGTAGGGTGGGATAGAATGACAATTTTGAAAACTAACTTAGTTTGGTGGATAGAGAGACGGATAACCGAATCTTCGTTTATCGAAACAGCACTGAATACATGTAAGAGAAATGATTCTGTACCTGTCCCAGATATATGGAAAATTCTATTGCTGTTGTCATCACAAATAAGGAGAGAGAATTAGGACTATATAAACTCAGTCTCAAGGTTTTGGATTTACCTGATATGAATATGGACAACCGATTTTCTCCGTAACGTTTTCCGGTACATCACTATGTAACTGTGTAACATAGCTATCAACTAGAGTAAAATGGAATTAAATTATGAAATAACTGGATTGAATTTAATCTACAAAACAGATTCATATACGTATTCCAGCTCGTTTCTTCATGAATAATCATCTCTGTTTCCATGGTATTATGAATTCCTATTGAAAATGCTTTACGAAATCATCTCAGGTTTCTCCTTTCAAAAGTGAACACTATAGATATGATTTAATTGCAGAAAGGGATCTTTTCAATTTTATAGTTTCTTAGTAATACTTTCCTTTGGAAAGTTGAATTCGGGAATGAATGAACATTTGCATATATATTGCAAAACTCTTAAAAATCTTAAATTTTTTAAAAATTCTGAAGGTTGGCAATTAAAACAGTGTTTCACTGTCTATTTCGAAATTCTTATTTTCCAACGGTGACAGAATGATAGATAACCTGAATACCAAGCATATAAATAATTACACATGAACTAGGATTTCGCTTTGACAATAATAGGTCAAAATTATAAGTTGTCTGATAGTTTTTGTGTTATTAAGACTTTTCGATGAAAGTCTGGATGAAGTTTTATAATATTCTCCTGCTTCTGTGAAAATGAGATAAGAATTCGTTAGGAAAAAAAGCTGTCTCAACAAATAGTGGATTGAGTTTTCGTAAATTAGCCATTACTGACTTAGTTGGACGGCAATATATTGTCAGTAAAAGCCGAATTACTTCATATTTCAAAAGTTATTTATCAGCTGAAATTCAGTCTTTTCTATGCCACTAAATGAATAAGTCAATTTTTCATACTTACTGTTTGAAGTCAAAGAGACTTAGTATTTTATTCTTCCATGGAAAGTACTTTGGTCAGACTAAAACTCTTAGTCCATTTAAACATGTAAACATTTTCAGCGTACAGAAGTAATGGACTCAATTATTATTGGTACACAAAAATTACCAAACGGTAACCAATGTAGCTGTCAAGCTTTGCAATGAAAGGTGCAATATGGTTACAAGCTTAGTGATATGATGCTGCAGGTTGCTCTATGTAAGTGTTAGATATAAGAAGATAATTAACCAAGAGCTTTGACCTTGGTCCCACGTTATTTGGCACTCGTTAGGAAGGGCTATTTGCAATTTTGATAAAAATTATTCTAATTTTAAAATCTGTGACTTCAGAATCGATTGACACTGATCCAAATCATCTAGGAAATATGAGTTTTCTCGTAGTCGCGGATATAATTCAATCTAATGTTTCTTGCCAACTGACTTCTAAAACCTAAAATGTTTGCTAACTCATATCTATTTTTCATGTCTGTTTGAAAATGTTGAGCGGACTATAGCGTCTAACCGATCGGTCCAAACTGCCATATTCCCAAGCAAAACACAATATCCCCATGAATACCAAAGACAGACAGTAAATAGGTGCAACTAAAAGACGATAAAGTACATGTGAAATAGACAAAAACAGATGCTTACTTTAAACTAGCATGCTCGTAATCGGAAGTAAACACCTGTAAAACTCCTTCCACAAGTAAAATGGAAATAAAAAAAATCAATGAAAGGGATCACTTCACTTTCAACGCATGTTCTAAGTGAATAATCAGTATTCACAGTGTGTAGGTATATTATTAGCGTAATAAAAGAAAAACTCCCCTGGGATATAATTGCGATAATGTAAACACCAAATGAACATGTAACTAAGACGTGTTTGTTCATCTGTGAAATTCTTCTTTATGTAATCATGTTCACTGTTACTTTTTTCTTCAGGAACGTATTACAAGAGATCCTAGTTCATCGATTTACTGGCTTGATTTCGGTGTTTATTATTTAGGCCGAAATGAGTTAGAACAAGCGGCCATATGCTTTCATCGTTCGTTAACTTTAGATTCTAAGCAAAGTACCGGGTAAGTTGATTAAAAATTACGCTAAAAATAAACGTAATACTGTTAATTTCCTTGTGAAAAGAATTCGACAAGGTTGCATCATTTTTAAATATTCAGGTTTAACCATTAATAATAAAATTAGTTTCTGCGATAGTTATGTTGTATATAGGGTAGATATTTATACGTAATTACCATTCCAAATAAAAATGACTGTTTGAAAAGTGCCAATCTTTATCTTAAATGTTTGGTTTTCAATAGTTTTCATTTATTTGTTAATCTGTATGATGGTAAATCCTTTCATTCATTCAAAAATGGTTTCTTAAGTGCTATTCTAAGAGGTTTGCATTTCATGTGAATTCACTTAACATGTAATTCTCATTATTCCCTAACAATTGATAATACAGAATGTGAAATATTGAAGTCTTTGTGGTTACTCATAGGAAGATACTTTATATCTCTTGAGTAAATGAGACCAAGAGAATAGCATAGCACTCCGATTATTATTCGGTTTATGGCATGATCCATACTATGCAGTAGCAAATAGAATAATGACAATAACTTTCTGAAAGTTCGCCTATTTGATACAATTGAAGGTCATGTTTAAACGAATTAAAACAAAGTAAACTAGATGCAATGTAGGATGAAAGGGTTTGGTAGCCCAGGGTTGGGGCAGGCCGCTTATATAGCTGAGACAATAAGATATACTTCTGAAGCAGTTTTAAGTGTTTTCTTAGCATTTTCCTTTTTTATTTGAGGTAAAAATATCAAGGATAAAATGATATTGTATCTGGACATCGTGCCACTACTAGGAAAATTTTCTGTGTAGACGTTATATTGAGTAGTATCGAAGAATTATCTAAATAGTGGTTAACTGCAGGGTAAATGAAAATAAATTATGCCCCACTGTACTACGAATGATAAGCTTCTTTTCAACAACGAGTTACTCATCTGAATACATTATTTTCAACCTATTGATGTTCAAGTTAGAAATTGACAAAACTAGACTACACATAGAATCACTTGATACGTAATTCCAGCACATGAAAATGACCTTCATTTTCTGGAATAACAAAATCAATGTGTAGGATCTATCCATTGAAATGAAATTAGGGTAATTTGTTCTTAAGTAATTAGAAATTTAGACGAACCTTAATTCCTAGGTGTCATTTTGACCTAGTTGACTGGAGGTGAAATTATTAGACGTGTATTCTAAAAGCCATCCAGAAGAGAACCATCTGCATACTTCTGTTAGTTTGTTACTCTATGGAAGAAGCGGAATTTCGGCAAATGTCTAGATATCAGAGCAGAAAGAGTAACTAGGAATGTTACAGAAGATGGAAAATGCCTAACTAACTAAATGTAAACCAAGAAAATATATGACAAGAGAACTTAGTTAAAAAGAACATTATGCGATGACTGGGCCAGTAAATCACAGAAAAAACGACTTCTAAACGTTCAGTTTAAGAGAAATCATCTGGAGGAATTTTCATGGGCAACCTGCAGCAATTCCTGAAAAGCATGTTTTAAGCAGTCAATCTCAGGATAAATATCACGAACATATGCATCCTATCATCACACATGAAAGACATGCCTCTTCATTAGTCCACATCAGTGTATTTGTTAATCCAAGCGCTAAGTTTTGGTTGTTTGGTTACTCTCGGTGCACTATTTGATACAATGTACTGATGAGTGACTGCTAAAAGAAAAATTTAAGAATATAAAGAGACTGATGCGTTCTGGTAACTGGCCTTGTCTTTGGTAAGTAAGTCATGAAATGCAAAGGGTGCTAGTAAGGAGGCTATCAGGAATCAGGTTTTCATTTCACCTTAAATTATCACCCAGCATTAATAACACCAGTCTGCCGGATCATAACTAAGAAATCCCCATTAAGAATATTACTCATTCCATTTAATCGAATCCAGTAATTATATCTTACAGAATGCGCCTTCTCAACAGCTTTTACGATATTTAGCTTGCTAAGTAATAAAACTACACGTACATAAAAGGTGGTACACGCCTTGGCCATCCACTATCTCTCCATTAACCCAGATGTGGTGTATATCAGTGTCAGAATGACAACGAAATGGCACATAACTACATGTGCGGTTATGTTTTGCATTTGTGGCTTTATTATTTGCAATTTTAATCATTTTTACCCAATATTTGTGTGTTATTATTGCACCCCATAATCCCTCCTGACCTACTATCTGTTTTATCTGTAATCGGAGATTTTCTACTTCTGTTAATTTTGCTAACCACTGATTGACGAAGCATGTGTTGATTTGCATTTTAGATAAATTTCGTATAAAAATAAAAAAATTAACTCTTTAATTTTACGCAACAATTTGACGTGTGTGTTAATTTTCACTGTAAAAAGTTTTGTAATTCAAGATTTAGAATGATGAAACTTTCAGAAAGATATGCGGTTGCTTCATTGATTTTTCTTTTGAGTGAGTATTGAATGTATTTTATGTCTTGATAAAGCAGAAATAAACAAATTAAAGAAATTGCTAACACATTTTGGTGAAGTTCGATTATTACGCTGTAAAGCCTGAATATTCCAAAATTTGTATGTATGTATTGAATAGATTGTCACGGAAATAAAGTTGGCACATCGCTTATTAGTTCATTTAAAGATGAAATTATCCCCATCACTGACAATCGTTTAATTGGTTTAACATTTTATTGTCTAATTCTCTATATTTAAAAACTTTTCAACAGTACACTTTGTGTATCAGTTGACTTCTCTATTTACTTGTACTTCAGCGATCGTCCTCATTTTATGCAAATCTACTGATTCAAGCTTGGTTTGCTTAGATTTCATTCCTAATGAAGTTCGTACATCAGATTAATTAAGAAGAAAGAAAGGGAGGGATCACCTATTTTCGTGTTAGCTTTAGTAGGAATTATACCTTGTGATTGCTGGAAAACAGTATATTATCTAAATATCAGTGAAAGTCTGAGCTAGTAATGACATCTATAATAATGTCAAAAATTGTGCTCGTTAAAAGACAAATTCGAAAAGAATAACTCATATAAATGTTTACGTTGAGAGCTGCAAAATAAATGGTAATTATGACTACTAAGCAACCAATTTTTTGAATATTTGTATATAGCTATCTCAAACAAGGCTTCGAAAAGCGATATTTTTCCGCAGAACACTCACATTATCTTCTTGTCAATAGATTTTAGCCTAAAAGAAGACATGTTACTCAATATACATTTTCTTTTTTATTTTCGAAGTTTGGTTTTGTTCGGTCTTGTGTCGGCTATGCAAAATTTCAACGAAGAGGCAACTGATTTCCTAGAGGCTGCAGTAGCTCATGACCCTAAAAATCCCATCGTTTGGGTAATACTAGGTAAGTTTGCTTTTATGAGTATTAGTAAGCAATTATAAGGAGATTCTGAATTAGGTGTTTACTGATCAGAATTCTCTCAAGCGTTTACCATGATGGGAAGATATCTGCGTAGCAATTTTGAATAGCCGTTCTGGAGACATGTCATTTCAACCACTGACTATAGCCTTTTGACTTGATTGAGTCTCCCATGAGGTCGTTTATAGTCCCCACAGTTTATTTTCAAGTACCTCAACTGTGCAGCTTGAAAAAGATCTAGAAGTTTATTGAAGAAGGTATCACTTTAATGAAGTTATGACTTTATCGTCTTGGCAAACATGAATAAATGATAGCTAGAGATTAATGATGATGATCATTTTTAATTTTCAGGGCCAAAAAAGAGTACTTCAGCGGTGAGTTTATAATTCAGTACAGTTTTTCAACTCTACATGTGCATCAGTTACATGGCGTTAGCACCATTATTCTCACTGTGGTAACAGTCAGCCATGCATTTATATAACCGTATATCACTCACTCTGAAACCAGTAGCTCTGCACTATGGTGCAGGTACATCTAGCTGACATATAGGACAAAAAGCGCTTTTTGGGTTCCTCAGCTAGTCACTAAGATATATGTATATATATCTGGATTAAATATATGTTCAGTGAACAGCATTATCTTAAACTCATAATGACAATGCAGTATATGCGTTGGATAGTGAATTATATTTAGTTTCCATTTCGATTTATTAATCGCCATTTTTAATAAAAACAGGTTATTGAATTGCTTCTTTACTAGCTTTCCTAACAAACTACCCATTCAGGTTTATTCTATGAAACGATTTCTAATGATATTGGTGTGGACATGGCATTAAGTGAAGCTAAACGCCTAGCAGAAGGTGATGACCATGAAGTAATCATCACACCGAAAAGTGATTTGACCGATAGTTTCTTGACAGATAAACGTCAGTCATCAAATATACTTTCTGAAGGTTCACAAAATGATGGTAAGTATTCTAAAATTTTTTTTATTAGAAGAACAATCAAAACGTTTTCATCAAGAAGTGAAAAGTTACATAAATGTAGCTTATATGATCATTTTACTTATTAATAAAGAGTGAACTGGTTGGAAAGTTGATCATTTCATTTCATCCCAAACTGTCCCATCATTTATAGAATAATTACTACTGGAATATGAACGTAAATATTAAGGTCTCTGTCAGCATTCGGCAAATTGCATCATTTATTGCAGAGGTGAAATATTCTGTTCCATACGAGAATACCTTTATACCACAGAGTAGTCTACTCTGTTATATCTAATTACTATGAGAGATGACTGACAAAGTTTTGAGATATTAAAAATGTTGCAGATTTTAGATCATAGATTATTTTATAAGACTGGTATTTTACTTCATAATGTAAGGTGAGAATTGCCTAGGTTGCAACTTGGTTGGAGCTGTCAACTTGCACCAGTTAAGCAGTGTATTTGCACAAGATAACCCATAGTCCACCTAAATGTGTGATGATTTGTTTATAAGGAGACTAAGGGTGATGAAAGGAAGACGTTGTACCTGTCCATAAAGCAACCGACTGTTAGTTCTCTAATATGTAACTGAGACCATTACTTGTATGCTGTAAGCCAATGATCAAATATTTCAGATAATATGTATCAACACTAGGCATATGCCGTTTTTCTTCGTCTTCGTAGATTTTTAGTGTCCTATCATTTTGTCTTGTAGTTCTATACTTATCAATGCATACCCCAGAAATGAATCATGCTTTATTTTCCTATTATTCTGATACTAATGGTGGTAGATATAAGTGTAAATCTACCTTCAACAAACAAATTATCATGTTTAGTTGTTCTAAGGGATTTTTCAGTGTATTTTTTGCTAGGCTTTTTGCATCTGCTGTCTGGTAGTTTAAAAAACAATTTTGCACTAATTGCTGAATTATGTCAATCCCATTAGAATGATATTGCTCATTACTAATTTAAGCAAAACTAATATTCAGTTATTGATGAACGTAGTGTATTGACGTAGTCACTTAAATTCTTTACAAAAACCTAATCATGAAATATTAAAAACCATATCCAACACTTCACTATTACTACTTTCATTTGTATGAATATTGCGTGCAATAAATTAACTTCTTCGAAAATAAGAATTTTTCTTCGCTGAAACCACGTTTTGTTTTAACCTGAAATTATCGTCCGTTTTGGTTACACAAATGTTTTTGTATAGTGGTTAAAAGAAAGCAAAATATTGATAAGTACAGGAAGCTGTGCATTTTGTCATGAAATTGAATTCATCAATTGTGTTTTTTACCACGCAGCAGGTTTTCCATCTGCTAGATGCTTTCATTTTGAGGTCCTAACAATCCCTTCAGAAATGTAGTACAAACAAGTAGCTATTTAGATACTAAGGTAACCATAGAATCTTGGGTACTATTCATGTCCTTATAAAACATTTTCGGTAAGTGTTGTAATGGTATATTGAATACATTTTAACTGATATTAGTCCAGACTGAACTTATAGTGTACCGCAAGCTATTCTCGAATTGAAGTTCATATCATGAATGATATATTTACTGCCTCACTATGCTTCTGAGTGAACTAAACTGAAGACAAATGGTAACAAACTTTCATCTTTATTTGATAATCATAATAACTCACAAATCCAGCTAACAGGCCCCAAGTAGGACGAAATATGCGTTTTGGACTCCACTGCTAATCACCAAGATGAATATAACACCACAAATATCCGGGAGTATTGAGGCTTCTGCATAGAAGCAGATTTGTCAGTTTAGGTTGAACAATTTAGCCCCGTATAGCGAAAGGAAATTAAAACTCTCAAAGCCCCAATTGATACCCGTTTCACAAGAGGTGGCTGTCATGCCCTAGTAGCCTAGTGGTTACGGCTACGGCGTTTGAAGCGATGAATACTGGGTCTGAATCTCAGTGGGAGCAAAATTATTCAATGAGTTGCAGTTGTCTCCAGCTGACGAGTCTCAACTAGAACGAAACGCGCATACTGGATTCCACTCAGTCACCAAGATGATTGTACGCTCACATAGATTGCACAAAAGAACATGACTCACAGTAGGTAGTACATACCTAGCTTAGCCAGGGAGGTTAGACTACTAGTAACGCATATTTAATTTGAACTACTATCATGTTTGAGCATTACGATACATGGAAATAATTACTGAATAAAAAGTAATTTTACAAATACACATACAAAGTAGCTGTATCATAAATGTTTTACTATAAAATTCAAACCATAAAAGTAGTACGTTAGAACACAGCTCACCTGGTTTCACGATTTGCTTTCTTCAATCTCCCCCTCAAAGACAGTAAAAATGTAGCATTAGATTGTATTTAAAAGGTGAATTGTTTATTGAATTCTGTGCGCTCTTCATTAGTTCAACAGTTTGCAATATTCTCAAGAGCTATCGTCCTGCACTGCTCAGATAGTGTTTCTACTGTGTCTACTAGGATGAACATAAGGTTTTTTGAAATATATTTATCATGAAGTTATGTATTACGGAACGATGTGGTTCATGAAACACCGAAAGTATAGACCATGGGTTTTCAGAGACATTAAAACACTATAAAGCCACTTCACTTGTTTAAACTGTACTTATTTGGTGCATCTCTGAAAACCTTTGATCTTAAGAGTCATATTACACAGACTATCTGTCCAGTTCAGCAATTCAGTAAATTATCAACAGTATTTATATGAATCCGGATTAACATTCGACCAGATAGTTTCACTTATATTAGGCGCCAAGTGAAAAGTCAACATTGGATTATCTCTCTAAGGAATCTCGAAATGGGCTTTCATGAAAAACGTTGGAATTATTTATTTTAATAAACCTGAGGTTTACAGAAACAGATTATGAGGATTATGTTTTATCCTGGTCATCAATAATCATTGTATTTTTCTTTAGCATTGTAACGATTTTCTTTTCACTTTTAGAACTGATAAACAGATCATCAAAAGAATCCACAAAAGATGAAATATTAGATGAACAAGTTGATAACCCTAGAGTGATTATAAATGATTTAGATAAAGAAAGTAATCCCTCTATACTTGTTGATGGAAATAAAACAGAGTTGGACAGAATTGGTGACATTAAAACACGCAAATCACGAACGTTAAAAGGTAATTGAGATTTTCAACGACATTTTTCATCTATTGTATGCGTAATTCTTCAGAAAAACTAATTAACTGTTCTGCAAATCATCCAAATTTTAAGAAATAACATGCGAATAGTAACAGAAGTCAATATAACTATGTCAGAATACATGTTTTACTAGAATAGGAATTCATCATTCCGTACCGAGCAAGTATGTAATGCTTATCAAAGCTCTCTACTCGAACTCACGCAACCGTGTAAAAGCTTATGGACAGTTGCCTTGTGCGTGAGTGACAACTGGTGGCGTCCACCAGAGATACCCACTGTCACGGTTCCTATTTAATCTCGTCATAGACGTACTAGTGGACACAACCTTAGGTAATTATGACTTTACAGGGATTGATCTACTCCCTGGATGTAATCTAGTTCACTTGGAGTATGTAGACGATATTGACCTGGTAGATGAAGACGCTGACGCAATACAGGGTCTTATGAACGCGTTGAGTAAAAATCTAAGTATGTTTGGCTGGCATGCGTTTCACACCTATGAAATGTAAGGTGATACTACAGAAACGGTCTGCTGTGGCTACTCCCAGTTTAATGATAGGAGTGAAGTGGTGGGATGTTTCAACCAATTTACTTACTTGATGAGCTGCATCAGCCTGAACGGGTTAATGGACGGCGAAATCTCATTTCAGACACAAAAATTCCGTGATATCTGTCATTGGACGAGTATGCTGCCCTACAGTCCATTCTGTTCTGGTTTATGACTTTGAGACATGACCACTGAAATTAGAAGACATGAAACAGTTACAAGTTTCTAATCACACGTGCTTTCCTAGCATTCCTTGCGTTCGGTGGAAAAATTATAGTCATTAAGCCACAGAAAGGATAGAGTCGAATTAGCAGAAGTACAAATCACGACAGTTTGTGCTTGTAGTGCATACCAAAGTCTGTGGCCTGTGAAGATAGTTTTCTCACCTTCTTAAAGCAGAAGTCATGGTTTCAGATCCGAATACTTTTGTTTAGCACAGTAGAATAGAGGTTATTTTGTATGACAATAGTTACTCATAATCTAATGTCTGTCAAAGTAAGAAAGAGAATATAATCTTAGTATATTGCTAATGTGAAAGTTTACTATGAACTATCGAATGTGAATGCTTCTTTTTATCGTGAAGGTCAGAAGTCGGGTACGAAAATCCCAACTGGCATTCATTGTGAATTGACAACAGTAACTTCAGCGGTAGGTGAGAAACCCCAACAGATGAGTTTATTTATAAGAACAGCTGAATTTCTTTTGGAAAGAAATATGTTCTCAGTAAGTCTGTTCTTCTTTGCATTGAATAACTAATTTTATTTGAATGTACTACATTAAAAAAAACTGGATCCAGTTGTAGACTAAATTACTGAGGTTTATTCTTCTTAACAAGAACAAGGCATGCATCAGCGAAGAAATATTTCTTTCCAACGACTTCATTATCAAGCTGTACAGTCGTATTTGTACTCAGTAAAGTGACAGATAATTGTAATAAAAAGTTGCTCAGTCAATATGCAAAATACACAATCGGTGTAGGTGGTGGTATTTGTTGAAGTGGAAGAGATAGAAAATGGGTCATTGAAAAAGGAACGAATTGATAACAGGTGGTGAGATAAGCGACAAGTGCTGTCAAAGAATTGTGAAACGGTGATAATTAAGCTGAAATATGTACAATAGGTCAATGTATAAGGAATGAATTGATATTAAAGGGTGAAATATGGTTCAAGTGTTGTCAATGAAGTGAAAATTGGTGATAATAGAAGAGAAGTATACCAAAGTGAAGTGAAATGAAATCGACAAAATCAACAAAATGAATTTTTAAGGTCAAGGTGGAGAAAGTGGTTTCACAAAACGTTTTTCAATGCAAAGTTTCATCCATGTTGAATTGGGACACTCTGCACCTTGAAGTTTATCCGTTAAAATAATTTACCAAGTTAAATTGTACTACTCCAAAGGTTTACGTTTCCACCACTTATGCATAGGTGAAGCATTAGCTGTACATGAACAAAAACCGTTGGGTGTTGATCCAATGAACCGAAACTAAGTAGTCGATCTCTCTCTTCCTATTTAATTATACTAGACTTAAGTACACTGGTTTTACCCAACCCTTTTGTGTGGTTTCTTGTTAATGCATGCATTGCCATAACTGAGTGTTCTTGTAGACTACTGAACCTATTGGGATCTGTTATTCCATATTTGGCTAAATTCCTATGTTCCAATAATCTAGTTTAACTTATATAGTTGACCTCGAAGGTATAATAGCATAAAATTTAGTAGATGAGATTTTGTTGCTTAGTTGGACCTGTTGAGTCCTACAGTCAACGAGGCTTATCTCTGAGTGAGTTTGTAGGTTTAAATGCCAACCTAATTCCAGTGTTGTTGAATATCCTTCATAAAGTTATTGATGTTGCTTCCTAATACAGTAGCACAGTAGAGGCTTTGAGATTATTTCTACTCGTGTTACTGTTATCTTTTCGTTTCTTGTGTGTTCGTACGAATTTATAAATAAACTGCACAGGATAATCTTTAACTACTAGTGCTTCTTTCATGTGCTTCAGTTCCTTGTTTAGGTCCTTACACTGATTAGTCAGTTTCCTAGCTCTTTCATTCACACATTTGACTAAACCTGCATTAATTGACATTGGATGAAATGACTTGAAGTCTAGATAACTGTCCGAATGTGTCGGTTTCCTGTAGAGGGTAGTATTCAAACCACCATCTGTTCTGCGTTTTATCCTGAAATCCAGCATAGGTAATTCTCTTTGTTTGCTTATCTCCATGATAAGTGAATCGGATTGCGGTTACTACTAAGGTTATATGCATGTGAAAACCATCTATATGTTTCGATTTCATCATAGTAAGTATGTCATTCACCTATTCACACATATTTTACTTGAATCTTCTCAATCTTTGCGGTATGTAGCGATTTACATCAGGTAAATCACCTAATGAATAGCTTGAATAAAGGGTTATTTACGATAAATTTAGTGAACACTGCGTAAACTTTTTTCATTTTCACTACAATCGGCTATAATAGAAATTGAATCAAGAAGCTTTATAAACTTCTCCTTGAAAAGAGATAATCCAGAACGAACTTTTATTGCAAAATTTCTGCATGGCACCACATATTTGTTAAAATTCATTTTAAAGTTATAACAGCATAAGTAACTGCAATACTGTAATACAGTATTATAGAGAGGTAGCTAGTGTTTAGACGATTGCATATTAAAAGTGGTAAAATTTCTGTGCAGTGTAATAAAGCGGTTAAAAAGAGATGCGTTGAACTTGCCTAGCTACCATACTGTTCCCGATGCATCAATCTGTATGATGGATCAAATGATCCTAAGTGGATAGATTTTCGGAGACTTCCATTTGAAATTATGCCTGTCAGTGCAAACGGTGTTAAAATATCATTCTTTTTGTGCTTACTGACAGTTCTCAGTGAGGCATATCCGTAAGTTTCATGAAGTTATTGCTGTCTTAAAAACTCTAACCTGCATCAATGGCTATGGTGATCTATTAATTTAATGTTTAACTATTGATTTGTAGCTGACACCAATTAGTATTAGAATAATTGCACCGATATATTAACTGAGAGTAAGCAATTTCATACAATCTGGTCCCTGGTTTCCTTAGGCTTCGACTTACTCATGTATAGATTCTGTTTAACATGGTGCTGAACAAACTCACTTTGAAATGACTGGTTATTTTGGAGATGAAACTGTAAAAGTATTTAGACTGAAATTGGTTGAGCTGTTTAACTTCTAGGTCTGATGAAGAATAATAGATTTAGAATAATTCTGTAACTGATGACTTCATTTGAACTGCGCATTTTGAAAACAATGGCTGGAGTGACTGATTTCACTTCTTGGTAAAAAAATGGAATCCCGGATATTGCTGAAGTCGCATTATGTGTTTGTCAAAATCTACTAGACTTCCATTATGTCACATCTTAAGACATACTGAGCAATTTCTTCAGTGCACCATTTTATGCATCTTTTGTTGATAACAGAATACATTTAACCCTAATCTATTGTTATTCACGAAGAAGCCTACTTCTAAACGATATCTGCATAATTGCGGAAATGAGGTAAGTAGCTTATTTATGGTAGGAGTCGAAAAAGTAATCACGAAGATTAAAAATAGGAGTCAGAATTAAGACCTTTTACTGAATTCAAATACTTATCGTTTCCAAGTTCCTTTAGATGATAAATATAATAAATACATTTTCGTCAAGTATGACCATACCAGAAAATCAGTTTTACGTTTGCCAATCCACTGTTTGAGAGTTTGAAGCATATATAACTCGAAATGCACCAATGGATATTGATGAAGTTAACCAAACCACCTATACTTTTTTTAGTAGAGCCACATTGATCCCGGTGGAAAATCTGGAAACCAGCAGGAGAAACTAAACATCATAAAGTCCATTTAAACAAGTTTCTTGTAATGTAATTACTCCAGCATTATGGTACACACTGAAAGATATAACATATTGTGAGTAACTCACTTTTTTATTTCAAGGACCAGCAGTTCGTGCATAGAATTTTAGGCGGAGTCATTTCAGATAACGTTTTACGCTTTAAAGCACGTTGCCATCCACGGTGATGCCTTTTCCTCATCTTATCTGATAAAAGCACCTCAATAAGTTGTAAACTTCTTAAAAATGTGCCTAGATAAATAATGTGATCGGAGGGCATAATAAAATGATTAAAACGAACAAACGTCTACCTCTAAACCTTCTGATTAAAACTGTTGTGGATAAACATCTTAATTCATGTAGACATCTGTCAGGGATTATTTTATCAGATGACTAGTATCATGTTCACTCTAAGCTCTTTGCATGTCGGTAGTCAATTAAGACCAGGAGCAAGTATATAAGATTTTATGCATATACTACTTAATATAAGAACTCCATTTAGCTTGTCTTGTATGCGAGATAGTGTTAGAAATGAACCGAGTAACCAACTTTTGTTTCTCAAAACAAACTAATTAAAGACTACACAACTTCCTTTCATTTACTTATTCATTAAGAATTTAGTTGCTAATGCGATTATTGACCTAAGTTAACTCTGTATTTTCAGGAAAGTTGTAGACGGAGTAAATGTTTTTATCTTTTGTATGTAATTTATACTTATTACATTTTATTATGTATACGTGCATATTATTTTTGCTCCGCTGGATGCTATAAGGCTTGCTGAAAATCCTAAGGAGTATTGTTGAAATATCTTTCAGAACAAAGCCATTTTTATCATTACTATTACTAAGAGTGAAGTTTTCAAGTAATCGACTGAAGGTTCCTGTTAAATCATATTTGTGGTCTGTTGATACTGACTGACAAAGCGTGAAGGACAAAAGTTACAGAATAAAGTAAAACCACGGATACTCTTCAGCCGCATACAGCCTAGAAGTGCAATAGTTATTAGGACATAAGATATTTCAAAATTAGGAAACCAATTATCTTAAGCTGTAAAAGATGGACACTGACTATCGTTTAAGATGTAGGTGAATTAATCGTACAAAGGTAAAAAAATGTAACAAAGGAAAAATAAATAAAGCGTTACGTAATTAAAATGAAAGTGAGGCAGAATCAAACCATAGCCGAAAGGGAGTGGAAGATAACTACACTCTTCTTTTGTGTACAAAGGTTAGGTTGATAGCATTTTATTGCAGTTATTTCCGAGATATACAGCAATCCAGACATTCGCTGTTTTGTTTACCATTTCAAAAGCACTTGACGTTTCATTCTGATGTCCTGTGTCAATGAGATGTCTGGCAATTGCACTGGTTACAGTTTTATTTCCTTTCAAACACAAATTATTGGGGATATACCTGTCTAACCGAATAGATTCTCTACTCAGTCATTCCAATGTTGAAGGTGACATGAGCAAAGTGGTTATGCGATTTTGACTGATCAAGCGGGCGTGCAGTATTGTGTACTTGAACAAGTCTAGCTGCAGGATAGCACTTTCTTAGTGCTCCTTTGATACTTGCGTCTATTCTCTTGAATATTATGTCCCCTTCGAATGTATGGTGTATAAAAACGTTATTCCTTTTCATAGTTGTGCATTTATTTCTCTCGCTCTGTTCTTTTCAATACTTCATAATAAATCTCTTAAGATATCCATTCTCATGGAAACACTTCTCATAAATTTTTGTTGCTTGTATAATCCAGTCGTTGATTGGACCGACTTGATCAGTCAATATTAACAAATGGGATAATACAAGTAACAACAATAAAACTATACCCATCGCACAAGAAGTGGTTATCGTGGCTCGGTGGATTAATGGGATAACGTTCTGGCGTTTGGTTCCGTGTTCCAGTCCCAGTGAGAACAACATCACTCACTGGAAAGCAGGTACCTTCAGCTGACGGCTTCTAAACGGTATGAAACGCGCGTTACGGTTTGCATTGCTAGCCACTATGCATCATAAACTTTTCAATAAAATTTAGTTCTTCCTCTAACTTGTTGATAGCATATAATTTCTTTGCTCTGTTGTAAAGTGTTTTGACTAGCCCATACTAACAGCTGGCACGGCAGAAACTATTACAGTTAAGGTGTTGTCCGGTTCATGTTTTTTTTCTATAAATGATCGTTTCCATCTTGCCATCAATTCTTCTTCGCACATTGATGTCAAAGAAAACGGAACTTTGTATCATGGTCATATTCCATGATGGAATGAGCCTTGTTGAGCTTTTCAAACAACTCACTTGCATGTTTCATATCATTACAAAAACAAAGGTGTTGTCAACGTCCAAATTTGTCCAAATTTATCAAGGAATCTAAATGCATGACATCATATTTCTACTTTACGTCTTGCAATAAAAGACGTTGGTTTTCAGTTACTCGTATTTTTCGTAATGCCATTCCTTAAGTGTTATTCAGATTACTCAAAGAAATTTATGTGGACCACGATCGAGAATTGATCAAGTAAATATCACAAATATTAGGGACCGAGTGAAAAATTCGTGCTGGATATGTGTTATATTCGCATAACTTTCAGCATATTAAAAATAATTTCAGTGTTTCATACAAACGTCTTGTATAACTTCTTCAGTGAAACGAAGAAGTATCTTCAAAGAATCATTTGTAGACCCCCATTTCTCCTGGATGTTTAGGCATAGATCTCAGGCGGCAACCAAGCAAGGATGCTGTGAAACCGATTGCTAGATTTCAATTTTTATATTGAAGTGAGAAATTTGTCCCTAAAGCCAAGTTTTTAGCGAATTTACTTTAGAGGTTATTTAGAATTGCAATAAGATATTTTCTATATGCTTCTGCTTACTGTTTTATGTGTTTTTGAATTATTTTACGCTGGCTACTTTAGTTTGCATCTGTTGCATTGGCTCATGAGTTGATTGCACAGAAAAAAGACTTGGAATGCCAATCAGCATCTTGTGATCCTCAAATTTTCACATCAAGTTCAGTGCCCAATCTACAAACACAACCTGAGAGTCACACGCCTATACAAGGACAACTATCCAATGATAACCATTATCCGGCGAATTTCTCAACCACTGGTTTATCAACACTAACAAATCGGATTTCTTCAACAAATATTTTATTTCATCGCGTATCAAGTTATCACTTACTATGTGCACGCTTGGCAATGAGTTCCTATAAACAAGACTTATCAGAAGCCGAATTCAATGTTAGCTTGATCATTGAGGCTGATCCAGAATCCATTGAAGCTTGGGCATGTTTAGGTCATTTACGTTATACTACTGGGGATTTCAGTGCAGCGCGTGCCTGCTATGAACGGTGTTTAGCTTTGATCACCTGGCCTCCTAAAGATGAACATAGCCTATTAATGAGATTAGGTTCAATTTACTTACAAGAACAAAAGGTTTGTACTAATTATGAATATGATAGTACAGTACACTTTTTTTTATTTCATTGGATTTAATTTATCATAAAACTGACTGATTCAATCATTTTTTATTTTTTAGCAAATCTTAAAAACATTATAAAAATAAACAATGAAATAACATTTGGTCGTATGAACCAAATGACAATCAGTAAATTAAGACTTCGGGGTCTCTTGTAAATTGCCTATGCCATCCACTAGGCAAATGCGAACAACTGTTGAGCTAAGACACAGATACCAAAGCATTCAAGCAGTTGTCTTTTTCATAACCCATCTAGTTATTTAATAGGTAATCCATGAATCCAAGTCACTGATTAAATTCAGTCTTATGATTTCAAGTTTGCAATAATTCTTTCCGTTTTTGTGCCTGAAAGAAGTATAATCTTATCAATCTGAAATGTCCGTCACTAAATCGGATAGATTCTTAAAAGGAACAAATTCAGAAAGGTGTTACTGCTGCATATATATATATATATATTTAGTGTGATTCTTAATTTGAATTCACATCCCTTATTTTAGAATTTGTATTTCTCAATGAATGTAAATCAATATCAAATTCGTCTAACTGACGTTACTCTATTTACTGCTAACAGCCCTACCAAAGTAATAGGAAACTGCAATTTACAATATCCAAGCTTATATATGATAATTTGACAAGTGTTCTTCTGCATGAATGATTCTGAGTTGTCAGAATTGTAGAATAAAGATGATAACCATATGTAGAGTGTCGTGTGTTAAGAGTGTATGATATACAGATTGAGAACTTGTATGTATACATGTGTTGATGGTTCTTATTGTACGTATATTGATTATGTCACTATGTAGGGCTGGGTTGAGACCAACTCGAACTCGGTTTTATTCACTCATTCCTTTTCAGATAATTCTAATTACAAATTATGTTAACAGGTTGTGTTATGAGACGTCCCCTACAATTTCTAAAGCCTTTCTGAATAATTTCAATATTGTCTAAACCAACCTTGTAACCTGCAGTTATGTCGTATTGAGAGAGATATAGTTGAGAAGTTTTCAAGCTTTTTAAACTTTACTAGATTTCTAGGGAGCCTAATGGGAGCATTTCGGTGTTCACCTTTTCTAATTTTGATTTCCCGGGAAATTTGTTCTATGTATACTGAATCACATTGTAAACATTTTATTTTATAAACACATTTAGATTGTCAATCCAGAGGGATCTCATCTTTCGAATGGACTAAGATGCTCTGAAATGTGTTTGATTCCCAGTAAAACACTGATATTGCATTTGTAAATCACGCTCTTAATTTAATCCGAGATGTGTGATCTGTATGATATGACAGTTCTTGAGGCCAATGATTTACGATCTAACTTAGTATCATTTTCCTATTTTGCGAATGAATTTCTATGGCTTAGAAGTTTGAAATCCATTGGAAACCTAAGGGCACTGGATGACTGTTTCCGTTTTGTTTAAGACTCCTCAGCAGTGCGCATCTACTACCTCATGAAAGACTGCGTCCAAGACTGTTAGGTTAATTCTGTAGTTATTTGATTCAAATTCTTTATTGATGTGAATGACCTTGAAATCCATCCGAGATATACTATAGTAGTAAAACGTGGACACTGTAGTAGATTCCAATTCCATTTAAGTGTTTTTCACTGTGTGACACATCTACTAAACAAACTAACATAAAAGCATCGAAAATCACTAGTTCGTCAGCCTAAAATTAACTGCTAGAGCTTGGTTGAAACTGGTAAAGTGAGAAGTTATTTGATGTTAGAGCAAGAAGTAGTAACTTCTGTAATATTTTATAGTTTGTAGTTCTTTGTATGGAGGAACAGAAAAAGCCTAACAAATTAAGATGTTAAGCAGTATTGCATCGCTTAAGGTTATCAGAAGTCTGATCTAGACAGCGGAAGCGAGAGAATGCACATTATAAAGTTTTTAACAAAATTTTTAAAAAGGTTCATGATAAAAAGAATGTATAACTGAGTATGAGATAGTTTGTGTAGAATTCAACCAGAACTAAAAATTAGATTCATCAGTCACAAGTTGAACAAATTTTAGTAAATCACTAAGAGGACTCTGAGTCTAATTTTTTACAGAGCATGCTATCTACCTACAGTGGATGTCCCTACATTTTCTCTTATAAAAGTTTACTGAAAAGTTTAAATTGTGAGATAAAACTATTTACTACAGATTAACTGATCGACATTATTTCGTGGTTGCAGTTGGGCAATAAACTCTAGGATGCTTATTTCGTGCCTGGTATTCTGAACTTGTCAGTTAGGTGTGATGCTTCGTCGTTTGGAGTGGTGATTGCTTGATATGCGTCTCACCGAAAGAAACACCAACACTGATACGTAGATAAACTCGGTAAATGAGTGAGGAATAGGAAGTTCCAAATCACGCTGTTAACTATCGACAAACAAATAGCTAACTACCACTTCTGAATCTTCAGTGATTGTTCAATAAGGTAGAATAGAATACAATGTCATATCCTTTCACTTGTTTGGTTACTTTATTCGTTTACATTGATTGTTGTGCGAACAATAGTTAAGGGAAATTAGTTCAGCAACATTTGAAAAACGCGATCTTACGCTACGTGTTAAAAAACTACATCATTCCTAAACAATGATAAAACTAGACAGATGAATGCTCTGATATGTGCGTAAAAAAGATGCTATTTTTAAATAAATACGTGCTCACTAACAATCTTTATAAGTATTTACCCATGACACAAAGAAATCTGAAATACATTGGTCATCTCACTTATCTAAAAAGTGAACAATAACATTTAGCTTGTAGGAAGATTCGATTCTGTGACCTCTGTTGAACGGATATTAAAATCAACAGAAAAATAATAATTCAGCTGTAAAGATTGGTAAACAAACTATGAAACTTTCTCATGATGAACAAATGGCGTAAATCTCCCTAGATTACAAGTATTTTAATAAAGCTACTGACTTTCGTCAAATCTCAGATAGTTCTCCTCTAATAAACTTCATTTAGAACAAGACAAAATATTAGATTACAGTGGAATCGAATTGACAGAAAAGCTAAATTTTTCAGCTTTACCAACAGACTTACTTAAGTGCATTTTCTTCTTTAAAATTATATTTCAGTATCGAGAAGCTAAAGATATTTACCTGCGTGCATGTAAACACTCACCAACTTGTGCCACATGGTTAGGTGTTGGTAAAGCCTGCTTCAGGGTAAGTCCACCCGTCGCTTATTTAGGGAAGAATTTACCAAGTACAAATATTATATAATTACGTTGTCATTTTATTTAACTAGTGTTCATTTCCCTCTACAGATTGTAAATATCTTTTATATTCATCAGTTGAATAATATTATTGAGATTTAAAATTACCAAGATGTCACCGGTTTGTTAAACTACAATGCCTAATAACTTTTACACAGTGGAAAAAAGTTGTTCATCGAGAGAAGTAAATTGGTAAATAAAAGACAGTCACTACATTTGTGTTTTATAAAAGTATAGAAATCGTCATTAGCATGGATTCTCGTTTCTACAGAAAATTCAGAACAATACCTTCAATTCTACCAGCTAATACTGCAATATTCAGCCACTGATAAGAAATCAAAAAACCTTTTTCAATGGCATAAAGAGAGACAAATTACCTTGGCGACTTGGATAAAAGGGTATCAGTTTAAGTTGCCACATTTCGCAGCACAATTTTAAAATGAAATGGATCGAAAAAGGATGACACTAAGGTTGACAATGGAAAATAGAACAAATAAGCGAAGGTTACTTAAAATGTTCAGAATTTCGAACATGGCAAAGAATGTGTACATGTAAGTTGCACCGTTAAGAGACCTTAGCCACTGAATCCTATCGTCTCAAGGGCTTCCAGCCAGGCAGCGTTTGTGCTCAAAACTGACAACTAGACACTTTATTCTTGGATACTGCAGTTTGGTCTGACCATCTTAAGCCTATGCTAATCCTACATCGGCTGAAATCATACGACGATGTGCACAAAAAATACTGGAGTCATGTCACCCAGTGAAGTTTCGCAACGTCCTCAACCGACTTTTATCCCTCGTCTAATATTCGGAATCTAAACCCAACACTGTTCACGTGGCGATTCGACCAGATGCTAGCAGCGCTACAAAAAATAGTTATGGTTAGAAACCTGTAACCTTTTTACATCTTCTACTTTCAATAGCCATGTCGCACAGCCGTACAGGAAAACAAAGTTGAATACTGCACAGCAGTGGAAGAGAACTGAAATAGTGGTAAAAACCTAAATGCGGAAAATACATAATTTTAATAAGATTCTGTACAATTTTACATCATTTCAAGGGATTTAAAATGGGTAAGATATAATGGAAGTAGAATATATGGTATAACAAATGTACAAACATACTAGGTGGCGAGGATACAATGTTATAGGAGGATAACTTATATGTTGCCAATTCCATTAGAGTGTTTTCTTTTTTATTGCTTCCAATTCCCACTTTTCTTGACAGTTAGGGGAACTAGAAAATGCTGAAGAAGCTCTTACTGAAGCTAATTATATAAACAATAGAAATCCAGAAGTTTGGGCATATTTATCTATGATATGTTTGAAGACAAATCGGCGTACAGAAGCTGAACAGTCTTTTAAATATGCTATAAAGGTCAGTTTTTACATTCACTATTATTTGGAGTTATTTCATTACAATAAATTACTAGATTCAAAAGGTACTGAGATATCCAAAGTTTGAAAAACAGTTTACTAAACTATCATTCTACCGAAAACTCAAAAGGTTTGGAGACAACATTTAGGATTATGCAATTTGTCCAGTCGATTTACTATAGTATGGTCACAAAATCTTTTTGTGCACTCAATAACATCATTTTCATGAATATGATATATCTGATAACGATAGGTGGTAGGAGTGAGAAGTCATACATTCAGTAAGAATTGTAGTTAAGTCAGAATGAATATATCTCAAGTATTAAATAAAGTATGAAATGGGCTGCGTTGAAGAACTTATGTTTCAGCTGAACCAATGATTTACGATAACCAATATGCACCTAAAACTTCGATCATGAGTCTTCTTTTAACATTCTATAGCTCATAAACTGAAATGAATACAGAAAACAACATGTCCAATTCGTTGTTCGAATAGTTCAACACTCATTTTTATTCCTCGTTGGCAAGCATCTTTGTGATTAAGAATTACTGTTGATGTATCTAGCTTTATTTCAGACATTCTCATACTTTATTAGTTTTGACAACTACTTTTTCGTTCCATAAAAAGATCCTTTCTCGGTTTGTTTCAGTTTCCATAACAGATACATCTGGGCACTGAAAAACAACTATACAAGCATAGAATACAGTATTCGACTGTGATATTAGTAGAAATCATGAGCTATATGATATCAAACTGTAAAACGCAAGAAATGAGGATATTTGAATCAGACTTGCTTCAATTCAGAATCAATTCTACATTCTGCCGTTGAATTACGGTTCAAACAGCCTTTGCCGTACCACATAACTCAACGCATATTTCAAACTAGAGACTGAAGGAATGACGTAATCTGGCTTTTAAAGTAAAATGAAAAAAATGTGAACTAATAAAACACTAGGTGTCAAAGGGTGAAACAACCATCCCATAAATATGTTTCAGACTCGCCAAAAACAACTTAAAGACCTCACCGATAGCTGCAGCTTTAACCACCTCACTATTTGTTTGTGAGGTAGCTTACTGTTATGCAACTGAAAACAGCTAGCATGTGTGAACAAAACTATCACCCATGAAGTCATTCTTATAGCGCCTACTTATAGTCTATGCTTCCGCCATGAATTATCTAATGACTGTAGCTAGATGCAGAAGCGAGGTAAGAAAGAATTACATTCCGACGCCAAACAAACAAGAAAATTGTTTTAATCTAGTCTTGGGTCTAGCACATGGGTGAAATCACCTTTGCAAACCTTTAATATAATTGCTAGGGCTTACATACAACAAATAAAAGTTACCATTAATTTATAATATTTACATCAGAAAAGCAGCGTAGAATAAATGACCTTGTGGTGATCAAATCAAGTCACGAAGATCAAAGCGAGATATCAGTTAATATTGGGTTGTGCAGAGTTAAAAAATAAGTTTAAGAATAGTTCATGAGAGGTCACCTTAAAACAGTTAGACTTATGTTAGAGTAATTGAATTGCACCGAAAAATGACTGCACTTTATTTCTCAATGAATGAAAGTTCTAATTTCTGTTCAAAGGAGAAAGTTGTGCGTGTGTTAGGGCTGCCCAAATCCTAAAAAAACTAACTTCTGTTCATATTATCATTGTAAAATGTAAACTTCGTTTTCGAGCTCTTTTAGCGCCATACAATGTTACTTATTATTCATGCGGTTTAGGATACTTAACACTGATTGGTCCACTTTACACTTTTAATATGATATTTTGTTTTTCCCCGTCGAGGCCATCTAAAGATACATGAACGACTGAATTTTCAGCCATGAGATTATTCGGTTGAAGTAGGTAGGCTTTCAGACCCATCTTCTTTTGGTGTCAGCTTAATATTGACTTGAGAAGTCATTATTCTATGGTTAATTGTATCGCGTTGGAGCATTCTATTTTTATATGTACCGTGGATCATAAAATCACATTGTCAATGTTTGGTGAGAATGAATATTTTCTGATACATATATCTGATATCTTAAGATTTTATCCAATTAATTTTTTGCTCTAATTCTAGACGAAATTGCAAGACGTTCACTTACTGGATGAAATTCATGCATTGCAGCTGGAAGTTGGTTGGGGTAATCCTCTTGTTTATTGGGAGACATATTCACAACAGTAAATTATCGGAAACGGGGGAGTGAAAATCAACACTTCTTCATAAATAGTTTTCTGTTTATCTTAATAAATAATTATTGCTCAAAATTAGCTACCATATGTTATCGTTATACCTCATTTACCTGATTTATGCGAAATTAACATACATCAAGTTATTTTTCATCATTATAGTTTGAAGTATCTTGGAGGAACAGAATACTAGACGACCAATTCGTCCTAAATTGAGACCTTTCATCAGCCCGCATTCGTGACCCCACTTAGGATCTTTTTCAATGTCAGGTTTCCGGGTGAGCACGCTACCATCCAGCGACTGAATTTAAATTTGACTTTCATCACTTTTTAACTTTGTCAGTTTGTGATTACATACAACAATTCTTCGCTGTCATACATGGACATGAATGAAGCCTTTTATATTTGCTTTGTCTTCTTCTACTTCAGAACTAAGTTAGGCACTTACTTTCGTTTACAATAGATTACTTCAACCATAAAATTGTAAAGAAGAATGACCAATCACGAAGGAATCGATTCCAAGGTTACTCAAATTGGTTAGTATACGCGTAACTAGTGCTTATAACGCTGTATGAATTTTATACAGAAAGAAAATCCTGAGAGTTAAAGAAAGACTTTCATTTTCGACGTTACTGTTGCGCTTAATCGTGAAGGTAAGCACACGTCATCTTTAGTGTCTATGAGTTGTGAGTGTAAACTTTAAGCTACATTGTACAAACCAATACACGTATATCAGATGCGTTCACTCTTTATGTTCGTTTACAAACCACATCATTATTCTAAAGACGATTAATGTATACACCTTCGTTGGATTTCTCCAGTTACCTCGAGTAAGGTTGTTAATAGTAGTGATAATAAAAACAGCTACATATTTTTTGACCTGGGAAGCTTACATGATGTGTTGCTAAAGACATCAGTAAAAGATTGACATAAACCTATCATTGCTGAACAGAATATAACATGCGCAGAACAGCAGGCACTGGTTCACAGCTTACACCATGTGAACCACTTTAAGGTTAGGCGTATGGTATTTGACAAGGGAGGCAGTCAGTCGATGAGGATGTGAGCTTTCACAAACTGAGATATCTTGAATATGTGTTGCCCTTGTCAAGCCATTTCCTACCTGTTCTAGAAAATGCGTATGTGGACTGGACTCACTCGTGTTTTGACAAATGTGACAGCTTGTATGCTGTGGAATGTCAAATATGCTATCTGGAAGAAACTACTTAGTTAGTTGTTAAACCTGTGAAACTGGTAACTGACGTAACCGATTGACAGTTAAAATCAAAGACAATAGATTTTGTTATAATAACAGAGCGGTCACTGACCATAGACATTCCTGCAAGTATTGATATTATACAGAAACAATGAACTTTTTTCGGAAATCATTTGCCGTATAGTGTTGTTGAAAGGTCAATCCCTGAGTGATTTAACGCTGGTTAAACGAAGATCATAAGGTTTAGGATGGACTTTAAGATCAAGAAGATGTGAAGTAGTTGGTGTAAGTGTACTAATAGCTGACTTATAAAATTCAGTTTCGTCCTAACAACACAATGGATATTATTTGCACAAGTCTAACATAATGTCTTACGTTATAACGTTTTATTTTATTATATATTTGTCCCTTGAATTCCTAGTGGAACATGGGGCTTCAATGGCAGGTTGCCATTTCACTTTCTTCTCTGCAGTCTCCTTAACCCAGCTCCACGACTGATCACAAGATTTCATTTCTTCCTCACACCATCTCCTTCATCTCACTCTTAGCTGAGACGCCCAACTCGTCGTCCCCCATTTGGGTTCAAGGGCCTGGCATAAGATGTCCCCAAAGTCTCCTCAGTGTATGTTCAATCCATCTCCACTTGCTTCTACAGATTTGTTGGGCGATAGCTTCTTGGTTGGTTCGTTCGCAGAATTCCTTGTTGCTCATTCTTTCTGGCCATCCGGTCTTCAGTATCGAGCATGAGCAGCTGTTGGTGAAAGTCTGTAGTTTGTTGGAAATACTTTTCGTGACGCGCCAAGTCTCTCAACCATCACATAGAAGAACTGACTTAGTGTTGAAAATCCGGATTTTTCCAACGCTTTATGCTGAGTGGAGTGCAGTTCAGTAGACCTCCACACTGATTATTTCAGATTATTCAAGGCTTATCTTACTATCTTTCCGATCCTGCCTTTGACGTCTTCATCTGTGCCCCCTGTAATTGAAACGATGCTTCCTAGGTAGGTGGAAGAGACAGCTACCTTTAGATTTCTCCCGTTCATGGTGATTGCTGCTTGTTGTTGTTGGTCGGATATCTTCATCACCTCTGTCTTCTCCACGTTCACTTGAAGTCCCGTCTTCGCTGCCCTGCCTCTTCTGTCAACTTGTTGGTTTTCGACTGTAGATCTCCAAGTTTGTGCTACAAGAAATGAGACATAAATAATCATCGGCAAAATTCAAATCTCCTAGGGTCTTTTTATCAGTCGAACAGCCAATGTTGGTCATGTTAAAGCTTCCTTCTATCTTCTGCTAGTGAAAAGAAATAAACGTTTTGTTTTGAATATATCTTATTGGATCGGCATTCTAACCTTTACCATCCGATTGTGCTTTCCTCTCATCCACTTGGCTTTATGTCTTCAAAAGTGTCATATTATTTTGTGTGGTATATTTCTCGGTGCCGTAGCTGTACTATGTTTTTATTCTAACTTAACTACCTGGACGTAAAGTACTATTTTGAACGGAATAGCGTTGTGTTTGTAAGCAATTGATCAGTATAATCATAATCGAGTAAATTCTTTATACAAATGAATGATTAAGAAGTTCATTAGATAATGAAAATAGCATAACACGATGTCTGAGCATTTCGAAACTGAAAAGAAGCGAAATCCCATCGCATCTTCGTTGAAATAGAATGGAATTTAGATAACAATAACTGGAAAATTTCACGCACTGAGTAGCAGTTCTCTTGAAATTCGATCGGTATTGCTACGTACAAGATAAATATTAGACGGTTCGAAAATAATCAAATGCCGAGATCATATTGCTGACAAATGTAGTTAAGAATCCACAAGAACATGTAATAGCAAACACCAAGAAAAAGGCACCTACTAAATATTTTCGATCTATTACAATAATTTACGACTGCATTTGAGCTTTTAGAAACATAACTTCTAAGGACACTGTGTATGCAGTACATAAAAAATATTTTTTTCATGGTGAGGAACATAGATACAGATTTTTTGTCTGTCTTACATGCTCATTACTGCAATGGCATTTTAAATTCAATCCACATCTATCATAAATTTCCACCTTCGTGATGCAATGCATCTCAGTGAATAGATTTAACGAACTAACTCGATGCCCGCGTCTTTTAGAATCATCCAGTCCATACATGCTCAAACTATTATTTTATGACCGATATGATAAACAGAAGTATGAAAGTTTTAAAAAATGATATCATCGGAGATAGTTTACTTTATTGAATAATATCCTCCAGTCAACATACAGTGTTCACCCCCCCCCCCCCCCCAGCTGTTGCACTTATTTTTATGGAGGAATATGTTTTGACCAGTTGGTAAAGATAAACAGCACTGAAGGGAACTGTAACTCTTAGACATTACTATATGGGGTTGAGAAGTTGACTTTTAACCACTGAGTTGTGGGTTTGAACCCCGCTCTTCTTACCGAGGTAGTATCATTGGCTCGTACACAATAGGTATGGCTCATTGCTTACTACACAAGGTTGATGAGTGCATCTAGATTTTTCGATTTGAAACATTACAATGCAGTGTGAAATGTTTTAGATCCTTTCCTAACCCACTAACCCCCAACCCAATATAATTATTATTAATGCCCATGAGCAGTAAGTAATTCATACCTATCTATTCTATCAACGTCCATATTGTACTTTGGCTAACATAAAAAACAACATGTCTGGTCAACAAAAGTATCTCTTCTGAGAAAGTGAATTCACTGGAAAGAAATTTTTACAATGAAAATGGTTGAAGTGATATGAAAGACATGGAAGTACAAAAAATAAAATGAAAACAATTACTACTTGAAAAATATCAGTAGTATTCCTTTGATTACAAAATATGATAATCACAGAAGGGGAAAAATTGTAAAATTAGTAAATAACAAGTTAACCTCATGTGATAAACATACCGTCTTCAAATACATTCATCATTTACAGTCCCTATTGTTTTTTACTCACTGGTTTACGTTGAATACGTACATGCCAACCTTCTGTATGCTCAGCTAAACTATCATACCATTGATCAGGTACCAAGGGAAATAACTATGCAATTGATAAAGAAAGCGTTCACGATAAAGGTCTGGTGTAAGTATAGTTGGCATCGGTCCTTGTGCACTAGTAATAGTCTGTTTAATAATCATTTCTAAACGTTTATCAAGTGTGAATTTACGTAGATAATCAATTAGTCCGACAACAAGTTGATTGGTTGATGTATCTACACCAACCAGCAAGGAGTAATCCATAATGAACAGATTGGCTAAGAATGTTGTATCCATATTGAGACAATGCGACAAAGCATTCTGAAAAAAAGATTAAGGTACGTGTGATATAATCAGCATTATAGATTAAAAGGAAGGTACAGTAATGCAATAAGGTGATCGTTATAAAAAGTTGATCATCGGCTGGGAAAAAAAGACAGGAAACTCGGAGTTAAAGTTTGCCAATTAAGTCAGTTATCAAGAAAAACTAGCATAAAAGTCCATCAGTTCAAGCTGTCACAATTCAAACAGAAAATAGTAATAGAATACCAAAATAAATTATAAGAAGAGTAGGAGAAGACATTAAATAGATGGTAACAAAAAATGGAATGTCAGTGGTTCAAAAAACTTTACGTATTTCGGTCTCAATACACGAGTGATGTCATCAACTCCTCTCCATGAAACACGTATGAATTGATCCAAAGTTAGTAGTCACTAATAGAAAGTTGTATTGAACAGAAACCAAACTTCAAGTTATTGACTATTGAGGTATAACTGAAACACACTAAACAACCTTGTGCATGTTTGTGCAGCAGGCAATGAGCCACACTTATTGTGTGAAGACTAGTTATATTGCCAACCAGCTGCCCAAACCCCGATAGATGGAGCGGCGTTCAAACCCATGACACACTTGTTTAAAAGCTAACTCTCTAAATCAATGAGCGACAGACCCACTAAGGTGGGGACTTTGAATCTCAACTTTCAACCCATGTTGCAGTCTGGTCAAGATAATCTCATTGGACAGTTTGATTATTGAGAGAAAGTCAAAATATACTAACTAGTATTCTTCTTGATGTGTTTCCGTGTGCATGACATTTACGCATCCCGATGAAATAAAAGCTACTGAAGGAAACAGCCGTTATTCATGCATAGCTCAAGTATCTTTACGCATTCACAACCGCAATTTGCTTCTCAGTCCACATGATCACTTAAATTTCACCAAAGACCTCGAGACAAAAATGCATCAACCAGGTACTCAAAATCATCAAGATACACACTGGAAGAATATATCAGACTAGTAGTAAATAACTTCAAGTAACAGTAGAACTTTGCAATGAATATGACGAAGCTTGCTTCATAGGTGTCGCTAAAAATAATGACCAAGGGAAAATATTTTAAAAACTTGGTGAAGTGATTATGGGACAAATAAAAATTAGGTCAATAGACATTTTGGTGAGTATTCTTTGTAAAGTAAGAGTTGATAAAGCTACTCTCACGATGCATATTATGCGTATGAATGTATTTTGTTCACGCAATTTACAGATAAGTTCAGTGTCTTTTTATGACTTGGAAATATAGTGGATAACTACTGGTAGGTACATCGATGGATCTTAGCATCAGAATATCTTTCCTTGACACAGGTGATGTATTACCCTCATGAAATTTGACTAACTAGCTGATCAACCTACACACGTTTTACGAACTGTACAGTTCCGGTTGATTTTTCTCAAAACTAGGTAGTTTTTAAACTTCCCAACTGTAGTATTTTATAAGATTTCTGATGAAAATCACATAGACAAAGGTGGTGATCACATGACCTTAGCTCCCAATGAGAAAAATAACCATCTGGTATTAAAATCATTTCTATATGGCAGACAAAATCACACACAAGTGCATCGGTTCAAGTTTCCATACTTTACAGTACTAGAAAAAGGACAACTGGATAGGAAAAGTGATATCAAATTAGAAAAATTTGTGCAAACGAATAAACAATTTGAGGATAAAGGTTAGTGAAAAACATTCAAGATTCACTTTTTGCATGATCAAATTGTTCGAAATGCATAGCATCATTATATAACACGCTTCAAAAATCATCTTCGTTCTTTCATTACGCTACATAGAGCAAGATGTCATGACACGTTTACCTGATAACTTTGTTTAGCATACTGTAGATATAAAGGTATTCAAAACATGACTGTAATACTACTGACATTTTTACCTTCTAAACGTCATCCGTAGTATCTAAAAATGGGATCTCATGATACATGAAACGTGTGAACTACATACACAAATTTCAGTCAGTAAAGTATGTATGAGATGGACGTTTCCTACTTCTCAGTACTAAAAACTGAATACAGATTTTTCCCAAGAATATGAGCTTTTTAGACAGAATTCGGGTAAGTTTTTATTTAAATGATTAACATTCACAAAACAACTAACCTTTGAATGTACTCTCAAATATAATGGATTATCTATAGAAGCATTCAATAAATTCTGATCTAACAGAACAGGTATACGTTGATTAAAAATTTCTGAGGATAATTCATTATCTCCTATTGACGTGATACATCCAGATGGTGAACTATCAGTATAAGACATATTCTCATCAATTTCATGAGCAGTGTCTACGTTAGGAGTAATACCATTTGTACTAATTTTAATGCTTTTGGATGATTCATCTGCTAACCGTTTGCGCAATGAACCTTTTAAATCGTATATGTATGCTAATTGTGTACGACCGTGAAATAAATTCTCCATTACGAGCACATCAAATCGATGTGCTTCACCTGAAGCGGAATTTTTGAATCCAACATGAAATATACCCAGTATTCGTGATAAAACACAAAGACGCTAAAGAAAAAGGTAAGAAAGGAAAGTGGTTAGATGAGTTTTTTGAATATCTTAATTAAAAATGAATCTTCACTATACATCAGTGACATATGGTCGAAACTAAGCCACTGTTTACTATCCCATGTAACAGGGTGAACGATATTTACCCAGCTTCTTCGAAGTGTCCTACTAAAAAAGCACTACATTTTAATAAAACGGAAAAAACTTTTAAAAATCCAAACGGCTTTACGGTAAATCATTTTGCGAAAAATAGCATACCAATCAAGTCGAACATGAAGACAGTTATTCAACAACGACATTGGATCGAGGTCGAGCTATGTCGTATACTGACAAAAGTAGGGAATTAAGACCACTTTTTTAAAACCCAGGTGGTTCTGGGTTCGACCAGTGGTGGGTCGGGTCACAAATGAGTACTGCTGAGGAGTCCTACATTAGGACAAAACAGCTGTCCAGTGCTCTCAGGTTCCTAATGTTCTTCCAATTGATCTCAATCTACGATGAATCCCGACCTGAAATCAATTAATCAGTCTCCACAATCTCCCACATTCAGTAAATCTAAAAATATTCAAAAAAATGTTGTACTCAGTTAATGTCCTCTATCAGATGCTTCACCACAATTTCGGGGAAATACCAAGAAGGTCAACTTTAAATATACTTCGGAAGGCATATTTCAAGGACTAAATTTTAGTAACTTCTCAGCTTTACGTCAAATATTTTTTTTAAAATAATTTTTCATCGTGAGCATCAAACAGACAGGTAAATCAAAGTAGAAATACGTACGAAAGTAAATCAACTAGCTGACGTTACGAAATAAAATAGTCATACCTCGTAGGACGAGAATAAAATACATACAATATCAGAGGCTTATAGCCGTTCGTGAGTACTTCGCAACACTCACTGTAGACCAAATCTTATATGCTTTGAAAACTCTTATGTAAAAGCAGATGTAGCTATGATCTACGCCTCAGAAAATGCAATTTTTCAAAAGAGCTAGAAATTACACAGCATTTGCAAGCCTTCGCAAGGGAATACCACATAGATGCACCTAATTTCAATACTTTTAACAAAATTTGTCCTAAATAATTAACTCGCGACCTACAGATGGTACCCTGCGTGGTGGTCCGACTTAACATCACAGTGACCCAATGAACTACACTGCCTGAAACCCCTGTTCCTTGAGCATCTGTTATACAAGAAATGTCTGTTGAACAGTGGTGGGACGTAAAGCAGTTACGATCACAGTTTAAACTGTAATGCTTAGATGGAGGTCCGACAGCGAAGTCATACCTATAGCTGTACCGAATGCGAACGCAGAATAGTGTTCCCCGCTGATGACCACCAGTATTATGCTGATGCTGCCTTTACTAAGAGAAGGAGGTTGATAGTAAAGATCAGCCCCAAAAGTATCAAACTTCTCATTGTACTATGGTATTCTAAAGGGGTGGTATAGCTTCTTGTCCGGCACTGGCACAAACAAATTTCAATCCAGAAATCTAAAAAAGGCCTTTTCATACACCTCAAGTAAATTTCCAATGGGATCAGCTGTATTGAAAACCTACTACTTTTTCACATTCAGATTCTTTGCAGAAAGAACTCTAACGTTGTCAGCGACTAAGAAGTACCAAACTTTCACATACTCCAAATAGTAGCACAAAAAGTCCAACTCATCATGACAGGCGTTCCTAATACTTGTCAACATGCATCCACTCCCCGACACTAATATAAGCCTCTTAAGGTTTCCTGTACCTCCCAGCCAGCGACCATTGCTAAAGATCCAGGTTAGACAAACATCATTACTGGTCTCCTGAAACCAGGTTGCCGTTTTTACATTGAGGCTTCAATGTCCTCACCGTGTGTCGGATTAGACAGCAAGAATCGCTTGCAAAGGCTCTGGAATCCCAGTCCTTCGATGTGTGCTATGTTGCTGAAACACGCAGACAAGACTCAAGTGTGTTTCTTAACTTAACTCAACCTTATCAGAACAGTAAATCTGCAAAATTCATCTTATGAGTGTCCGTAGATTCAATCTCTGGCCCTCATGCACTCACAAGTGTAGGCATAGAATTACGTTCTCAAACAGAAAGAGCTCTTTTTGATAGGCGTCTGTTTCTTATCCGACAGAATGGATCTGCAAGAACTAGGAAGAATCTCGCAACTTGTCGATGTTTGTTCGCAGTTCTCACCTACGCTCTTATCAACCACAGTTCAAATGATAAAAAGAATGAATTTTGACAAAGGTATCAATTTTGCAACAGAAATTAAAACGTTCAAACATAGTCAAAATAGCAACCAACATTTACACTCAAGTAGGAGAACTGAGGCAATCAAGAGGGTATTAGAGACGTATCTATGGCATACCAGCAACGGTGATTAGCTCTCGCAATTTCGTTCTGAAAATCGTTAGTTTGTAGACAGAAGTAACTTCAAGTAATAGGAAAGACAACGTTTCACATGATGCCTGTCAACATCACACCAATGAGAGACAAAAATATGTCATATTGCCGGAAGCCATCGTTGGAGAATTGCCAGTCTTTGTGAAGTACTCCAATAATTCGTTAGTACGGGGACTTATATGCCTGTGTCTTAATGGTCGCAGGAAACAAGCAGAAATGAAGTCTGTGCGTCCGCGACTGGAAGATGAGAACATCAAGTACGTATGTATGGGAGGAGATAGGTAAGTATCAATCTGAACACGGCAGCAATGCTCATCTTGAGGAAATCTGGTGTGACATTCTGTCTGTTATACAGACAGTTGGTAACCTACATCCAAGTGTCAGCAAAAGCCAGGAGGTTTCCGCAACGTCATTCCAACTGACTAGTGCAAGAAGACTCATTCCAGCGGGATCTGACAATAGTGAAGAGCGAAAGCAATTGAAGCGAGAATAGACAAAGAGTTCTGGTAATGACGGCGAGTAGTGTTGAACTGATGGACATTGAGCACATGAACCACTGGATTTCGATCCAGTGGCTCAAGGGTAACGTGCTGGCCACGGAACCCGAAAGTTCCGAGTTCGACCTCTGGTGGACCAGGTCATAGGTGCGCACTGCTGAGGAGTCTCGTATCGGGACGAAACAGCCGTCTAGTGCTCCCGGGTTTTCGGTGTTTCTCCAACCGGTTTCAATTCATGATGAATACCAGCTTGAAAAATCGCTACATCCCCACAAACCACCAACTTCAATTCCACTTATGCCCGTGAATAAATAGAATAGTAGAACCAGGTTTTTGCAGAAAACGTCATTTACTTCTATTGAGTAGTAAAATAAGTCTGAAGTCTAAAACTAATATAAACGCTTTCACAATAGTCTGACATACACAAAAAATATCAACACTTTAAATTAACAATGAAACAGCAAACAGAGAAAAGTATTACAACATTTATCAATAATATGATTTATAAAGCAGTTCTTACTTGATCGAGTGCTGATGTAATTAGATAGTCGAAATATTCATGAGAAATTTCATGAAAAGTTTTCATTTCAATTGAAGACAGTTCCTTGATTACAAATCGTTCATCTGTTAATTCGTTGATCACATAAAAAAGCAGTATTATTATTACAATTACTATTGTTATGGTTCAGCAGTCAGATATAGCAATTGTGATATATGCGATATACATGATGCTAATATCTTACTTCTATTTGGTGGCTAGCAATGGGATTCTGGGCGCGCGTCTACTCCTATCTGGAACTCAACAGCTGGATGCACCTGCACCCCAGTATCAAGGCATCCGAAAAGGACAACATTTGCCAACAGAAGTCAAGCAATTCGACAACAACGAGAAATTACCAGTATCAATGAACAACTTTACTTACTAAATACATGCCTTATATGTGTTATATATTGAGGAATTGCATCAATGTAAACGTGTAGATAAGGAGCAATACAACCGGACACTTATGCTTTCAAGGGCGATTATGTTAATTAGAGAAATGAAGTGGTAGAATAGGCATATTCAAAAGTATGTCTTTTTAGGAAAGCTATTGCTTCAATATGGATTAATTAGACAATTTCGGTTATCACACAAAGTCTGTCTGATGAAAAAGTTGACGTATTTCAATCAAATTAAAAAATTGACGGGCAACAGGAATTTGACAGAAAAAGAATCATTCCTATTACTTGGTTTGACGTTAAAGGTGTAGAGCACCAAAAAATCTTAGAAAATCCCTTAATTTTTTAGTGAATATAAAAGATGATCCAAATTTGAATGAATATTAAGGAGATATATAATTAGTGGAGTTTAGCAAGCTCGATAAACCAGCGATCACAGATATTCACAGTTTTTTACAATTTATAAATAATTCACAGGAAGGTATAAATAAGCTGAATCTTTAGGTTTTTTAATAAAGGCATGAGGAGAAAACATAGTTTCATGTGAGGAATACTACTGAATTTCAGTAAAATCCATACTTAGCAGTAAGTGGTATGTTAGAAGTAGAATAACAAGCACCTTAAGTCATCTAATTCAGATTGTATCAGCTGCCAAGATCGACTGGATCAGTAAAGTAAGTAAAAAAGCTTAAATTCAAGTCATTTCAGTTTCTAAAAAAGATAAGGCAATTTGAAACAGTAGGATATAAATCAGTAAGTACACGAGAAACACAACATACCTCGAGTTTTCATAAATAAAGAACCCGATTTACCACCACGTGCATCCCAATGATAGCACCTTGATAAAGACTGTATAAAGCTGAAAAAAGCGGTAGTGACATATTAATCAGAAAGGAAACAAGAAACAGAAGATATTTTTTAGGACTTAGCTACCTATTAATTTATTTGATATTAGATGCATGAAATGAAAGTATATTGTCAACACTATAAATAAATAAATCTGTTACAAGATGCGAAACCAACAGTCAGCATTAACAACTCTTAGAACTCTTTTTGTCCCAACATTATATCCTCCTTTACAATTCTATTGGACCTAGATACTAGAAATGCACTTTTTTGTATTCTTCATTCAACCATGTCATTTCCTGTTGACAAACTTCGTTTGACGGCAAATGTATTTCGGCTTTAATCGTTATGTATTCTTTATTTAAATTCGAAAAGGTGAGTAGTGAAATCAAGGCAGATATACAGAAGGCTCATTCGGCTTTAACAAACCTGCTTCACTTGTGACACAGGTGGGTTATCTAAATGCCTACTGAAAATGGAGCTTACTACACAATAGCGTGCTCGTTTCTTCCATATGCCTGTTAAATATGTCTATGGAAAGCAAAAAGAATTACAAAGCTTTCAGACAAACGAAATCAATGCGGAAATTTGTACATAAAGCTGTTTGAGAAAATAAACAATCGGAGATAAAGGTTAGAATAAATATTCACGCTTTAGAAGACATCAAAGAGTGAATATAACTGTACCATTGTGACCAGTTTTATCCATGTCGCCAAGTGTAGCCAACTGCTGATACCTATCGTCTTCGAGACTCCAGTCGGGTAATATACATCTCTCTACACGGCTCAAATCATGAGTCAGAGACTTTATCGACTGGGCCACGTCTTAATCTGGCAACCATGAGCTTCCAACTAACCTAATCCAGTTTTCCCTAGCACAATACGTCGAAGAAGGTATGCATGCATGGTATATGTCGAAGCCATCTCAATCGACTAAGGTTCACAACCTCATGAATTGACTTGCCTTCGTTGCCTAGCACCCTTCGACTAGCCTCAATGTTGCTCACACGGAGATTCCACCAAACGCAAGCAATCGTATGAAGACATCTGTGATCGAAAACCTGTAGCTGCTTCACATCTACGTCAACAGCCATGTCTCACAGCCGTATAACAGGAAAGAACGGACTCCAATGCAATACACTCACATGTATCCCACCACTTCACTCCCTGTCATTAAACTAGGAGTAGTTACAGACTACTCTTGGAGTATCATCTAACATTTCACAGGTGTGAAACGCGTGCCAGCCAAACATATTCACATTTCTGCCCAACGTGTTCAGAAAACCCTGCATTGCATCAGCGTCTTTACGCAGCGGACCAATATCGTTTGCATAGTCCAAATAAAAAAGATGGCCTCTAGGGAGTAGATCAATCCTTGTGAAGTAAAACGTACCCAAGGTTATGTCAACTAGTACTTCCATGACGAAGTTGAACAACAACAGAGACAGTGAGGATCCTGGCTTCTAGTCATTTGAAGTGAGTTGTGAAATGTTTTCTAAATATTACTGATTTTAATACTTCAGAGTAATGAATAATTTCAAACATTATTCCTTACTATACTCTGACTGGCTGATTTTCACATCAGCTTGCATTTTGGTTGTGGTAAGTTGACGTTTGATAATACTGAGTAGTAGTTGGAACACACCTACGTACAGCTCGCTATTACCTACCACAAGAGGCTATTTTAACTGGAGTAGAAGTTGGTCGACTGCAAAGATAACGGGAGAAATATGACACTCAAAGTGCGCAGCTTTTCATAAAATTCAAGAAACTGTCTTTCACTTTTAAGTTGAGTAGACAAATTACCACTAGATATCAGCCTCCCGACTGATAGCTGCTACCTTGACGTGATGGTTGAGGTACACTGGTTAGGAAGCTTCTTTCTTCAAAGTCCTACCATGCCAGAAAGGTCTATTGGATAGCAGTAAGACGAAAAGCAGTAATCGTTGTAGTGCGAATTGCTGCACTATGATGGGTGTTCGAGGACAAAGTCATACTGATAGCTGGGTGGGGTTAAACAGCAGTAAGGTGCTGCCCTTGAGTGACCAGCAGTGCCACGCTGATGCCTTCCCTATAGGAATAGGGGCCCTGGAAAAGGTGGGCACACTGCTTCCTGCCTCACGGTTTTCCGGTGCCGGCGGTATGGGTTTCTATGTTCGGAATTAAAATAATCAAATCTGACACCAACAATCCTCAAAAGACTGTGCGACAAGTCTCAAGCAGATTTCCCATGGGCTCTGAGATCACACAAACCTTTTTCTCGTTCAGAAGCTTTAAGAAGAAATAGCCTTTCACAGTGTGGGCATGCGGGAAGTGTCTGCCACCTACATGCTTCTAGTAGTATTCACAACCCAGTCAAATATAACCAGATATCAGCGTGAAGAGTAATGATATAAACTGGTAACACTTAGGAAAACAAAATAGCCACCACAAAAGACGGTCGATATGCTATGATGATGGATAACAGGATTTTGAAGAAAATAAATTAAAGGACCAAGTAAAGCTGAATTAGAGAGCATTTTGAAAATAAATACACACAATCTATTTGACTCAGAAGTCTACAAAAATGGAAAAATGGAAACAAACTTTGTAAAAATATAGCTAGGTACCATATTTGTTTAAAGTTGTCAGTTAATTCAATTATTTTTACGTATTATGCACTAAATTAAGTTTGCTATTTTTTCAGTTTCTTTTCATACTTCTAATTGTAAGTTCAAATATTTCAATGCTTGTACTGAATTGAGAAATAAAAGTAAACTTGAACGGAAACTGTGAATGAAAAAATGTTCAAAGAAATGTTAACTTCAAAAGAAGTCATCAATATTTATTCAATAAAATGAGTCAATCCTATTAATGAAATGATGATATTTGTCGTTTTCCATTAGTGCCTTCTAAAGATTTACGAACAGTTATTTATTAAGTCTACACATCCTGTGCAACCCCAGTCATTGTTAAGATTGACGTCCAATGTAGGATTATGTAAAGTCATCAAAACATGACAACACACTTAATGTTTTGGTGCTTGCATTTCTCAATGAATGTAAATCAATATCAAATTCGTCTAACTGACGTTACTCTATTTACTGCTAACAGCCCTACCAAAGTAATAGGAAACTGCAATTTACAATATCCAAGCTTATATATGATAATTTGACAAGTGTTCTTCTGCATGAATGATTCTGAGTTGTCAGAATTGTAGAATAAAGATGATAACCATATGTAGAGTGTTGTGTGTTAAGAGTGTATGATATACAGATTGAGAACTTGTATGTATACATGTGTTGATAGTTCTTATTGTACGTACATTGATTATGTCACTATGTAGGGCTGGGTTGAGACCAACTCGAACTCGGTTTTATTCACTTATTCCTTTTCAGACAGTTCTAATTACAAATTATGTTAAGAGGTTGTGTTATGAGACGTCCCCTACAATTTCTAAAGCCTTTCTGAATAATTTCAATATTGTCTAAACCAACCTTGTAACCTGCAGTTATGTCGTATTGAGAGAGATATAGTTGAGAAGTTTTCAAGCTTTTTAAACTTTACTAGATTTCTAGGGAGCCTAATGGGAGCATTTCGGTGTTCACCTTTTCTAATTTTGATTTCCCGGGAAATTTGTTCTATGTATACTGAATCACATTGTAAACATTTTATTTTATAAACACATTTAGATTGTCAATCCAGAGGGATCTCATCTTTCGAATGGACTAAGATGCTCTGAAATGTGTTTGATTTCCAGTAAAACACTGATATTGCATTTGTAAATCACGCTCTTAGTTTAATCCGAGATGTGTGATCTGTATGATATGACAGTTCTTGAGGCCAATGATTTACGATCTAACTTAATATCATTTTCTTATTTTGCGAATGAATTGTACGGGATAATTACTCCTTTTTAAGCATCTTGTTCATATGTTTTAATTTCTTTAACTCTTTCAACAACTGAAGACAACAGAAACCTGCACACTAATTGGATGTAATGAGTAGAAACGCTGCCTTCCTGAAAATGGTAGTGTCTAAATGTCCAGTTTTTTTCTCCTTAACAAGACAATCAAAGAAAAGCATTTCACCATTATCTGTTTCGTTTTCTGAACTGGACTTTCTACTGGATGTTCTAGATTTCAGCTGATCTAAATATAACTGGTGTTAGTCACGTTTTAAAATTACGGTTAAATATGAGAACGGGGCACTTAGGGGCACAATTGATAAACTAGAGTATTATTGCCGGTATGTAGATGATACGTTCATCATTTACAATAATGGCTACAATAAAGATTATCTTTTCAGTACCTCCAATAATGTTCACCCAGCTGTGAAATTCACCCGCGAGGAAGAACAGGGGAATAGTATTCCTTTCTTAGATGTCCTCCATACCAGGAAAATGGATGAGTATACTCAGAGAAATATTTTTCGAAAGAACGAATGGGCTGTTCATTATATTCACTTTCATAGCTTCATATCAATTCAATATAAAACAAACCTGGTCAAATGCCTGAGTTACAGAATAAGAAACATTTGTTCTGATGAACTTTGCACATTTGCACAAATTGCACATTTTAACCTCACATCCCTTTCTTCTATATTGTCATTACAATGATAAACGTTCATTTTATGTTACTAGTTCTATGTCTTTCTTATTCATGCCACTACCGGTAATCATTTTCAACCGTGATTAACACTTCACATTTGTTGTTCTCTATTTCATTATAGTATTCATATGATTTTCAACCCACTTGAATACAAATCATCACTACATAATTATTATTTGACCCTTAGTAAACAACACACACTGAGCTAGGAGGTCTTGGTTGTGTGGATCGCGGCAGGGTCTCGTAGCTCAGTCGGTAGAGGATAGGGCCGGAAACCGGGTGGCTGCTAGTTTGAATCCGGCCGTGGTCCAGATTTTCATCTCACCTTAAATCAACACCCAGTATAAATACTAGTCGGTCAAACTACGGCTATATCAGAGAGTCAAAAGATAAAGATTCATTTATATACATCTATTGGGGCATGAATGTGTGTGTTTGTTTACTAAGGGTCAAATAATAATTATGTAGTGATGATGTGTATTCAAGTGGGTTGAAAATCATATGAATACTATAATGAAATAGAGAATAACAAATGTGAAGTGTTAATCACGGTTGAAAATGAATACCGGTAGTGGCATGAATAAGAAGGACATAGAACTAGTAACATAAAATGAACGTTTATCATTGTAATGACAATATAGAAGAAAGGGATGTGAGGTTAAAATGTGCAATCAAATCCCAACTTGGTTTGGATATCTATTATAAGACATGACAATAATCGGTGAAGTTTTCAACTGTCAGTTAAAGTCGTGTAGGGTGCATGACACTGAAATGATACGGCTGAAAACAACCAAAATGGTGTAGATGATTACATTCTTATTCATCAAAATTTTGCATACTTTTTCCAACCCTTGTTGAAATATTCTCTTTACTATGATATCCTCTAAGCTTATCTCTGATTGGAAATCATGTGGATTAAAATGTCACACATCAGTGCAAAATAATACTCTGACCTATCTGCCCTACTTAACCTATGGCTAAGCATTGTCTAGAAAGCCGTTAAATTCACCTTCAAAAATATTTTCATATTCTATACCTTCCACATTACTGCTTCTCGGTTAATTTCCGCACCATGGCCAGTAAATAATTTTCCATATTACTAAAACTCATTCCCTATTGTTTAACGCCACTTTTAAGCATCAATATTTTGAATCATTTCTGTCGTCTTCATAGACAATGAAATTCTTAATTGATTACCTATTTCGTTTCTTTCTTTTGCTGTCTTTCGTTAGAGTACTGAGGTTGCTGATGGCTAGAATATACAGTGATTTTGGATTGCGGTAACGTAAACGTTCTACTTATTAACTACAGAGATATGAATTCAAGTGTTTTTTATTTATCGTGCAAAACGTAGCAAAATGGGTGCAGTTAAGTTAATAAGTGAACAGGTGGGTATATGGTTTTTGACCTGCTGCTAGTCTCATAGAAACTGCTCCATACTAATGGCTTGAGCAAGTACCTAGGCTACTTAGAATCCAATAATTCTGCAGGTGAGAACATGTTCGACAGTGGATATAACCTGATGATCATGTGTACAGATCCATACAGACTAAGTAAGTGCTAACACCACTTGATTGTCAAAAATAAACCTATGACCACAACTTTTTTTATAGCAATGCCGTAAATCACCAAACCACAAGTCTGCAGACTGAAAATAGTATAAACCAAAAATCTCAAAAATCTGAGAAAAGTATTAAGATGTTATCAAAAGTCAGTGATTACGTTATTGATAATAAAATAGTGAATAACTCATATCTTACGACATATCTCCATTGGGCATTACAAGTTGGCGTAAGCGAAAAAACTCCGCAGCATAATAAATACAACAAAAGAAATTGGTTGAGCTATCGGAAAATTCTAAGAGAAAAAAACAAATATAAAGGTAAAAAAAAGCAGCATGAATTACAAAAATCTTGTTCTGAATGTATTCATAGCAGAAGAAAATGCTATAAAATTTCCCATTTGAACAGTGTAGGATAATGATCACATTAAAAATAGTTAACATTTCTGACAATTTCCTTTAAATCACACATGAAAGATTTCCACGTGCATCAATGAGTCAATGAAGAGTGAATAGTCATGTTGTACAGTGCCAAGAGTTCTCAGGATCATACGAATGATGTTTCCACCATTATGTCATTAAAATGATATACTTCAGCTGATGTCAGACAATTAGCTGAAATACACAAAAACTCGTAAAGCCACATACTTTCTATGCTGAATTCAACTGGTTAGCGCTTTACTGGACCCAGGACTTAAAACCGATTGCATCCAACCAATCGAAATCAAAAGAATTGGCTATCGACTCATTTAAACTTATAACAGAATAAACTTGACCTGAATACTTCAGCAATCAATTAAAACTAGACATGACACTAGTTTCTCTTCAGCAACCAATTCTGTTTTTCAATATATCAGTCACCACTTAAATGACTCAGAGGTAGTAGATGATACACTACAGTTGGATGATATAATCTCAAATAATAAGAAAGCAATGGACAGTCAAGTCAAGTTTTACTGATGCTACTAGTAATATGTATCAAAGGTTGAAAGCTTATTGAAACTGGCTTAATAAAAACCATTCAAGATTTATTTCTTATTAATCTTAATACCATTCTATTTAGGTTCACCTTCTCATTCAATGATGCAGATAAGTGTAGCAACTTGACTTCTGTGCAAGGTTCTACACTGATCGGTCAGCTTATCATCTTTGTACAAAAAAACCTACTCATAACTGACACTTGAATGCCATAGGATCATTCATTCTCAATGAAACTCTTAGTTGTAAGTGTAACGTAGCCTAAACGAAAAAGAATGTCTCTTTCACTACAACTTAAAACTTTTTAACAAGTTGAACTCTTGAATTCCCCCCCTCCCCCCAGAAATTTAAACATTCGACAGACAAAATTTTTAGTGAGTATATCATAGTTAAGTCTTTTATTCACCCATTTAACAAAATTTCCATTAGATGCATTTATACACAACAGCATGAAGGCCTAAAGTTATCGATAAGTATTCTTCAGCAATCAGGAAGTAATCGACCTCATCGATAACAATTTCCAGGAAAGAAAAACATATTTCAAATATCATCCGTTTTACAATAAATCACACAAAATAAATATGACAAATCGATTTACTAATCTAATGGTTATTCGTTAAATATGCTATCGGCCAGATTTGTTAAGTTAAGCAGCACTACATGTCTATTGAGACACTTCAATTCGCAATCTGACAGTCATAAGTAAAGCATCCCATATTACAATCGTATACTGCTACTTAGAAATATATAATTTAACAATAAAATACGTTTTGATGTACTAGGCCTTGACCCATACAAACGATATACCTCGTAGAACAGATTAAGTCGGATAGAGCTCCAAGTGATAAGCTTTATCATTAAAAAAAATGCTTCGTTAAATACTCAGTACTTCATACATAAAATGAACACATCCTTACGAATTTTTATATGACGACTTCGAGATACATTCGACTTGTCACTTCCGACCGGTGGGAGATGATTTCCAGTCGGCAAGCTAGGTGAAGCAGACACAAGTCCTGGTTGTTTTTGATCTCGAGATGTATTCAAGTTAGATGACGATGAGATTCGACTGTTCACCCCTAAAATATAAAATCAAAGCATAAAACGTCAGTTTCACAAGAAACTTTTAGTTAGTAGCATTTATACACAATTTAGTATCATATAATAATAACTGATAAATCCTGTGCAACAAGCAAGCAAACCTGACAATCATCGATTGCATAGTTGAAAGAAAGCTAAACGCAGAAAGCATAAGTGAATTCATAACAAAAAGAAATCTGAACTTAGATGACAATGCAGAGAACTAATTTCTTTAGAATGTGACACAGTATTCAATTACCTGAAAAGTGCCGGCCCCCATCAGAAATTACATAGCCAACCAGCTATTTACTGTCCATGACTGTTGGTCTTAGTCAAGTGATGAGGTACAAACTGTCTAGCTAGGGTCCTCGAAACGATAGAAATCAATGGTTGAGGACTCTTCGTGAAATGGTTGAAAATCGGTCACAATGACGCAGATGAATTCATTCATTGACATCATCTTCAAATTGTTTATTCTCTCACACAACTTTGTCTACTTTCATATCACTCTTTTCCTACCCACTTGTTATTTGTTTACTAATGTGAAGTGTGGCAACTCAAGGTTCTATGTTGATTCTCTCTGACTTATTTCATTTCTAGATAACACTTACAGTATTGTTGAACGCATAACTTGTGAACTCAGTTAAGATACCAAGTGATCTTTAAAAACTGTTCGCCAACCTGTAGTCACCAAAAGAAGAAATGATTTCTATTATACCAAATTTCTCAACAAAAGTAAGTTCAAAGTTAACAACTCTCTATAAAGTGTTTCATACGCCAGTTGAAGAAACTGAAAGATGAAGACATCAAAATAAGTCCGCAGCTGAAGTGGAAAATCGCTTAAGTAGCTAAAATAGTAGGTTAGGAAATTGCCGTAGATTTTAAAGTAATATCACCACACGTTGACATGCGTCAAATAACCACTGAAAAAAGGCACAAACATGGTCAGTTGTCGTCTAAGCATCATACTTGGAACTTCCAAGCTCAACAGTAGCCAAGGTGATAATTCACTGATTACAGTAGATTGAATGATAGGTTCACCGTGTCACAAATCGGCTCGTTAGTTGGCAAAGAAATTGGAACCCATCAGAAAAAGGTTCGCAAATCACAGCCGATGATGACCACACGAACTAAAGACAGACTACCTAACTTCTCCTCTTCTATGTGCATTTACCAGTTCAACTGCTCCTGTGGAGCTAGTTACATTGGACGTACAGTTAGGCAAGTCCGTCGTCGAATCGCCTAGCATCATCCTTCATGGCTAAGTAAGGGGGAAATCAGATTGACACGAAGCTCAATACTCTCTCATCTGATTGACACCGGCCACTGAGTTAACATTCATAATGCCTTTAAAGTTATTTATCACATTCCTTCTCACCTCAGCCATCTACGAGTTCGTCTTTTGCATACAGCAGAAGCAATAGGAATCCACCTACACAAGCCAAGTCTGTGTGTTCAGAAGAGATTCGTACAGCCTCTTTCTTTGCCTTGGCCATCTGTATAGCTCATTTATTACAACAAGACTCTTCATTTCATCCACCACACAATTCACTACAACTAATATTTTAATAGCCCCATTATTGTTATTACAGACTTAACCATCTTTCCCCCCCCCTACTGTCTCTAATTACCATCAACAATTTACCAATTTACGTAACAGTTCATTTTTGCTCTTTAGTTATCATTATACAAAATATCAAATATGTAAAAACCTGTTCACAAAATCTTTCTACGATAATTAATCTTTGCTTTAGTTAACTGTCTTAGTTACCTGATCAATTATCACCTTCTTGATACTTTGAGATTGATAACCTTTCATTGAACAACTCTCAGCACTAGATTGGTATGTAATTTTACGTTTGAAAATGCTATATTAGTGTAGAGCCATTGATGAGGAACTAAGTGAAAAGAAATATTTATTCGCTCATATTGTTTGTTTTACTGAAAGATACATTCCTATTCTCTGAAGAAATGGATAGATTAGGTATTTCATGGTATCATTTGGTGTTTCCTCATTGCTTACGAAACATACCTGTGGATGAAACGATGGACACAATCTGTCAACAGTCTGATCTACTACCACTGCCGAAAACAGAACTCAAACAATTACTGCTCCTCTGTACAAAAGATGTTCACTTGCAGTTTAATAATCAACTATACCGGCAAACTGATGGAGCGGCTATGGGTTCACCACTAGGATCTATCCTAACTGATATATTCATGGCCAATCTCGAGCGAACAAATCTGAACGCTACGATCAAGGGAAAGACAGATTACTACAGATATGTCAATGATACTTTCATCGTTTGTGATAATATGAATCATGCGTCAAAGTTGTTCAACACCTTCAATCAAGCTCATTCAAATATTCACTTTACAATGGAATATGAAAATGAGGACAGATTCAATTTTTTGGATCTAAGTATAAGACGGAGAAGTGATGGTACAGTTGGGAAAACTATACACAGAAAAGACACGTGAATTGTTCAGTACCTTCACTATAATAGCAGCTTCTATCTTGTCAGCTATAAGCGTAGTTTAGTCAGGACGCTATTCACTAGAATAAAAACGTTGTGCTCAAAGACAACCGAGAAGAAAAATTAGGGGATAATTGAGAATGGATGTCAGAAAAAATTCATTATGAAAAATGGAAAAGAATTTGTTAAGAGACCAAAACATCCAACTGTTCAGAAGAAGCCTGTTTTCCTTCACCTGGCATTAAAAGGTGATGAGACACAGGAAAGAATAGACAGAAGAATAAAAGCTGCACTGAGAAGGAGCTTCCCTGCCTCCACACTGATCTCAGTTTACAATACACTATGCTCAATAACACAGTCGAAAGTAGACAAATACCCATCTCGCGTCACCATGAACTGCGTATATCAATTCACGTGGGCTAGTGGAAGCAAGTGCATAGGACAGACTGAAAGAGGTGCGTCTACTCCATTTTATGAGCATCTCCATGAAAATCTGTGTCCGAATGGTACCAAGGTCTTTAAAAGTGCTAACACCAGGCATCTGATGGAAACGGGACATCAAGTAGATGTTTCTCAATCATTCAGGTTAGTCAATAAAAAAGATACTATGTTTATTACGGTCTCCGTAAGCTCTTGCTATCAAACATTTTCAACCTGACCTATGTACTCAGGAGACTGTAATTAACCTTTCTTTACCTTGGTAACTGTATATAAGTTTTTGCATGTGTATGTATATAGTGTTTCCTTTGTTTTGATTGCATCATCTCTTCATAAATCACTAAACGATTTTCGAGTTTTTTTCATTTAATTATGCAACCTATTAGCCCTTAAACAGTCCCTTCTTTTACACTGATTTTCATTTGTTCTCCCCCCACTACATAGCTCCAGAATTTTCCATCTCAATTCAAGTTACTGGGATACAGTGTATTGGTTTAGTTAGTGATAAATCTGAACAGAAAGTGAGAGATCTATGATTTGATTATGAAACAAATGATATGATAATGGATAGTTTGCCATGAAGCACTTCAAACAAACTTCAAGGCAATGACAAATGTACCATATATACTGTCAAAATCAACATTTAATGCCACAAAAATTAAATCATACATTTATATTGAAAATAACATATGATATTACCTTGGTGTATATCTGATTTCGTAGGCGAATCATAGTCCGTTGGAATAGCAACAGATACTTCATTATTTAAAATGACAGTTGATTTTTCGTTTTTCCCCACACTTCCAGTATCTGTTACATTTATATTTGCAATAAGTGGCTCATCATCTCTAAAACTAAAAAAACAGAAATGTAACCTCAAATGCAACCACTTATATGGAAGATCTCTAAGAAAAGTATGTAACGGAATTGATTTTACCAAACCAATTGAACGGCAGAAATTCAGTTGTAATTCTAAGCAGTTAATTCCTGACTCATAGACTAACTGAAATGTCTACTAGAAGTAAACGTTGATATGACACAAACAACTAGTTACGATAAAAGCATAATATTCACAGTGTGAACCAGCGAAACTTGAATACTTTACTGTTTGATATAATTTGACAACTTTATTCCATGATTATCGTGTTTATTGTTTGGTGGAAACCATTAATGAAATCCATGGCGTGTTTTCCATCATCCTTGGAACTTATTAGTTGAATTTACTGTGCTCCAGTTAATACTCGCATCAGTGAGATGACTTTATTACTCCTTACTTTAAAAATCCGAGTTACCCACAACGTTAGACAGTCACCTCTTGTCTTTAGAATATTTTAATAATTCTCATTGTAACATTAAGAACAAGATATTCAGCGAAGAGACTCTTTTCAACGAATTTATTTTCAAGCTGTACAATCGTATATATATGGTATTTGGAAAAAATTATATCCTGTGAGGAAAACTAAACACTATATGGTGATGACAATAATAATAGAGCGGGTGATGACATAGGCATTTATGATTATAATAACAATTGAAGTGCGAATGATAACAAATAGATTATGTAATATATGGAATGGTACATAGAGAGTATATAACTCAGAAGGGGGTGAAAAAATTGTTGAAAATGGTAAATCAATTAAGTATTATGTAATGGCATTAGACAAATTGGACAAGATGAAGTCAATGTTTTCTAAAAGGATTAAGACAATTAAGTGAAACAACACCGGAAACTAGTTGAAGTGAAGGCGATTATAATAACAATAATAGTGATAAAGGAAGGATACAAAGGTTAAATTAACAAAGTGGGAGGGGGAGCTAATGGGGTGGGAAAATGTTATGGCCATGATAAAGACAGTGACTGCACATACTTCTTTTGTACACACAGATCAGGTCTTAGTTCATGAATAGCTAAAGCCTCCGCTGTTTTAAGGAGTTGAAAACGAAGAGAACGTGGGAGGTTTGGGCGAATTCGATAAATAATTTCAAAGTCATCGTCTGGATTTGTTGTGTGATGGAAGTCAATCAAATGTTCTAGAATCGAACTTCTAACAGACTTTCTTTCACCTTTATAAAACCAAGCAGGAACATGTTCTCGTATACGTGTAGAAAGCATTCTCTGGCTACGGCCGATGTACCTTGCTCCACAGGAGCAGGTGAACTGGTAGATGCACATAGAGGCGGCCAAACGAGGAAGCTTGTCTTTGACGCAGGTGGAGAATAGGTTGCCGCTGGTAAAAGTCAACTGGAGTCTTGCTGCGAAGAAAGTCCTATTGATTGATCTGGTAAGACGATTCTTCAGTACATCCGATGCTAGGTCTCCTTTAAACTCTAGGCTCATAAACAATCTTTTCTTTGAGACCGAGTGGATGACTGGTTTAGTGTTTCTTTCCCGCATATTTTTATCAATAAAACGGCTAGGGTAACCGTTTTCGACAAGTATGCTTTTTAAGAAAGATAGCTCTTCGTCGATACAATCGTCACTACAGATACTTCTTATTCGATAGCAAAGAGAGTGAATAAGATTTCTTTTTCTGTTGATGGGCACCCAACTATAATCCTTTTAGAAAACATTGACTTCATCTTGTTCAATTTGTCTAATGCCATTACATAATACTTAATTGATTTACCATTTTCAACAATTTTTTCACCCCCTTCTGAGTTATATACTCTCTATGTACCATTCCATATATTACATAATCTATTTGTTATCATTCGCACTTCAATTGTTATTATAATCATAAATGCCTATGTCATCACCCGCTCTATTATTATTGTCATCACCATATAGTGTTTAGTTTTCCTCACAGGATATAATTTTTTCCAAATACCATATATATACGATTGTACAGCTTGAAAATAAATTCGTTGAAAAGAGTCTCTTCGCTGAATATCTTGTTCTTTAGAATATTACCTATTATTCAAATTTCGTACTTAAATGTCATCCACCTTATTGCACTGTACTGATCAATTTCTACTGGCATATCTACTTCATATGCATCTACTTTGATACTGAATAAAATACCTATCTAGTGTAATAAATTTTAAACTATTGAGCTTGAATAAGATTTCAGTGGATGAAAATAATTATATTGTATATATAAGCAAATGAGAAATAAACGTACTTAGCAAGTGCTGACTGACCCAACTGAACATCTGAACTGAGTTGTATCGGCCCCTGAAGTGTAGAATGCAAGTCCACTAGTTTTCGTTCATACTCAGGTGTACTAATAAAATATCACATTTAAAAACAAAAAATGAAGTGATTATATAGATAAAAAGGAAAATGTACAAAGTAATGCGGACCGAAGAACACAGCATGAGAATATTTACACAACAGATAGGTGGGGTGACAAAATATACCGTCGAGTGCAATGAACCGACTTAACTAACATAGGAAAATACAAAATAGGTATCTGTAGTTAGCCAAATAGTAGTAGGTAAACAATCAACGTGTAATTACATGAGCCAAAAAGATTACATCCATCAAAAGCCAATACATCAGATAGATCATTCGGTTAGCATCACCACAGGATTTGGCATTAAAATACCACTCACAGATGACACCCACCCTCATCAAATTCACAAAGGTAAATAGCACCAAGATGAAAGTTAGAGAAGAAAGCAAACAGCATAAAGTCACAAAAAAGGGACCCGATAAACAAAATCAATGTAGAATCTTAAACATAAGTTCATCGGTTCAACTTGCGACATTTTCCAGCAGCATGCCAAAAAATAAGCTATAGAAAAAGCTTATATCAGAGTAGACAAAGGTGGAGCATGGCATTTCTTTAAATCTTGTCCTTATCAGCAGAATAAATGCAGATTGTAATTCTGTGGGCCACAAGGACGGATTCTGCAAGCAGCACCCATCACAAAGAACAGGCAAGTTACCATCCCGTCACCGTCGAAGATAGAAGTCTCGACCAGTCTGCAAGTCTCTTATTCTTACTGCTGCTTTTCAAGCACACGCACCAACACGAACAAAATATGTCACCATCTAGATAAATAACCATTCAGTACGACTACAAATCGACACAGCTTCCGATATTACGATCATTTCTAAGAGGCTATGGTGGAAGACTGTACAAACTGGTATTAGCGCGCATTACCACTAACAGGTCAGTAATCATGTACTGTATCTTTTTACGATACGTCCATAAATGGAATTTTTTTATCTATTTGACGCTGATTTAAACCTCCTGGGTCTCGATTAGTTTGAAAAGCTTGGTCTTTCGGGTATGCCTCTACGTGCTGTTTGCAGTCAGATCAAGCGTCCACTGACAATCGCTGACATAGGCCAACGTTTTCCAAATGTATTCAAACCTGGTCTCGGTCACTGCACAGTATCCTAAGCTTTCCTACGCCTACGAGACGACGCCGAACCTGTTTTCCAGCTTAAGAGACCCGTGCTTTATGTATCACTACCACAAATCGACGCAGAAATCTTCTATCCGGAAAAACAAGATGTCTTCACACCAGTTTCTTACTCTGCATGGGCGGCTCCTATTGTGGTTATCAGAAAGCCAAATGGCTCTATTCGCATATGTGCAGATTTTTCTACGAGACTTAATGCAGCACTAGAAGAGCATCACTATCCACCTCCAGCACCGAAGGGTATTTTTACTGTTCTCAACGGCGGTACATGCTTCGTTAAAATTGACTTGGCTGATGCATATCTACAAATAGAGGTGGCACCAGAATGGCAAGAATTATTAACTATTAACACACATTGTGGATTATACCAGTACAACCGCCTTCCATTTGAAATTAAAATAACTGTTTTCCAACAAATAATAGACACTATAATATCTGGTATAACCAGGGTAGCCGAGTATCTGTATGATATTCTCATTGTTCCGGCCTTCTCAGAACAGCTACAAAACCAATTGGATCAGGTGCTGAAACGAATAGAAGAAAACGGCTTCCGTCTTCGTCGCGAAAAACGTCAGTTCAACCTACATTCAAATATCTAGGGATTTATTTTTGATGCTTCCGGTCACCGACCTGGGCAGCCTTGCTGGGTTCAAACATGGTGCGGACATTCCATGTCCCCATGTTTACTTTCTCTTTTATCGAGAGATGGCACATCGGCCAATTGGCTCCCCGAAGGCTTTTACCACCTGGTGTCGTTTCGCCTCTCGATTCAAGCGAGGAATAATTTTGTTTTTATTTTTTATATTTTGTTTGTGCTTTGAAGTTTCTTTAGCGGTTGGATTTGTTTTACGAGGTATGGTTGCTAACTCTACGTCTAACCTTCCCTCTTTACCCAGGCTTAGGCCCGGCTAGTAACTAGTGAATTAGTTAACCAGGCGACCAGACGTCGAAAATATTCGTGCCGTATAGCAAATGCCAGAACCAACTGGTATCCTTTTCCTACGATCATTTTTGGGACTGATTACGTATTATTCAGCATTCTTACCCTCATTGCATGCTGTGAAGACTCCGTTAAATCACCTCCTGGGGAAAGACGTTTCGTGGCAGTGGACCAAAGAATGTGCAACAGTCTTCCGTCAGCTGAAGTCTATGTTATCATCCGACCTTTTGCTAACCCACTATGACCTACAGTTGCCGATCGTCATCACATATAGTTGGGGCTGCAATCCAACATGTCTTCCCAGATGGTAAAGAGAAGGCGACCATCCATGATTTCCGAACGCTGTCTATCCGAGAGCGGAAATACAGTCAAATTGAGAAAGCCCTGGACATTGTTTTCGCCGTCCGTCGTTTCCTGGTCTATGGCCGCAGACGATATCCAGACGGCTACATACAACGACAAAACACTACAGCGGGCGATCCGATGGCCGAAAGAAACGTTCACAAGTGATCTCGAACAGCTACATCATTGACGAAACTCCCTGTGTATTGTCAACGATTGCCTCATGTTTGGAAACGGGTCAAAATCACCACTTTTCTCGGTGACCGAATCCCAAATCAATTTCATTCGGATCATCCTGGTATCGAATGCATGAAGTCAATCGCTCGCAGCTGCGTGTGTTAGCCGTGGATGGACCAACAAATTACAAACTATATCAACCGGTGTTCAGAATGTCAACAAGCGTCCAACCGTCCTCCACAACTATCACCCATGCCCTGGCCAGATCCTGAACACCCATGGTCGACAGTTCATATTGATTTCGTCGGACCCACTGACGAAAACCACTATCTTATTTTGGTAGACACCTACTCAAAATGGCCGGAAATCGCGCTTGTTAATCCACCGAATACCACGAGAACGTTAAAAGCCCTCTGCAATATCTTCTGTTGTCACGGCCTTTCAGAAACTATCGTCTCAGCCCTCAGTTTACCTTTACAGAATTTAAAGACTTCTATCGTCAACGTGCCATACAACATGTGCTATCACCACCAGACCACCATCAGTCCAATGGACAAGCGGAGCGTTTCGTCGATATGTTCAGAAGGGCTCTACTGAAAGCACGGGGAGAAGGTACATCACTTGACACAATTCAAAACTTTCTACTTAGGTACCGAACAACAGCAAACAACTCACTCCCAGATCACCATCAGAAGCACAAATGGAGAGAAATTTACGTACGACCAATGATGCTCTAATTCAGAAAGAACGGCCAAAACGGTTACCAGCGAGTCAAAAGTACTTCGAGATTGAAACGCCAGTATTTACCGGAGACTACAGATCGGGACATAAAAACTGGATTGAAGGAGTAATTATCGGTAGACGCGGCTGCGTGTTCAGTGATGTCGCAGTGGGAACAGAAACTTGGACGCGACATAAAAACCAACTACGATACCGAGCACAACCAGTCCAAGAAACAAAACCCAACGGCACCTCACTAGAAATCTTACTGGATACGTTCGCGGTACCACACATAGATGCCGAGAAAACCATAAAACCTCCGATAAACAAAGAACCACTACCCCGACGTTGGTTAGATCGACGCAGAAATCAGACAGTTCGGTTCCAGCTGGATCTCAAGTAACAAACCCAGTTTTTTTCAGAAAAAGGGGGAGATGTCAGGGATGGCTAATCCCTGAGGAAACTAAATTATAATATGGTTATATTATCACTGTAAAGCTTGGGCCCTATTTTCGCATCCCTTTTTGCCGCATGCTATGTTGCTTATTTTTACCGCAGTTTAGGATACTGAACGCTGATTGGTCCATTTTACATTTTGAATATGGTATTTTGTTTTCTCTGCACAAAGCCATCTAAGGATATATAAACGATTGAGCTTTCACCTATTTTTGTTCGGTTCGAACAAATAAACTTTCAATCCCATCTTCTTCTTGTGGTGTCAGCGGAATATGGAGTTGGGAGGCCATTGTTCTATCGTTAATCGTATCGTCTCGGAGCGTTGTACAGTATCAAAAACATTGTAACGTCTCCTGTTTTCTAACGTCAATGGCCGTATCTCACAGACATATAATGGAACAGAACCAACTATAGCACTGTTTACTCGTCCTTTGATAGTCGGATAGCCCGCCAGACGGCGCCACAGATAACGTAAATTGTTAAATGCCAAATGGGCCTTCTGTATCCGATCTGATATTTCGTCAGCAACCAGCCCATACACCGTTACACGGCTATGTGAATTCGACTACAGATATTTGATAAGCTTGATATAATTGCTCGGTACTCTTCCACGTCAGACGCTGCCACAACACTTCACGGTCAACAGAGTCAAATGCAATCTTCAGGTAGAGAAATATAGCAAGTGTCGACCATCGATAAGTATGCATGTGTTCCAGGACCTGTCGGAGGGTGGAAATTCGATCGATGCACTGTCGTATGAATCTGAAACTTACCTGGTTTCCTCAAGTTTGTTGTTCCCAAGCTGAAGTTAGGTGACGGATGACTATGGATCCATGGATCTTGGATACAATATAAGTCAATATAATTCCACTGTGGTGTTCTAAGGAATAAGTCTCTCCCTTCCTATACATTAGAATGGTTAATGAAGTAGATTAGCGTGATGGGAGTATCTGTGATTCACATGCACTACCTAGTACGTCTGTTAGTCTAGTAAGCAGTTTCCTACTTCCATCCTTGAAAACGTCGAGTGGCTAGCTATCAGGTCCTGCTGCTTTGCAACCAAAAACCAAAACGTTTCTCTTTTACTAAGAAAAAGCTATGGCCAAAATAAATGAAACTCCATCATACCAACTCGAAAAATTCCTCTTTTTTGCATCAAACACTGGCAAGTGTTAAAAGAATCCAAAACGACATCTACATCATCTACAATGTTACGATATGTAAAAATTAGTCATCAGTTAGAAATATGAGAGTCAATATAAGGGTTACAAATGATTGATTCTAAACCACCCAGAATCCCTAAAATCTGAAAAAATAAATTTTCTTATTTAGTTGACTTCTTTATTTTCTTTCTTGAACTAATTTGTGCGTTAGTGAAAATGTCAATCAAACTAACGGAGGCATGAGAATCACAGACATTCTCTTGAAACCTAGTATGGATCACTGTACCTTAACAGTGATCAAAGTGACTAACAAATTCGTAGTCTTAGGATCAGCTAGTTTCAGCTTTTAATACAGAAACCAAGTGAACTTCACTTTCGGTTGCATCTGTGTGAATGAAACCTTTAGGCTTCATCATATGGCCATCTACTAACTATTACCCTTCCCCTCCCCCTATTTTAATTAATGCGGGATTAAAATTCATCAGCTTAGTCTCAGTGTCTGGTTTTGAATACAATATTGAATAAGTTTAATACATGATCCTGCAAGAACTTGACTGTAAGTCCTGAAATCATGTGAAGACTTCTGAAGTTAATGACAACTAGTAGTAATCACCAGGTAAATTCATTTTCAAAAATGCCCATCGGCTCGATCGAAAAGAAGTACGTTGTATATTTTAAATACTTGCAGAATTAAATCATAGTAACCAGATGACGAGCGAAAACTATACATAAAGACAGAAAGGTGAGTACGCATTTGCTGAACTATGAGAATAATCGCTTTATCAAGACACACAAGTATCTTTCAATTGACAAATATCATTCACAGAAGCTCCTTCTGTTACGATTTACTACTGTTGGAAGATATGCTACATAGGAAAGTGTGACTGGTAGCTTAGTGAAATTTCCTAGTGCGTTACATGACAACCTTTCCGTCCTAGTATGGGACTCCTCAGAAGTAGACAGTCACGATATCGTCACGGATCAAACTGAGGACCTCCAGGTTTTGTGGCAAACGCGCTAAGCATTGTCATGACTTGTGGATGATCAGTCAGTCAGAAATAAAGTGGGTGTCAACTGAAGACCTCGGTAGGTAGTCACACCAAGTCGCAAATTCACAGAAGTAGGAAACTGTGGGTCACTAAACTTTGACCCAGTGGTTGAATGGTTACCACGCTCGCCATGAGACATACAGTGCCTGAATCTGATCCCTAAATGGACCATGGGTGCGTAGAACTGAGGAGTAGGACGTTTTAAAAAGGTCTCCAACTGATGTTACTAGATAATAAATACTACCTTGAAATAAACAATAATAAAGTAAGATGAAATAAAAATTCTTACGTCAATGCGAAAGCAATAATTGAAGTGAATTCTCGATCATTAACATAAATGTCTGGATTAGCAAGCAATAACTGACAGATAGATCCAGGTGGTCGAGTAAAATCATTAAAATTGGATGTTAATTCACTTAATTTGGATTGTGATGTATGAAAACGCTTTAAAATTTTAACACAACTTTCATTACACACTGTTAGTTGAGGGTGTTCATAAGTTGGAACTGGTTCACCAAACACCTTTAGGTCCATGGCTGAAGACAGAAATGTATGAATGAAACGACGTACACCAGATGAAGAAGGATTATTTTGAGTTGGCATTAAATTTTGGATAAGATTATCAAGAGAATCTGATTTGTTTGGTTGATTTTGATAGATCATAGAAGAATTGGTAAATTCCGGATCGTGTCGTTGGTAAACAGCTGAAATACAGACGAAAACAAATAAGAAATGAAAACATAAGCATAGGATGCCGCTATGAAGTAAAATCCACATAAGTTTGCACAATGACAACTTTTTCACGGAGGTGGGAGGTAGAAGAGGAGAAATAGAAGGGAATCGCAGTAAAGACGTTAGGCAAAATGAGGGGTTTCACAGTATTTTTCCCATTGTTTTGTTTTTATCCCTCAGTTTTATACTTTTGTTACGAGTTTGATTTCACTTTTTCATTTCGGTCTATATTGTTTTAGAAGACACAGGTCTACATAACCCCACAAACCAAAGGTAGAAACTGTAATATTAAAACACACAGAGAAAAACCATTAATTATGTTTTGCTTACAACCTCATTAGCAAAGTTCCCGTGACAGTAAAGAAAACTGTCTCTAAAGAGCTGCAGAGCCTGATGTATGCGAATGATGTCAATTTTTTAGGTAAACTGGATGATACTAGCATCTCAGTTTCATATGGGCCTATCGAACTTAACGCAGGCGTGTAACCAGTTGGTAGTGGTCAGATGACGTATTTATTGCCAATCCCTGGATTCATTACATAAAAGTTGATTTGCACATCTACGCTAAAATTTGCAATTAGAGGGTTATTTTAATGTTAGATTAGGAAATGATCATTTATACCTGAAGATACCTAAATATATTGATGCCATTAGCCCAAATTCTCATATTAAGCATTTGATTACGAGGGGTTTATGATTTGTATACCGATGGATGGAAACATTTATGAGCGAATATGATAATAATAACCTATTTCCACCTGTTTTACCTTTTCATGTTCGATTCTGGGAGATTCCCGGTGATTTTAGGTCATATGAGGGTTTGGAATGTGACTAGGAAAGTATCAAGGTCTCGATTAGGTGTCGCAGAATTAAAGTGAGAACACAAGTAATTGAATAAAAAGAATCAATGAATAATGAACTACTTTACGAATATAAACAATAATCAGTGTTAAACTAAGGGATCAGGAATATCCCCAATCTTCAAAGACATAATTATGGATAGCTGAGAACAGGTGGTCCTCCAAATATTTGATCCCGCTCGGAAAATATGCTTTCCATATATAAGTGACACATTTACAACATGCGAATCGGAGCACAAACAAAGGCTCTTTTTATACATATTAATCCAATTTACTCATGAATAAGAAAGAGATGAAGAGGAATTTAGCTATGTTGGATTTCAAAACAATGCAAAAACAGGATAGGAGATTAGACAATAGTGTCTACATGAAACCTTCAAATTAGAATTGTTAGCCAAACTTCTAATCATCTCGATCTATGGCCGTTAAGGCAGACTTAGCATGTTAATGAAGTAATGAAAACTAGAGATGATTTTAACGACGAAAAGAACTAGACACATACATTATTGAAACTAATTTTTTAAATAACAACGATCAGCAACTATTCTACTTCTCCGTTTGTTTAGATAAAACACAGCTAAACATTTTTAACTCTTGGTCAAACGTGTTGAGATTGACGTAGTCCAGTAAATTGCAGAGGGGCAGATTTTCAGTTGGAGTAGGTAGACGATATTGTCCTGCTGGGTGAAGACGCTGATGCGATAAAGGGTCTTCTGAACGTGTTGAGCATAAATCGAAGTATGGCTGGCATACGCTTGGCTGGCACCTGTCGAATGTACGATGATGATGTAGGACTGGTCTCCAAGTAAGTCCAGTTTAATGATCGGGAGTGAAGTGGTAGAAAATGTGGGTCACCTCACATGGGGAGTTGTATCAGTCGGAACAGGCTTGTTGCTCGGCAAATCTCAAAGCGGATACAGAGAGCAAGATTGGCATTTACCAACTTGCGTCGTCGGTGACGCCAACTGGCGAGATATCCGACTATCTATCAAGGGACGAGTAAACTGTGCTGCAGCTGGTCCTGTCCTGTTATACGTCTGTAAGACATGGCCGCTGAAAGCAGAAAACATGAGTCAGCTTTGATCACAGGTGTCTCCACAGCATTACTCACATCTGGCGGAATGTTGAGGTAAGGAGAAGCGTACTAGTCGAGGTAGGCAGGTCAAGGTTGTGAACCGTCAGCGACTGAGATGGCTTGGATATGTACTGAAAATGCCGAGTCACAGCTTCCTCTATGTGCCGCGCTAGGGGAAATCGGATTAGGTTGGAAGAGGGTTTAGGGTGGCCAGAACAAGAAATGGTACCAGTCGATGAAATTCCTGAGTTGTGTAGGGAGACGTAAATTTGTTGGCTGGGGTTCCGGAGACGATAGGAATCAGTGGTTGGGGACTCTTGATGATATTACTAGAAATCAGCCACAATGACGCAGATTTATTCACTCACTGACATCTTCTAAAGCTTTAATATTTGCACTAACCTTTGTTTTCAGGTTGTTTATTCTCTCATACAACTTTGACTATTTTGATATCACTCTTTTTCTACCAACTTTTTCTTCGTATGCTACTGTGAAAAGTGGCAGCTTGAACTGATGCATCTTGTCAGTACTTTCGATAATTTCCACTGAGCTGTGAAGTTCGTCAGTGAGGAAGGACTGAGGGAACAGTATATCATTCTTAGATGTCTATTTTGTGAAGAAGCCAGATGGCTATATGAAAACAGAAATTTTTGGAAAGTCAATATACAAGACCAATCCCTTTACAGTCGGATGATTGGAGGGAGACCTCCATAAGCACATCTATGATAAAGTTGAATAAAAACGGAGAATAAACACTCTTAACGGACACCACGTGATGTACACAACTCACATGATAACTCATCATAGGCCCTAACACACCTGCTACTGTTCGAATAAAAAGCCATCAGCAGGTAAATGTACTTACCTGGCACCCGTTACAGTAATAGACTGCTATAAAACCCCTTAATCGACCAAACTAAATGCCGCATACAGTTAAAGAAATACAGCCAGTATCAAGCAGGATTAAGTGTGGCTGTGTGTTAGGACCTGGCTAAAGGTAAATATCTAGTCGATACACCCACCACGTCTGAAACCTGCGTCGTTTTCTCGTGATGGCTGAGCCTAAGCTCTATTTAGACGTCTGGTAATTACAGAAACTAGAACTCTAGACACTATGTTCATCAGACTGATCCACATGTGCTTATCATAAATGGATCTCTCCGCTTTCTTAAAAACTGGGGCAACCAGTGATTCGGACCAATCACAAGGGATTACATTTGATTCCCCATACACTAGCTCACACTTCAGCTAACCTCACCAATAATCCCCTATCACCATCACTAAACACTTCCACCTACTCCTGCTTCCCTTTCTCTTGTCAGAGTACTTCCTTTTTTCGATTTCGGCAAGAGTTGTAGGCTCTTTCTCAATGTTCCACTATATATCCGAATGGATTGTGGACAACCGAGACTGAACAGTACCTGGAAGGGCAGTTGAACTGTTCCACAAAGTCCTCATTACGAGTGAATCCCAGATCAACCATTCTCCGCTATAGTCTCAACAACAGCTGCGAGAACCATAGGGTAGTCAGTTTGGCTGACATCGTATTCAAGATCCCAAGGGCCATGGATATCCCGCACCAAACTAGAGCTGGAGAAAATCAGGGAGTTTTTAAACCTGACCATATCTCGAGTAGATCCTCAAAATCTCTCAGGTTGTGGAACACAGGCATAGTTAGTGGGTGGCCAACACTCCCCACATTTCTTGACCAGAAGGTGACCTCCGACTCTGGGTCTTACTGAAGCATGAACATTCCCATCAGACCTCCTGTTCAAACTTCTTCTCCTCTCTAAAACTTTTGTTTGCCTCGATATCACTCTTTATCTACTCACTTTTTCTTTGCATGTCTGTGTAGAGTGGGACAACTTGAACCGATGCACTTTTGTGCCAGAGTTCTACGTTGATTCTATGTCTGTCTAAACATTGACCTTTTTTTACCCAGTCTCTTTGACAAGTCTAAATAGCTGTGTACTTTTACCTATCATCGCAGCCTTTTTCCCTTCTTTAGCCTTCCCTACCACAACTGTTCGAGGTCACTGCAAAAACTACTTGTCAAACTACGTTTGAGTTGCTTTCACTCCTCATTGTACTCCGACTGTATAGGAGTGCATTTATGTGCAACCAACAATTAAGTAGCTGCTGAAATTACAAACGCTTCCTAATCACTTTCTGAGAGTCAGTTATGGCCTGAACGCTGTTTTCACAGCAGAATGGAGATGGAGTCTAGCTTTTAACGATTGAGTGACATTGTCCCGATAAGTGTCTAGCCGTTTCCCCGCTCAAAGCAGCTTTATTATCCTCATCATCCTGCAGTATTGGATATGGTCTTGTTGCCGAAAATTCTGCGCTTCAATTTAGGCGCAGATATGCGTGCTCAAACCACCAAATGGTTACTTTCCAAGTACATACTCGAAAAGTAGTAGGAATCTTCGATCGCTCGTATCTAGCGATAATTGGTAGAAATGTGATTAATCTTTGTCTATCATTAAGTTGAGGCGATGTAATGTCTCTCTGTATGACTAGAACTCGAACTAGGCAGAAATAAATTTGTTTTCGAGGGTAAATGTAGCAGACGACTGCTATCATGGACAGAAGATTGTGTCCAAAAGTAATCCTTTTTCCCTTTGTTATAAATCTAATAATGGGACGGAATTAGGTCATACTAAAGTGCCCACGCTGCATTCTTATCAGGAGACAGTCTATTTCCTTACCATTGATGTCTGATTATAAATAGCATAATACATTTATTCGAAAATCGGATGACACGATTTAAATTAGTAGGAAATATATGTCAAACAGGCCAAGCTCCCACTTGAAAATCTTAAATAATATTTAAACTACTGACGAATTGTTAGTAGTTCAAAACAAAGGGCTAAATAATTTATGAATCCTGGTCGGAATTGGGCTGTATAGTTGCTTAAAATTAGGGGCCGAATGAAAAGTTGACATTAGATATAAGTTATATTTGAATAGATCTCAACGTGTTTAGGATAAATAATTTAAACGTTTGTCCGAGCTCCTTTTTCTTTGAAGAAGAAGTTTGGATCAGACTTCTGTGCGAAACGTTTAAACTACTCAGTTAAAAAATACGCAGAGATGCACAAAAATGTAGCTTATTTATGAGTAATTTCTATCTCTGCGTTTCGACTCCTCTACCACACTACATTTCCCCATGTTACTACCATTTGGAAAATGTCTTCATATTACCCCAAGTTTCCCCGAGCAAATGTTGACTGGGTAATTGTATATTGAAAGAAACGTGCTTGTTGGGTACCATGAAACTTAATGTTGTGACAAAACCGAAGAAAGAGTACTTGGACTCAAAATAAGCAAAATCAATCGTTCGAAAAGCATCACGAAGTAACAATAAGGTTTGAATATCTGCATGCAGCACGTAATAGAAATACAAACTTCCTGTTAGTGTTCAGAAACGATGGAGACGCTTAGTTAAACATTTAGTTGCATATACCTTGTGATAATCTGTAGTGACGCAGTTGTATCCATACCTACTACTAATTCTCAGTCTTATCTTATTTCCTTCACCTTCCCCTAATTATTCACCATGACTCATTTCATGATGATTTCTGGTTAATTCGGACCAATTATACCAAACCTGACATCACCAATGTGGCTCGATCTGGCATGAAAATCTTGCTAAAAATAAAGCAGTCTGCGATTATGTGGAAACTGTCTTGAAGGTGTCAGCAAACTGCATAACTTGCATATCAGGAAGGATACTCCAACTAATAAAAAATCAAGAATAATTCACCTACTATAAAACTATAGAAACACCATAATTAATGTGTAAAAAGAAAATTACCTTTCAAATTCACAGGATCCAAAATTGATAAATGTTTAAAAGAATCAAATAAAGTATTATCTGGTGAGCCAATTGTACTTTCAGGAAGCTGAGATGAATTATGACCTTTATCATCCAAAGAATGAAGACCTGACTTGAATGAATTAAGTCTTGAAGTATTTTTGATATACTTATACTTCCTTCCATCATTTTTTATAGGCTGGTACATTTCAGGCAGACAATCTGTTAGTGAGTTATTCAGAGATATTTGCAAACTAGTTAGACTTTTATTTCCTGAATTACAGTGAATTAACGATTCAGTCTCGTTTTGACTGGTTACAGTCGAGTCAATAGTTTGGTATGATGGATCTTCAATGATTATACTGGATGATGAGGAAATCTGATTCAAATTACCATTGTGTTGGGATAATCCTTTGTAAATTAATTCATTTGATTTTGTAGGATCTAACAAATTATTCATTCTGTTCGAAATGTTGATCAGTGTTGGTTCTATTACTGCTGTTGCTGTTTCAGTAACTATTGATGCAGCCGGTATTTGAGTAGGAGCTGAGTGACCAGGCGCAATAATTGACGGTTGACAGGATGTAGTTGTAACCGTTGCAGTAGTATTAGATACGGTAGCTTTTTTTCGAGTGTCACGAATATTTTTTCAATCCGTTTCATTAACAGTTCATATTCATTAAATCTGAACGTTGATATGCAAACAAATTATGAAGATGAGATAGACTTTGAAAAAAGGTAACTGGTAAAAAAATACTCCGGTGGCACAGTCACACACTGAATAGGCCACCAGTACGCATACAAAAATCCAGGTCAAGACGAATGTAGGTATCGTAAGTGTAACCCAGCCATTTACGTAATCGACTTTCAACATAAAGGGTGGTTAGAAGCTCTCGGCTTCCCTATAACCTCTAACTTTTTACCAAGTATATAGTAGCTGAAAGCTCTTACATAGTAAAAGCAGTTCACTAGCCAGACTAGTAAAATTAGACGTTTGCCAAGTTGAAGTAATTATTACAAATAGACTAAAAGTAGTTAAATGCTATTAAGACACTACTTTTAAAGATATGAGTCCATGAATCACTTCCGTAAGTATTTATTGCCTAAGAGAGAAAAACAGCGTAAAACCTCATTTTGGACACAGGTAAAAAGTAAGAAAACCCTAAAAACCAGTCTAGAAATAGCTGAAATCGTCAATTAGATTTACTTATTTCGTCTGTATAGGTATTTTTATTAAATAGAGGAATGTTCGGTAAAATATTGAATTGGTTATACACCGCTATAGAGCTGTTTCGTTTAGCCTACTGCTCCAGTAACACCAACCCCAGTATCTGGTACTCCAATGTAAGTTAACACTAACCCACCTAAGAGAGTAAAGGTCCGTAGGAAGCTCTAAGTTTTAAAGCGTCAAGAGGCACTTAGTCGAGAAAACCTAACCCTAGGATCTTCGAAGTATGTGGTGAAATTGTAGTTAGGGAACTGAATACATTAGCTGGGAAGGTATGAAAGACTAAAAAGATTCCATCATTCTGAAATGAAGTCATTGTCGTACCTATCTTCAAAAAGATTCGGCGCCATGCATGTGATAATCATCAGGGAATCTTTCTGTGCCTCGAATGCTGGCTATCATCATACTCCTCAAATTGTGCAAGTCGTGTTTCATTCAGGTCATGGACACTGATCAGGTGTTCACTCTTCACCAGATGTTTGAAGACCATCACCAGTGTTGCACACCAACGATCCGTTTAACAAGCATTCACTCTAAAATTGTCTGTTGGAGAGGCGGTGTAACTGAGATATTCGTCAATATCTTGAAAGTCCTATACTTTACCACTACATGTAAAGTGAAGGCATACAGCCAGCCACATATCTTCATTATTCCACCCAAATTCACGGTTCTTCTTTAACTTTGTCATGAATGATGCTCTAAAAACAGCCTGGAAGGTACGGTGGTGGTGTAGACATGTTACGGGACGACATCGATTTACTGTGTGACAACATACAGACTACTTCACCAGTTTCGTACGTATGGCACGTTCTCTGCACTATCGAAGTGCGAACTGCTTCGATATGGTTGGCAAGAGCCTGTGCTTGTATCCATCCTAGGCAGTCAACAGCTGGAAGTAGCCAAAATGTTTGTGCACCTGGATAATTGTCTGAACGATGGGAGGTGTTACACATGAGATTCAGAGAGAGGTGCGCTCAGTAACCATAAGTACGTCCCACATAGATGAGATTTCTAACCGTATATCGAAATTCAGAGTGGTATACGCAATCTAGGTAACGTTTGGCCCCATAGTGATTTGAACCTCGCTGTAAAAGATTGCAGTATCGGCAGTTCTGCTCTACTTCTGCAAAACTTAGTCTCTATACGCTGAGAAGGTTCGGAAACTTTGCATCTCTGAGCACTGTTTTCTCGACAGGATTTCTTACATCCAGTGATAACATAATGTAAATAATTGTGGACAAAGGTATGTGTTTGGGAGTGATACAGATTGTCATCCGTTGAGTGTGATTATAGTGAAACACAGTCTTCGGTGGCGTAGATATGTTTTGCGAGTGTCGTCAGAGCAGCTTCCGTACTGCTTACTGTTCACTTCCCCTAGGGCCAACTGGAAGAAGCGGAAAGGTGGTCAGTCTATGACATGGCAAGGTGAGATGAATGACAGTTGAATTGAGTTAGCATCTTTAGATGCTTGACAACTCAATGGATGGAATTCGACAGATCAGGAAACTCAGTGGCTTGGGAAGATGACAGAAATGACTCAGAATCGAAGTTAGTGGTAATCATGCTGTAGTTTTCTTGTTTCTTCCATAACTGGAAAGTAAAACTAAAGTAGTGGATGCTTATTGCAGACTGCCTTCTCAATAACCTACTTCTGTTTCTGTCCCTATATTCTTTTCCATTCTCTTTCTATTCTAAAGGTTGCTTTGTTATTTCAAATCGCACTCCTATTAGTGTTCATGTTGAACAGAGTTAGTAATAATAAATAATAATAGAGTTATCCTATCGAGTCATATAAGACACACTTTTAAACTATGAGATTGTATATGATGCACATACAGTAAAAAAAGATATCTGCTTTGTTGTGTGGTGCATTTAGATGAGTTTTTCGGTGTTGTGTTCTCTGAGCCAGATGGTTTAGTCGTGAAGCTGTCATTATCATTCTAGACATCATCAACACAAACTTCAGAATGTATTTAAATGAAAAAGACAGTACCAACAGCATCTTACCATAAGCTAAGGTCACTGCAACCAAACGAACAAACTTAGCAAACCATGAATACACAGAAATATGCTACACAAAATCATGAACATTTTATGCCTTCAAAGTATGCTAAAATGGGTTAACAAACGTAACAACCTATGGAAAAGTCACCTTTTAGATACACAGGTGTGAGAAATGTTTGTTAACACTTCCAGCATTATTATTTCAAAAGACTGATAGGTAAATTCAACCACTAACCTAAAATTCCAGTCTGAAACAAATCGATAGATCCAGCGTTTTAATTCATTCACCAATCTTTGCACGATATATGCTATTTCAACTAAAACAATAAAAAGCATTCATGAGTAGAAACGAAGAATATCTGTAAACAGTTGTAAATAGAAACAAATGAACAATAGTTGGTAACCACAATTGTCCCACTGGATAGCACATTAATCTCCTGGATTAGGTTATGTGCAAACTACAAAATTCAATGTCGATAATAATAAAGTCTTCAGGTTTATGGGGATTTTCTTTTGAGGTAGCAGTATTCATCATGGACCGTCCAGTGTTCCCAGGTTTTCAATGGTTCTCAAAATGATGTCATTGGTTCACTCCGAAATACATTACTGTATAGTGCTCATTAGTGACATGCTTTCAGCTGATATCCTGAAGTTCTGAAGAGAAGCTGTAACCTGTCAGGTCAATTAGTAGGAAGGGTAGAGGATGCCGACGGAGGTTGGGAGCTGTGAACCATTGAACTCCGACCCAATGGCGGAATGGTCAACGCATTCTCTGTGAAACTTGGTGGTCCTAAGTTCGATCCCTAGCCGAGTCGTGGGTACGTGCTGTTGAGGAGTCCTGCACCAGGAAGAAACGGCTGTCCAGTGCTTCTAGGTTTTCACTAGTTCTCCAACTGATATCAGTCCGTGATGAATACTACTTCAAAATGATAAAGTTATTTGGAATGACGTACGAATAAATAAAAGAATATTTAGATATGGTCAAAAAGTAAAGTTATCATCATTCTCTTCCTATGCACTGAAGCACTTCAGAACAGCTGCATGTAAGGGTGATTTCTACTACCAACTGATTAATCTTTCCAGATAAGTTTACTCAACAGAAACTAGAATACACAGGTCAAGTGTATGCGGTCAAAAAAGAATCAATTAGACGACCAGTGAGGACAAGTCAGTCACATCAAATCTAAAACTAAATTCACTCAGCAACTATATACATATTTGTGGTACATATAAGTAGTACACCACTAACCGTGCTGATAAATGTGGTCGTGGACAGGCATCTGAATTCTTGTAGACAACTGGCTAAAAATATTCTATCTGATGACAAGCATCCTCTACATCTACAGCGCTCTCCATATCTATCCTTAGGAAAGACAAGAAGCAAATATATTAAACTTTGTACACGCACAGTTATATACAAAAATCTGACCATGCCTTATTTAGCTTGTGTATTGTGTTAAGAAAATCATGTTAGACATAGTCTTATTAATCAACTTTGCAATAACGAACAGTTATCATGATCCTGAAGTCACTAAGCATTTCAACGATTCTGTTATTCCTTATTATGTATTATTAAACAGCGCCATTGCTAACCTAAATATTTATACTAGGTGATGATTGAAGGTGAAATGAAAATTTGGACAGCGGTTGGATTCAAAAACCAGCGACAACCGGGTTTCCAGTCCGGTGCTCTACCAACTGAGCTACGAGGACCGACTGATGACCAGATTTTTATTTCACTTGAATCACTAAGCATTTTGCTCGACTATCATTTGAATTCATGACGCCTTACTACGGCCGCAGTCCGAATTTTCATTTCACCTTCAATCATAACCCAGTATTAATACAAGTCTGCCAAACCACGGCTACGTCACATAGTCAAAGTGATAATATATATTTGACAAATGTTGTACAACGAGTAAACTTATGCAATATCATATGCTGAAAAATCTGTACTGTAAACAAAATTATAGTCCGGAATAAAGAAAATATATTATTATTACTATTGTGTAGTAGCTAGTAAGCCACACCTGTAATTCTAAAGCTAATGACAATACATGGCCACCCAAACCTTACATAGTGGACCGGGATTCAAACTCGTGAATTAATGATTGATCCAATAACTTCAAATTCAACATCTTGTGATCCATGACCGGGTAAAAAAAAATGACCGGCTAATTTAAGCCGCGATAGAGAAAGGACTTAAAATATTAAAAGGTGACGAATCAATTCAAATAGCCAACCTAGAGCTGATTGATTTTAACAGTGGAGATAGTACTACGGTCGCACACTTGATTACATTATTCGACAAGCTAGGGGAAACTTTGTGTCACATCACTTTGAAAAGAGGCAATCACTGTCCGCAAACCTCTTTACTGATAAGAAAACATGTAGAAGTAGTAGTCAATTTGTAACCCGGTAGCACGTGATGAAGGATAACTGTGTTGGCTTAACAACTGTTGGTGCGTTCAGACACTACGTAATATGCTTCAAAATAGAAACTACAACTAGTTTAATAGTAAAGTAAAAGGAAAGTAAGGGATACTTCCTTGAGTGAATCCATGAAACCACTTCTCTGATAATCTTTTGACATCCTTGCTACCGTGTTTCTTTCCTGACCTTTATGTTTTCGAAATGTTGACTATTTTATAAATAGAAAATATATTGGTGAAATCCTGATGCAAAATTCAAGAAAACTCAATGCTCAATTTATTCAACTCTATCAGGTCATATTTTGATCTTCAAGTTGACTATTTTGTGTAGCTAACTTTTCAGTATCCATGCTGTACTAAGTATTTGACCTGAATAAATAAAATGAAAGTGAATAATCAGTATATGCGAAGAATAATGGATTTTGAGGGATAAATCCCATCAGTGCAAAAAGATAACCGCCAATCTTCATTTATCGTATAATCACATTATGAATTTTTGCATACTGAAAAGTAATTACATCGTTCAGAAGAAAAAAGCAACTTTGATATTAATTATTCACTCGGAAAACGCATTATTAAAATACCCAATAAAATAATTTACCATGATTTAAACCGCACGTCATTTTCGACCAATCTTGGAATCGAGTTTCATTTTCTGCAACATCGTGTATTGTGGTTATTTCCCCTGAATGATTAAGACTACTGGAAACACTGTTTGTGTGATTGCGTACATTTCGTTGAGTTACCTGCCGGCAAGTGATCATATGATCAATATCTGAAGTAACTAACGAATCATTTTGATTGAGCGGTGAATCAAATGTCTCTTCAGTAAGTTTGGATATATGTTCATTATTACCTTCATTTACCAAGAGATTTGACTTGGGTCTAATTACTGGTGATTGGTTAATTGAATCTACACTATGTAAAACAGACTCTGGTGTATTAGCCGTATACTCATTCTGTTTCTTTACAGATTTTTCGTCTACTTGACAATCATCATTTGGATAGAGTAGAAAATTTAAAAATTCTGATCTTTCATCCATTAAAATACGACTAGAATCAGCCTTAAAAATTAACAATAAAAACTTATCAAAAACTATAATGTTTACGATAAATGGTGAAGATACACTGATAATAAGAAAAACGAAAGATTAAAAAGTGTTGAACGACTTCGGTTAATGTGTGTACAAGCATAAATTAGACTTCAAGTACCTACAATACATATAAATGGACACTATGAAATACTGAGTGAGTTAAGTTGCTGAAAATCGAAATCCACTCGGCGATCTTGTACACATACGTACAGTAGGTAGTGAGTTACACTTATTGTGTGAGGACTAATGACACTACCCGGCTATCCAAAACTTGGGAGGTAGAGCGGTGCTAGGAACCAGGTTGATAGTCAACTAACTTCCTAGCCAATGAGCAACAACACAAAAGCCTAAGAACTAATATTTTCCTATAGGCAAGTGACTAACTTTTAGAATAAGTGTAGTCAGCTGTTTAGTAGTGACTAACATTGAAGTATTTGCCTGCCAATTTAGTCAGTTTATGACAATTCTTGCAAAAGAAGGGAAATTCTCATTTAAAGGTATTTATCGCATACCTAAGTAGCAACACTACAACCAGCGATATTCATTTTAATAGAAACTAAGTCTTGTAACTGAACAACCCCCATGATCTTAAACTTTCTGAATAAGAATCAATAAAGTACCTTAAATGAAACCTTTGCCCCACCTACACGTTATCAAGATGGAAACGGTGATGTTAAAAACTAAGACGAAAACGTTACAGGTCTACACATTCACTTGTCCAAAATATCAAGTATACGGACATCGTTTGTAATAACTTGATATCTAAAACAAAGTATGCCCTTCTAAATTAGAACATACAATCTTGTGTGTGAGAAGCAAATATTGAAACTGTCAGGCGATAATCTTCGATTGGTCTTTCATTAGGTAGATAATAGGTCATTTATTGGGGATCCTGATGTTTTGTTATCATACTTTCAAACTATTGTGAAAGACTTCAGTGGTTAATGATTTTGACTTGTGTAGGGAGGTGTAAACTGTCTGATTGTGATCGTCAAATCCACATAAATCAGTGGTAAAAGACTGTTTGTGATGGAGCTGAAAATCGATCACAATACCACAGATGTATACTCTCTGTGTCATCTTCCATATTTCGAATACTTTCAATAAATTTTGTTTCTTTATCCTCTTTCGTCTCATATACTTTTATCTATCTTAATATCACTTTTTCGATCTACTTCTGCCTTGCATATTGTTGTGAAGTAAAGCAAATTGAACTAATGAGGTACTATATTGATTTATCTGTCTCTGGATAAACAAATCATGGAGGCAGTACAAAAAGGTAGTCATGTTGAGGAGTGTATTAACGTCTATAAATAAAAACTAAGAATAATCAAGACGAAGGCTTTAGCGAAAACGCACGATATTCAAGAACAACTAAATAAGAATTCTGGTTAGTGTTAATCATTTTGCAATTTCATTGGTTGGTAATCGAGTGACATATTTCCCAAAAAAAATGTCAAGGACGATGTGCAAGAGATGAACGATTTAAAAGATTATACAGATAAAAAAAACACTAATCTACATGCTAATATTCCAGTGTCCATTAACCTGCGTTAATTCACTCAAAAACTAGAGAGTATACCACCTTCTAGATTAGTTTTAAGAAGACAAATAGCAGTAGTGTTTGAACCTTGTAATTTTCTGTTGTTAACCTTAAAGGGATAACCTAATATCACAACGGCAATAAGACTGAGTTTTATTGTGATGCTATTTGTTTAGTGATGGATAACAGAGAGCTGCAGCTGTCAGCTATTGAGTCAAAGGGTCAAACCCGGCTCCGTCGACCAAGGATTGAGCGGTCCAGGTAGTGGCACATTGTTTAGTGAGTGAACATGCAACTGGTGGCTGAGTTATTTTAGTAAGTAAGAAAAAGAATTTTTGAAGTTAAAAAACGTGCTTTGTACAACTTAATAGGTATTCAGATGACTCAGGGTCCAAGATTCAGTAGGAACACCACAAACCACTAGGAAATATATATATCCAAATAACAGGTCTCAATCGGGAAGAAACACCTTGGAATTCACCAGTAGCCACATGTATCGCCGATAACTGTTGAAGTGGATCACAAGAATTTGTCAGCCCATATTATTAAAATTGTGTCTACAATGTGTGTTTCAATTAAATGGGAATGTGTACAAAAACACCATGTGAAAAAAAGTAATAAGTATAAACAATGGAATAACAATATCGAAATTCTTACTTCAAGGACTTTCAGATAAGCTTCAAGCATAGCAGATAGCTCACAAGATATTGTCTCATTTTGTAAATTGGCAATATGGCACTTAATCACGGTATGTATTGTGTAGTACCTTGGAAGGGAGGAAAAATTATGTTCGTCAAAATTAAGTGTTAACTAAGTTTTTGTAGAAACGGTTGTAATAAAATAATGGTTTTTTTTAATGCATTGTCAAGGGTTTCAAACATTTTCAAGTTAGAGAATATGGGCCTACTATGGACGTCTGTGTTCAAATATCTGATGCAGGATGAAAACGTGATCAGTACACACATAACCAAGTCTGGGAACTGGCTGATTCGCATAGAATAACTCTGAATTTAGATACTGAATGATTACGCAGTAAAAACTATGTAAGCGAACTTCATTTTTCGGTAGTTATCGTATGGTTTTTTGTCTTGTCTTGTTGGTCAAGATTATTGAGTCAACTGGGGTCAAAGGAAATTACGCCTTATGCACAAATCTGAGTTAAGAACCCGGTCGAGACAATTCATAATTTAGATTTTTTACCTTCAGGTACTTCTGCAGGTTCACCTTCACGTCCTGGTGTACTCTCATATTTAGAAAGTATTAATTTCCACACTCTCTTCAACAAATGTTTAGGCTGTTTGTGATTTTCGATATGCCCCACCCCCTCAGAAATAAAAATGAGTGCAGTGTCACTTTAGTAGATACTATTCACTCGGATTCAGTAGAGGCATAGTATGGGTCTCTGACTAGGGATTTTACAGTTTAAGATGAAAATGCATGATATTCAGTCTGATGAAGAATGCAGATGTCAAACCTGTAGTTTGGGTCACTGTTTTTTGAACGATTGATAAATGATTTTGTTCTTGGTTTACCGAAGTTATATAATCGGGAGGCTAGGCAACTTGTTCTCATATTTTTTTGATAAATATGTATCAACTGTCTACAAGTACACCACTGTGGAACTTTTTACTTACCTTTGAAAAAAATACTCCCAGTAATTCTCAGGAGTAATACCTGTATAACGATCTAAAAGCACCCGTATCCATTATAACTAAATAGTTTGGGCGGTAATCAACAGCACATTGGAAGTCTGTTGGTCAAGTAATCAAAGCGGTCATCAAAGCTAACTGATCTCACATTATGACACACTTTTTTGAGTCCAGCTGTAACCTTTTAGACTGCAGGTCTGAGCATTGCGGCTTATATACTTTAAGGGGACATCAGTCTCCTTCAGACTAAAGGTACAACAAACTGAGTGATGGTAAGAAGCATCCAAACCAAAGTCCGAGACTCCCTATAAATCGTCTAAAACCATTAGAAGTCTAACACAACTGTACTATGCTTTAAGTTCTACTGAGCTCAAACTGATGTTTTAAAATTAGGAAGGTTGATAATATGAACTCACTTAGTTAAAACTTCAGTTGCTTCTGTAAGTAGATAACTTGGTAAATGAGGTGTTTTCCGTATGTTAGTAACCCTTGATGCTAGTGAACTACTGTTTGATTGATTATGAAATTGACCAGGCTTATCTTCACCACCACAATGATCAGAGAATTCATTATCATTTTTATTCAATTTACCTCCAGTGGGTGGTTTCTTGGTAGTTGAAATATGATTACTGTCTGACTTCATAGGATTGGTTTTAATTGGAAAAATACGAATCTCACTAGGAGGCATAACAATTTCATATACATTAATAGATTGATATCTGTCAGTGGTAAAGTAAATACATAAACCAGGTCAATAAAGCTATGTATGGAAATACAACAGTTATTCAAAAGTTAAGTCAAAATGTATAGAAAGAGTTCGCAAATTTAGGGATCTTTTCTACGTAGTCAGGTAAGTAAAAAATATACTGACTGAAAAGCAGCTGCAGATCAGCTTCTCTAGTATGCGAATAATTCCAGATAAGCTGCTGCCACTTTGGACTACTTTAATGTGTCTATGAATTTACTTGTTCTATGGAGCTAGTTGTCATACAAACGTATACTATTCCAATATTATTTTAAATGGTTATCAAGAGAGGAATACCTATTAATCTCTAGTCACCTTGGCTATACAGCTCCATTACAGTCCTCTTTCAGTGTCATTCACAAAGTTAAAGGGAGTGCGTTGCAAAAACACTGGCAACTCAGCAATGCAAGCCTGACCTGTGAATGCAGAAAAGGTATGTTAAATCGCTGATTTTGACATGGTCTCGACCCCTCCCCCCATTTTCCTGGTTTCATAGTACCTGATCGGTTTACTATCATCACATTCATTGAGATCCTTGCATCTTCCTTCAGTTTTGTTACACCCACAAAATGGATACTCGGATTTCCCATTTACCAACAATTTTCACCTTGTCAAATTCCTTGCTTTTCTTGTGAATAGTATCGTGTTATGGTATTATCAGCAACTTCCTTCCACTCTTTATTTCAGTCCTGGATGCTACCTGAATGATTCAAGTTTACACTATCATACAATAATAGATAATGTTTATGATACATATATACCACAAACACATTTGTAGTTTTAGAAAACCCTTGAATCACCACAGGGTCGTTCTTTCTTTTCTTCACGACTTGATAAACGATTTCCAACGCACATAATTTTTTTTTTTCTAGAACTCTTGCCAGTAAAATACAAATATGGCAGAAACTGACAAATCAACGTAGAACCTGACACATGCGTCCATCCTTTTAATTTGCCGTACTTCACAATAATATGCAAGGCAGAAGTAGGTCGAAAAAGTGATATTAAGATAGACAAAAGTATATGAGGCGAAAGAGGATAAAGAAACAAAATTTATTGAAAGTATTCGAAATATGGAAGATGACACAGAGAGTATACATCTGTGGTATTGTGATCGATTTTCAGCACCATCACAAACGATTTTTGACCATTGGATTGCTATTGGCTTGATGACTACAGTCAGGCAACTTATACCTCCGTACACGCCTCCGACTGACAATCAGAGGCGTCGTGTATTGATGCCTTCAACCTAATTGTGGCAAAATCTTACTTCGAAAGACATCGTGCATTGAAGTAAAGTAAGCAGTGTTCCAGTAACAAATCGTAAATGGATGAGACTTTCATGTAAGAATGGGCACTGGAGAGTATGGTGAAGAATAATTTCATGTCAGCCTTTGCGTATCCAAATTAAGTTCAGACTTTGTACTACGTAGGAATTTCCACGTACGGTAATTAATATTCATTACTTATCTTTTCCAACGAATGAAGAATAGCCTATATTAGTTCATCCTGAAAATCTGTCATCCACAGACATCATGGAAGGATTAATCAGCATGCTACCTTAATTGTACTCTTATATCAGTAAAGTTTAGGTTCGGTATGTTTGAAGATCAATCAATCAAGCTCCTTTATATGATTACTGAACAATAAATTGTGTCCAAAATGTTCATCATCTATTAGACAAACTGATGCAAAATCAAAGAAAACCATTCGCGTAAATTCTATGCAAATTATTTTAAAAAAAAGTCTAACTGCACATCTCACTTGAACGTAGCTAATTTCTGGTCGAAAGAAAAACAATGTTCTAAAGATTTATGAACAGAATGTGGACAGTTGAATTCCAATATTGGATCAATGATATGATTATTAGCGATATCAGTTCCAACCGAATGAGATGATTCTTTCTGCTTTTCAACTACGTCATATTCATTACCTGAAGTACTGCGCCAGTTGGAGGAATTTTTACTAAGCATATCACAACGAGCCCAATCATTTGAACTGTTCAATATCAAATCAAGAAATTTTACAAATGATAAATGCCATGTATCAGCAGACATATATCTAATAGCTGAATTAGTTCGACATATTGGACAAAATAACCACATTTGTATACGACTCTTGGGACGGGATTTGAAATCACCGTTACCACATATCATTGGTGAGTCTCCCAAAACTTCTGATTGAGATATATCGTGTATAGATTTACTTATAGTAAGTTGTACTGATCCCGAGGTTTGAATAAATCTTTGAATGTGTTCAGACATTGGTACATTACATAGTGGATTGCGACAATGTTGTTGCCTAGAAAATAAAGTGATGGTAACATTAAATCAAATCACAATAATTTAAATAGTGTGCGTTATCATAACTAATAATATTTTTCAAACACCAAACACCTAGAGTGAAAGATAAATCACTTAGACAAAGCAAAACTTGCTACATTTATTAATTCAGCCAGTTATTTAGATAGATGTTCTATGAATTTTTTCTTTAGTGCCTCAGAAAACTTCTCGCTGCATCTACGTCTAAGTAAGATGAAAAACTCGAAGGTAATTTCGGTAAAGAAGACTATCAATTAACCATTTTCTATGATCCACCATACTACAAACACCTCATTATGAACCATCATGTCCTGAATACCTCATACTGAATATGATAAAGCAATTGAATCTGACAAATCTGGTTTGTGCAGTCGAAAAGAACTGATGTAACCACTTTTAACTCGTTGATCTGTTTCATGATAACTTGATGCCTAAACGCTTTAAAAGACACCTTTCACCGTAATATTTTTAACTATTTGCACACAATTCATTCTCAATAAAATCAACTTCAAACAGATCTCAAAACCTCAGGGATATACTTTGTGAATTTTATGGAATTATAAAAGTACACTTGCTTCATGAGACAATGTATATTTATCAAAATCTATGTTGAAGAAATATTGGTCTTAATATTTACAAAACAAAGCTTTATGTTTGAACAGTGGACATTATAAATGCTGATAGTTTAGTTGGCCTACTGGCTGTTATTACTACAAGCCATTTGAACACAACTTGGAAATCAGGGTGGATATAACAATCAAAAACTGAAAGCAAAATAATTCAAAAATTCTTTCACCAATTTCTAAAATGTTACTGATTAGAAAATATCCCCTAATAATTTACCCCTTATGCAGAAAACAGAAACTTACATAAAACAAAACTTTTCCAAAAACAGTCCAAGTGGCAAATCATTTTGACCATAAAACTCTATTGTAGCTATTAAAGGTGGAACGCATGGTTCTGGTCGTAAAATACACTTTGGTGTGAATAGAACTGCCAGAAAACTCAGCGACTGATAGGAACGTGGATCTAAAATGCTCCGCCTTAAACGCTATCATTTAAAATGAAAAGTTGATAAAAATTAATTTCAAGACGATAGTCTTTTATAAATTGAATAATATGAAAATTTAATGAGGTTTCGAGTGAATTTGAATTACAGCGAGATTAAAATCAGTAATCTCCAGTATATTAGGAGTAGACTGTAAGGCTGAGGTTATTACTGGTAGTCTCATCTATAAAATATGAGAGTAATTAAAATAGGTTCAGAGAAAAAACCTTAGTCTTTTAAACATATCCTTTTAGGCAAAGAAAATATTCAGATGCATAACCTTTGAGTTCGATAAATGCTGAGTCACTAGTTCACTATTTTTCAGTCACATCAGAAGTCAGGATGACTGTTTGTTTATGGGACGATAAAACTACGTTTCTGTCGTAAATTACGGTTGGAAGGTTTCGAATACTAGAAGCCTAGCTATTTGATATGATTCACAGTCAGCAGCGTGATATGACCCGATATTGAATACTCGAACATTGACAGAAAAGTTTGTTCACGAACAATTTATTCTGATCCCGAAAGCCGTTTAGTAGCAAATAAGCGCATTATTCTACCTAGAGACTAACGATTTTAGTAGGTTACTGAATTAAGATGTAGCAGTACTTAAAATCAAACAAAACAAAACGTCGAACAACTTGCCACAGGACTTGCAAAGATAGCGATGAATAGCTGGGAGGTGAGCATTTAGATGAGTTAATAACAATTAAGTATGGGATTCCATGATTAATAGATTGTGGACACTCAATTGAGTTTCATCGATAGTTAACTTAGGTTTATAAGATAAAGGATCCTATCCTTTGAATTAAATCATCAGTTAAGGAATACCATCTACGATCCAAATAAAGGACGATTATTATGTTTCACTCTGAGTGTATTGAATTCATTTCAACAAAAGCTTGTTGGAAAAAATAACTATTTTCATGTTTCATACATAGTACAAAACCTAATGCAAAAAAAAAAATTGTTTAAAATATTTCTCGAAATACACAGAGTCATTTTTGTCAGTATCTGAACTCTTGGAGCAATTAGAAGGAAGTACCGGGAATATGTTCTATATTCAAAATAACTTATCGGTAAAGTCAATCATATCATCATTGGAACTCATGCTAACTTTGAGGATCAACTAAACATTGTCCAATGACATGGTCAACTCCACGATCATCAAACTACATAAAGTGAGACAGAATTCACATGAGGTCGGATTAGATACACCACTTAATAAGAAAGGTAAATTTCTGATTCATAACAATAAGTAGTTTACGGGTGGTTGAAGTTAGAAATAAAAACCTAAGGCAATCGTTACATTAATGTCCACTCTTTTCATTTATGTCAGAAATGCTGACTCGTTTGATATAAGAAAGAATGGCTCTGCAAAGAAATTATTTGTTTCATATCATGCTACCGCATATTAAGATCATATCTGATAGTGAAGTAGTTCATATATTTTACATATATAATAATTCGGTTGGTGCAAAGAAAATAAAGGCCACAGAACATATTTCAAAGTGGTTTCAGAAAAAAATTGAACCGCCTAACCAAATTGATGCTAGGAATAAACGTCCTAGGTCCTCATTAGCTTAAGATATTACTGAAACGGGTGCAGAGACGTCATCTAAGCCCATTCTTTAAGACCTGTTGGGAGAAGTATTTGAAAGTTTGTTGAAGCATTAGCCACTAGGACGTTTAAGCCACCTTTATGAGTTCAAAAACAATTGGTTATCGCATTAAACCGTCATTGGTAAAATTGACTTTGAAGCCAAAGTTACTGTATTACTGACTTTTTGTTGTGGTCGTCATTGTTATTTTGACCTTCTACTCTGGCCGATGACTACTTTCCTGCTTCTTTAATTTTTTATATAAATGGCAAGTACATATGTGTTCAGATTGCCCAAAATGTGTTGCGTAAATACATTACACGATTTAGACAGGTTATTTCTTCTTCTCACTGTTTTATTAAAATTCAAACAGGGAACTAATCGTCTGAAAGACAAACTAGTTAAGAGATAAAATGCCATATTATAATTGGAATAGAATGCGGGCATAGTAACAAGGCATAGTTCCATTTTAGTTTCTTTATTAGATGGATCACTCAGACAAACAATAGTCAGTATTCAGTTAATAATGCTGTTTAGCGGTTTTTTAAACCTATTTAGTGAAATAAAATGACAAGAAACATTACTTTTTAACAAAAAATCACTTACTTTTATACTTTCATTTTCTGAATGAACTTGTATATTGGAATTATGTGTGAAACCAGTAGTCGTTGAATGAAAACCAGCAAATTTAGATTTGAATGACTTCAATTTTTCAGTATTAAACAGTAAATCCCAATGACCTGATAAAATGCTGCCTATGCTACCCCAAAGACGTGGAAATGAACGACAAGTCTCGCCATTCTTCTTACCAACAGAAATCATAAACGCTCTAGCCTTATAATCAGTATACAAGGCTTCATCAGATGACGTAAGTGTTTCTGTAATAACCAATCCATCAAGTGCATAATTGTTGTTAATACTATCATCATGAGAATATGGAACATGACAATTAGATTTTGCATCGTATACATTAGAGGATGAACTGATTTCTAGATTCCGTTTTGTAAATGGATGATGTGATTTACTATTCACAATTTGTTCGGAGAAAGAATTATCAGACTTTACATTTATACGGTAGTATTCTAATGCTTTCATTTCGCTGTGAATGACCTATGATGCAACAAATGAAATCATGAGAAAAATAAAGACTGGCCAGATGTAGTAAAAGTGAAAATTACACTCACTAACTTATCCAGAGGTAAACATATGAGCCTATTTGAAAAAGAAATAACATGCTACCGGCTAAATAAGGTGAAAATCAACAACAGGTGGCTCAGATAGCACATCATGATCTCTTCAAACGATGGTCAACACACACTCCCTATCACATACTAGAACAATTAAAAAAATGTTGTTTAGTCTCAGAACAACTAGATGTCTTAGATACAGTCAATTAAAACAAATGAATCAGTGAAATGAAAGGATGATACTTAGACAAATAGGGTTACTGTTACAAATAATCTATCGTAATGGACGATAAACCGTATGGCAACAGTGAGCCACCTACTCATTCTCATCGTTTTCACAACCAATTTGTATAAAAAGATGCATCCAAACGACTCTTACCTTCCACCTTAACATGGTTGTCAAACTAGCGTATCACAATGACCCCACGAGCTACACCAAATGAAAAGCTTGTTTCTAATATATAAGAAAGGTTAGGTGGATAGTAGTAAGATATAAGGCAGTTACAGTTATGGTGTAAATTGCTAGACTTAGATAGTGAGACGGTGAAGACTTACAGCCAGGTCGCCTAGTAGGCCAAAGAATTTATGAGCACTAACTTGGAGTTAGACGACATGATAAATCACCATCGATGTCGACACATGTAGATGAATACAACCACAAATTCGATTGCGATGCAACAAGCAATCTGAAAAACTGAAAGAGAAATCCTATGAAAACATGGTACTCCAATCAAACGGCAATCGACAGACACGTGAATACTGATTCAATGTACGGGGTAGTAAGAAAGGATCAACCGACCAGAATTTCATCAAGCGAATCGATAACTAGACACTAGGTCAGTAGCAAAGGTCAAAAGATAAAACGATTGTAAAGGTGAACCTCTGTTAAAAAGAAGGACAGGTCCCCCTTAAACAAAAACTTATAAAGCTCAAAATCAGCAAATATCCCTTACAAACATTCGGTCAACTTAAAAATGATTCACATCTATGTGAAGTAAATGCTGATGAAATTTCCTATACTGATGATGAAAAGTTCAGGAACAAACCTCTAAGCTCAAGAAGTACCAAAACAATTACTGGGTTTAGATATATTCATAATAGCAAGTGACTTAATAGCTCAAGTAGGGAAGGTAATTCCATCAGAAAGGCATCGTGGAGGTATCTATAGAATCCCATGCCAACGAACCGACAATGGTGATCAACTTTCATAATTTTATCCCGACAAACACTTGTCTTTAACCCGTGATAACTTCAAGCATTAGGAGTGACACTGACATCAAACCAACGATGAAGATGAGAGTATCAAGTAAGTGTTTAGGGAAGAGATAGAGAAGTACCTATCTGAACATGACAGCAAACCGCATCCTGAGAAAACCTGGCGCGGTATTCAGCCTGCTATAGGAACAGCGGTAATGACATCTAGTAACCTATATCCAAAGGTTGCCAAAAGTCAGTGGATTTCTGCAACTTCATTCGAACTGATTGATGTGCGGAAATTCATGGAACCTTAAATAACATCTCAGAACAGGTGGCCAGAACGTTAGGTGGAACACTGTGAAAAACAGATCAACAAGCGTATTGCCTGGTCTCAGTTGCTCAACATTACGCTCAAATCTGAATTGGATACATATATCGGTCCTTCAACTTTCACTGAGGTTGAAAAGGCTGTTTCAAACATGAAATGATTCAAGGTAGCAGGAATTCGCCGTTTTCTGCCTGACATTTTTGAGAAAGAAGGTAGGAAATCACTGAGTAGGGTAACAGATGTACTAGGTAGCGTATGGGAATCTGAGATACTCCCATCAGACTAGTTAACATCACTGATCATTCCAGCTTACAAAAACGTGAAGAAGTCTCCTCTAGACAACCACAAGGGGACAAATTTGACCAGTGTTGTATACAAAAACTCGGGCTCAGTAGTTATCCCATAGATAACTGTAGCTTGAGAACAGACAACTCAGAAAGACCAGGCAGTTTTCAGGCCTAGACGAAGATGAATCGATCAGACCATCAAATCCAAAAGACTCGACCAACCCCCTAGGAGGTATGTGGTTGACTTGCAGTACCTGCAGTGCCTTCTACCTTGATATGCTGAGGTAAACTGTGACTTGGACGGTTACACAGTAATGTTGATATGACTGAATATCTTTCATGAAAATTGTTAGAAATTCAAATTTATTGGCAGGCGAATTGCATCCTCCTACCTGTCGCATAATAATGCTTTCTTTACATCTTTTATAAGGTAACTATAGCGACGAGATTATTACTTATTATTAATCATTTGGGTTCCTAGTGGAACATAGGGCTTCAGTAGCACGTCTCCACTTCACTTTCTTCACTGCAGTCATTTCAACCTGGCTCCACCACTGCCCATAACCTTTCATTTCTTCGTCACACAGTCTCCTCCATGTCACTCTCGGACACCTAACTTGCCGCTTCCCATCTGGGTTCCACTCGTGTGCCTGACCTGGCGCATGATGTCCCGAATAGTCTTCTCCCTGCATGCCGAATACATCTCCACTTCCTTCTGTATATTTGTTGAGCGATAGCTTCTTGGTTGGCTCGTCGCCAGGCCAGAGTTCCTTGTTGCTGATTCTTTCTGGTCGTCTGGGCTTCAGTAACGAGCCAGAGTAGGCAGTTGTTCATGAATGTCTGTAGTTTGTTGAAAATGCTCTTCGTAAAGCTCCAAGTCTCTCAACAATCATATAGAAGCACTGACTTGACTGACACTGGTGTTAAAAACCGGATCTTGTTCACGCTTCATGCTGAGTGCACACTGGATTCAGGTTAATGAATGCCTGTCTTGCTGTTTTTCCGATCCTGGCTGGCTTTGACGTCCTCGTCTGTGCCTGTGCCACCTGTAGTTGAAATGATGCTGCCTAGATAAGTGAAACAGGCTACTTCCTTTGGGTTTCTCCCGTTCATGGTAATTGGAGCTTGTTGTTGGTAATGATTGTGTATCATCATCACCTCTGTCTTCTCCACGTTCACTTGAAGTACCGTCTTCGTTGCTTCGCCTCTTCTGTCAACTTGTTACTTTTGGCCTGTAGATCTTCAGGCTTGTGCGACATCAGACACAAGTCATTGGCGAAATCCAAATCTTCTAGGATCTTTTCACCGGTCCAGCGTATCACCCTCTTCTCGCTCCTCACTGTTTGTTGCATGATCCAGTTCAGTCCACTACAATCAGGAAGATCATCGGTGATAGTAGACAGCCTTATCTTACTCCTTCCTGTCTTCACTTCAGAAGCATCACCGAGCTTTCCGTTGTGAATTACTTGGCATGTGGCATCTTCATACAGTTGTTGAATGAGGTTGATAAAGGTTTGTGGTATTCCGTAGTGTTTAAGCAGTTGCCAAATTACTTTTTAGTCGACGCTATCGAAGGCCTTTTCAAAGTCGATGAAGTTGAGTTAAAGATCCTGTTGGCAGCCATTCTATACTCTGCTCTATGATGATGCATAGTGTAGCTTTGCAATTTGGTCCGCACATGACTTGCACTTCCTGAATCCAGCCTGTTCTGGTCGTAGCTTTGAATCCAACGCATCCTTTAGTCTCTCCAGGATAATGCGGCTCAATATTTTGCTTAGAGTGGACAGCAGCATGATTCTGCGCCAGTTCTTGCAAACACTGAGGTCTCATTTCTTAGGCAGTTTGACAAAGTAGCTCTTCTTCTAATCGCCAGATACCTTCCCTTCCTTCCAGACCTTCTGCAATAGTGGTGTGAGCATGTCCGCTGTTGTCTCTGCATCTGTTCTCAGTGCTTCTGGTGGGATCCCATCTGGTCCTGCTGCTTTCCCGCATTTCAGTAGCTTTATGGCGCTCAGGACTTCGACTTTTTTGGAGGACTTTTGTTCACTGGTAGTTCTGTGGCTGCAGGTGGTATTTCTGGACGAAGTGCAGGTGGTGGTCGATTCAAGAGTTTTTTGAAGTGATCAGACCATCGTTCCCTTTGTGTCTCCTCCTTGGCGGTAACTAAGTTTCTTTCATCATATTTTATTGGTTCCATCTGTGTTGATCTCTTCCCCTGGTTATTTGATATAATGTTGTCAGCTCTCCTACCAGCCTGCAGCCTGTTCTGCTTCACTTGCCAATGTGTCGTAGAAGTGTGTTTTGTCTTTGCACACACTATTTTTCTCTTCTTTGTCCAGTGTAGTGTTTTATACGTTGTACTCAGTTCGTCTTTTCGTTGTTCATCCTCGCACTGGTTTATCTTTTGCTTCACCATCTTCCTCTCGTCTATCTGCTTCCATGTGTCCGTCGAGATCCATTCCTTATCTTCTTTTTTCTTCCTTCCTAATACGGTTATGCAGGTTTCTTTCCACATAGCTTTCCAGTGTTCATCCACACAAGTTTCTTCACGGATGTTGCTCGATATCTCTAATTTTGTTCTGATGGCTGACGTGAAGATTTACTTTGTAGTTTCGTCCTTCAGTTTCTAGGTGTTGAACTTGAACTGTGGTCTATCACCAACTTCCTTGAAGGCTTTCAACATGATTTGGAAGGTTCCTTGCACTAGATAGCGGTCTGAACCTACAACTGCTCCCCTTCTTGATCTTGTGTCAAGTAGGCTGTGTCTCCACTTTCTCGAGATTCCATCTCCACTTGCTTCTACATATTTGTTCGGCGATAGGTTCTTGGTTGGTTCGTTGCCACAGTGAATTCCTTGTCGCTTATTCGTCCTGGCCATCTGATCTTCGGTATCGAGTGTAGGCAGCTATTGATGAATGTCTGTAGTTTGTTGGAAATGCTTTTCATAACGCGCCAAGTCTTTCAACCATCGCATAAAAGCACTGACTTACTTGACATTAGTGTTGAAAATCCAGATCTTATTCTTTATGCTGAGTGCGGTGCAGTGCAATAGATCAACACATTGATTTCAGAATAATGAAGTCCTGTCTTGCCTTCCCGATCCTTGCTTTGATATGCTCATCTGTGCCATCGCCGCCGCTTCTAGTTGAAACGATATAGCCTATATAGTTAGGTGAAAGAGACAACTTCCTTTCGATTTCTCCCGTTGATGGTGATTGATGCTTGTTGTTGTTGGTTGGGTATCTTCATCACCTCTGTCTTCTCCACGTTCACCTGAAGTCTCGTCTTCGCTGCCCTGCCTCTAGTTAGTTTTCGCCTGTAGATCTTGGAGCTTGTGCGACATTAGACATAAATCATTGGCGAAATCCAAATCTTCGAGAGATGAGATAATCAGCCATATTTTTTATGCATGATTAATAAGCCATAGCTAGTCACGTAGCTAAGGATCTTTCCTTTGCCATAACGTCAACACCTCGATGGTTTTTACCTTTTAGTGTTAGACGATTCTTATCAATGCAAAATAATAACAGCTTAATCAGATATATCAGAAGGATAGGAAATGACAGATTATCGGAGGATACGCAATCATAGAGAGTGCTAATGAATATAAGCAAGTTTCCAAGTAAAGTGAATGAGCACTACGCACTACAACGTCATTTTACTCATTATCCAGTAGAACTGAATGCCATTACATACAGGATGAAAAGTGTTACTATAGAATCTAAGTCTGATAAGCTTAGAGTAAGCGCAGCCACATTAGGCTAGAAGCATCTAGAGAGTGGCATAAAATAAATTAATATTAGTAATTCATACTTAAAAGCATACCTTTATTTTTCGCTTCATTAAATCATTCAACTTGCGTCCAAGTGGCCAGTCAATCACATAAGTATAATATGCATAGAGATAAGATAGCTGACCTTCTTTAGATGCCAAGTAAGGTAAGCGAAATTCGATACATGGTGAGATGGATAAAATACGTCCCCTCAAATATATCGCCAAATCTGAGTATGCACTTTCATTTGCTTCATCATTTGGAGCAATTATTTGTTCATGCATCTGGAAAATAAATCATCAAAAATGAAACTTGAGTAAATATTCAACACCTGAACGTGCTACAACATTATTTATTATGACAATCTTAAATAATAAAAGAATATTTTAACTTTGAGTGAATTCATGCAGACATCTTACAAGGAACTCATATATCAAAGCGTTTTATAATCAAGTCTTTAATTGAGGAGGAATATAATGTGTAATTACAATTGATGATTGAACCCAGAAGCAATTTAGTGCCAATTCAAAAGACTGGTAGAATCCTTCGACAAACTAGCACTCTGGTCAATATTGGAAGACGAAAAAGAAGTATTGAGACTTATCATTAGCCTAATATTTACAGAAATCCTAGAAATCTTAGTATCATATATCTTCATTCCCACTATCTACTTTCCAGTTGTGTTAATCGTTCTTTAACGATGAGTGGTCTTAATATTTTGATTTCGTTGCCTTCTTTCATGTTGATTTTTGCTCGATTTGCTGACATGAAGTTTGGCAACCTAGACTGATAGGCAATTATATGAGGTCTCATGTCGCTTTTATTCACTTAACTGTCTTTCGAAAAGAAACTGACTCTCAAACACAGAAATTATCAACCATTCAATCCTAGAAAACCACTATCCAACAGGTTTTTCTGACATGATAGGACCCCAAGGGAACAAGCATTCCACCAACATAGCTCGTTGGGTCATTGTGGTATGCAAGTCCGACCACCACTAGGTCAAGGTAGAAGGTATCGGTCGGAGGTGGTTGATTGAGTCAGAGGCAATGGTTTAAACGTACTGAGGCTAATTATAATCATTGTACTTCATAAAATGACAAACTTACAGTGGCACTGGTACTGAGTACACTACCAGGAAGAGTCAAAGCCTTCTTCCTCACAACTGGAGAAGAAACCAATGTATTATTATTACTGACATTATTTTCCATGCACATTTTATGAAAAGAATGCACACGAGTTCGTGAATTAGTCCCCTGAATGATTGAGAGATCAGGAAGATGTAGAATATGATCATTATTTGAATAAGCTAATTCCAGTTGAGCATTATAACATAAACGTAATGCGAATAGAAAACAACGTTTTGCGCGAATAATTGAGGCGATATCATCGCCTCGCAGGATGACAGTTGCTTCATGGGTAATAAATCGAATTGGATTAGCAGACGTGTTATTATTACCGGAAGCATTAGGAGCAATTCCAGATTCACTCAAATTATTCTCAATAAAGGTTAAAAATTTTGTGGAATCTTTTTAAGGGAAAAATGGAGAAGCAGAAGGAAATTAACAAATTTATTGAAATGCAAAAAAAATCACTTATTAAGAACGATTCACTTGATAACTGTATCCACTAGGCTATGAACCACATCTATCAAATGAAATAATGATACTGTCTAGTCGCCTAATCTGTAGTCTACTAGTTGGAATCCAAAAAATTGAACCATTAACAAGATATTCCTTATTTTGCATTTGGCTTTCCAATTTACATGAAGCTAACCGTTTCTTCAATGAAGTACTAATCGCGATCAAAGAATCACAATAAAAGTAACGGCCCTTATCAAGTGAGACAGGTAAATTATTGACATACTTTAATCACCATGCTTAAACTGCATAAGACAGCAGATAGGGTCTTGACTATCTATCACCTTACATTTCACAAATGCATAAATAGCTAAGAAACAATTTCAGTTAGGTGTTTGAAGGAGTTTGTTCGATCATATTCATAGTACAGAAAAAAAAGTCATTTGATTAATTTGTGTGGAGTAGGATCACACCGAAATGTAAGGATAAGAATAAGGCTACACGAAAACAATGAAGGCAGTGAACAGTCCACTCGAACATATTTTCAGGTTAATATTTATCACGGACTGACATCAGTTCAAGAAACATTGAAAACGTGGGAGCACTAGGAAGATGTTTCACCCTAGTATAGGACTCCTCAGCAGTGCGCATTCATGACCCCACTAGGGGTCGAAACTGTGACCTATAGATTTCATAACCAGAAAGTCACCATTGAACCAATAGGTCGGAGTCCAATGGTCCATAATTCCTACTTCTGTCAGTTCAAGATTTAAAGCGACCAAACACACTTTATTAGTTTACATAGCAGATTACTGTAATACACTCTTAACATTAAGATAGTTATAGTAGAAATTTTTAAGACATGTCACATGCACAATAAAATACCACCTCCATATTCTATAATATGACAATTGAAACGTGACAACAACATTTCTTGTCGAAAAATGGGAAACGGTGTAGATATGGTTGGTAAGCTTCACACCTGGCTCACGATTCACTGAGTTCCGTTCACTTTCGAATGACATCAACCGTAAGAGTTTATGCACAACAAACAAGTTTATTCTGTTGTAATTTTAGAAAGAAATTTTTCTAAAGGTTCACACTTAGATAATTGTCGATGAAATGGCTTTAGTCAGTTTCCACAGGAATTTAGCACATTGCCAACTAGTTACACAATACAACAAAATACTGCGCATAAAACCCACAAACATTAAAATCAGACAGAGATAAAGGATAGAATAAACCTACTATCTGATAAATGTATTTGTCTAACTTCAAAACGATTACAAACGCCAAGACGTGTAGTGGGCTTTTGACAGTTATTATCCGATTTCCTTGTAGGATTGCTCAGTAAACGGTCAACTGAATCTAAAATATCTGCACCTGTCATTCGCGCAATACGATATAAAACTGACTACGAAGAAAAAAGATACACAGACAATAAATCCAACCATTATTTTATGACAGTAGAAAGGTATGAACGTTGAAAATTTTAACTGTCTCCTTAAACATAACTTTCTCAGACAACTAAAAGAATGGCCACTGAAGGTGGAAGACATAGGGAGGCTTCAGGTGTTTGACCACCGTTGCCTTCATAGTATAGGCTGTATTCCGTCGTGTCACCACGTGAGTAACGCACAAGTCAGGCGTAGAGTTTTAGGGAGAGGATGTAAATCAGTTGATGTGGTTGTGAACCTTCATCGACTGAGATGGTTGGGACACGTGTTACGTATGCCTAGCCACCATCTGCCTCGTCAGACAATGTTCGCCGAAGTAGATTCAGGCTCGAAAAAGGCTCAAGGCGGCCAGACTAAAACATGCCGACGTATGAATTCTCTAACGTGGTCTGGGTCATGTGGAACGATGCAGACTAGCCGGTTGGGGTCCGCGGTACAAGAGAAACCAGTGGTTGGAGACTCCAGGGGATCATATAGCTCAGAACCGATGTCAGGGGCGCAGATGTATACACACATTATCCTCATCTGAACACTATACCGAATCTTATCATTTTCTCATCCTTCCTTTCTCTCTTTCGGTACTTTGTATTTCTTTTGACTGAATTTTCCTTCCTTCATCTTCCACTTCGCTGCCTTTTTACCTGATGTACTGATATGGGCTGTGGCGACTCGACCGTTACGCAGTAATGCTTGGTCCTATGTTGACTTGAATGGATGGAAAAACATCATTATATCTTCCATGATAATAGCGATTCTCATGCAAGAACTATAGCTACTACAAAAGTGACATCTTTCTGTGGAACATTCCAGTAAGGATGAAACTTCAAACACGCGTTTCAAATAGTACAGTAGAATATTGAGATAGATACAGCAATCTCCAGTGAATTCATAAGAAGTCTATTTCATGAATATTCACATAGAATCCAAGTATCCGCATGATTGCTAAATACTAACATATGATTATTTCGGTGTTGAATACGGTCAAAATTGCTTCAATCAATTCAATCGGATGTTAGCTGGATAATAAGCAACTTGGCAATACAACTGTAGCCATTGGATCATTGTATGCTATACTACAATTGTCATCACTTTACAGTGAGAATTCGATGAATAATAACAAGTGGAAATAAAAACTAAGGACTTACTAATTAGTGTTTTCTTTACACTGAACAAAACAGAAGTTTGTCTATTCCCTTGTTTATTTTACTGGTTACCACTTTCTTTCAGTGATGCAATAGAACTGATTCGAATAGATTCGTACCATGTCAAACATGCTAGTTCAGTGAATGCTTAAATAGAATATTCCAAAACTACCCTAGCTTCTTACCCCCCGACCGATAGCTGCTACCTTGACGTGGTGGTCGGGCTTGCATATCACAATGACCCAACGAGCTATGCTGGTGGAACGCTTGTTCCCTCGAGGTCCTACCATACCAGAAAGGTCTGTTGGGTAGTGGTTAGACGAAAAGCAGTTACCGTCATAGTGTAAATTGCTATACTATGATGGGGGTCTGAGGGCGAAGTCGTACTGCTGCTAGCTGGATGGGGTGTGACAGCAGTAAGGTGTTTCCCTTGGATGACCAGCAGTGCCAAGCTGATGCTGCCTTCTCAGTGGAAGGGGGGGTTAGAAAAGGTCGGCCCCAAAAATAACACACTCCACCACGCCCCACGGTCTGCCGGGCCGGCGGTGTTGGTTCACTTGTCGTTTCCTTTCGCTCATCCGGCCCCAAAAATACAAAAATTCAAAATAATCATACTCAAAAGGCTGGGTGTGACAGGCCTCAAGCAGATGTCCGATGGGCTCTGCGGTCACACAAATCTCTTTCAGGTACCTTAAGAAGAAATAGCCTTCCACGGTGTGGGCAGCCGGGAAGTGTCAACCGCCCTCACAACTCTGTCAGCACCCAAGTTTCTTCTGACTGCTATCCTCCTCCTCCATCATTACCTTCTAATCTTCCTTCACGTCTCTTAATTAATGATGCTGCATCATCTTCAATTTCTCCTACCTCTGCAGCCTTCGACAACGATCTGAGTCCACAGAACAGTGTCCCTGGTCTCCTTAAACCACGCTCCAAATTACATATTGGAGCCTTCAATGTCCGCACCCTCCGTCAAATTGGCCAACAGGCTTCGTTGGCAAAGACTCTAGCAACTCGGGCATGGATGTGTGCTGTGTTTGTGAGACACGCATACAGGACCCAAGTGTGGTTATTCACCTGACCTCTCCTGACCAATCTGGTGAATCTGCAAAATTCACCCTTCGAGTTTCTGGAGATTCGATAGCTAGCTCTCGTGGTCTTGCAGGTGTAGGTATAGCATTAAGCACCAGGGCAGAAAACTCACTACTAGACTGGATCCCAGTTGATAGTCGCCTCTGCGCTATGAGGCTGAACGGCACAGTGAGAACTAAAAGGAATAGTGAGACTCGCCGTTGTCTCTTTGTAATCTCTGCTTACGCACCCACTGACTGTAGTTCGGATGAAGTGAAGGACGAGTTCTACCATAAACTGTCTAACCTCCTCTCGAAAGCCAAACGTTCGGACGTAGTGGTTGTTGCAGGTGACCTCAACGCACAGGTGGGTAGACTGAGTGAGGCAGAAAGGCACTTAGGTGGCACTTTCGGAATCCCAGCTGAACGTACAGATAACGGTGATCGCCTATTACAACTATGCTCAGATAACCGCCTATTTTTAGCCAGCACAAATTTCAGACATAAAGAAAGGCACTGTCTGACCTGGCGTCCACCGAGCTCGACTCAGCGATGGACACAGATAGACCACATTGCTATTAGTCATCGCTGGAGAGGATCGGTGGAAGACTGCCGCTCCTTCTGGAGTACGTGTTTGGACAGCGATCATGCGTTGGTCCGAGCACGTATATGCCTGCGTCTCAATGGACGTAGAAAAAATTTGGCAACAAAACCACTACGAGTTCTGCTGGACAACGAAAACACCAAAGCCGTGTTCAGTGAGAAGTTGGCTAGGCAGTTATCGGAACAAAAGACTGTCACTCATCCAGAAGAAGCTTGGTGCCATCTTCAGTCTACTGTAAAAGCAGCACTGGAGACTGTAGCCGACTCCAAGATAATGGCTAAAAAGAGCCAGTGGATATCAGCAGCTTCTTCCAAACTAATGGATGCACGTGAATGCATCCCTGCAGGCTCTGAGTACAATGAAGAGCGAGCGCAACTTAAAAATAAACTGACGAAAAGTCTGCGCAACGATCGTGAACAGTGGTGGGCAGCAAAGGCTAAAGAGATGGAAAAGGCAGCGGCGATCGGTAACAGTAGACAGTTATTTAGACTTATTAAGGAGACTGGGGGGAAATGGTCAACAACAGTTAGTGAGGTTATAGCGGAGAAGGACGGATCGGCGATTCACTCGCAGGGAAGGCGACTGGGACGATGGGCAGAACACTTTGAGGAACAGTTTAACTGGCCTCCAGCCACCATTGCGCTGCCCGCTATCCAGTCGGACCCTGAATGGGACATAGAGACAGGTCCCCCAACACTAGAAGAAGTTGAGAAAGCGGTAGGTAGCCTGAAACGGGGAAGGGCAGCAGGACCAGACGGACTACCTGCTGAGGTATACAAGAATGGTGGTAGAGTTCTCTTAGTCAGGCTAACGGAAGTGTTAGCCAGTATATGGGAATCAAATACGATCCCCTCCGACTGGTCTAAGTCACTGATCATCCCAGTCTTCAAGAAAGGCGAGAAGTCCTCTTGTGATAACCACAGAGGAATCAGCCTGACAAACATAGTGTCTAAGATCCTAAGTTCTATAATTCTCCGACGCCTGAGTGGAGCTCGGGAACAGCAAGCCCGAGAAAACCAGGCAGGCTTTAGACCTGGCCGTGGATGTATCGACCAAATATTCACACTGCGCCAGGTCCTGGAACATAGGCATGCTTACAGACGCCCGACAATAGCTGTATTTCTCGACCTGAAGGCGGCATTTGACTCCGTTGATCGAGAAGTCTTATGGCAGTGTCTGTCACTGAAAGGCGTGCCTAGTAAGTACATCACCTTATTGAAAGCTCTCTACTCGAACACTTGTGGGCATGTTAGAGCCTATGGTGAGTTGTCCAGGGAGCTATACTCATCAAGTGGTGTCCGTCAAGGATGCCCACTATCCCCATTCTTATTTAATTTTATCATAGATATTCTTATGGAGGTTTCCCTCTCGTCACCTAATTACAAAGACGTTGACCGGATCACAGGTGAATTTTCCTTAGATCTAGAATATGCAGATGACATAGTCCTGTTAGGTGAAGACGCTGACAAGATGCAGAGTCTTCTGAACACTTTGAGTGGGAATTTGAGAATGTTTGGGATGCGATTTTCACCACCCAAATGCAAATTTTTGCTCCAGGACTGGTCTTCAGCGGTACCGCGGTTAACAATAGAGAGTGAAGTGGTTGAGTGTGTTGACCACTTCACTTACCTGGGAAGTAGGATCAACTCCGGTGGGTTAGTTGCCGATGAGATTTCTGCACGGATACAAAAGGCTCGATTGGCTTTTGCCAATTTGCGCCACCTATGGCGCCGCCGTGATATTCGTTTGTCTATTAAGGGTCGCGTGTACTGCACAGCAGTCCGCTCTGTTCTACTGTATGGCTGTGAAACATGGCCATTGAAAGTGGAAGACATGAGAAGGTTACAGGTATTTGACCACCGTTGCCTTCGTAGTATAGGACGTATTCCGTGGTGTCACCATGTGAGTAATGCAGAAGTTAGGTGTAGAGTTTTAGGGAGAAGAGGTAAGTCAGTCGACGAGGTTGTGAACCTTCATCGACTGAGATGGTTGGGACACGTACTACGTATGCCTAGTCACCGATTGCCTCGTCACACAATGTTGGCTGAGGTGGGTTCAGGCTGGAAAAAGGCCCGAGGTGGCCAGACTAAAACATGGCACCAATGTATGAAGTCTCTGACTGTTGGTTTAAGCCATGTAGGACGATGCAGACTAGGTGGTTGGGGTCCACGGGACAAGAGGAACCAGTGGTTGGAGACCCTAGGTGATATGGCTCAGAACCGAAGTCAGTGGCGCAGATGTATACACACATTATCCTCATCTTAACAACGCTATACCGAATCTCACTATTTTGTCACTCCTCTTTCCTTTCTTCTCATACTTTATATTTCTTTTGACTGCATTCACTTATCTTCATCCTTCACCTCACTACCTTTTTACTTGATGTGCTGATATGAGGTGTGGCAACTCGGACCGTTACGCAGTAATGCCTGGTCCTATGTTGATAATGATGATGATGATGAGCTTCTTACCCAAATGTTCAGATAATGGTGTAGGTCAGAGGACAGAAGTTTTGTTATTGGTGAACTCTAAACACTGTAAACGTGCACCTAAGACTAAAGAATAGTAACAAAAATGTGGTTTCCAAGTCTAGATGAAAAAATGTGTTAGATACGTGTCTATCTTCTAACCTTGCAGTTCAAGTATTTTGGATTCTCTTCTTGAATTGGTTGTTATAATTCTTAACTATCTGAAGAAGGTTAACTACTCGATATTCACAAGAGACTATTATAAGCTTCCCTAAATTCCTGTTTACTCGAAACCATGTGGTGTTGGAAATGGCAGGGCTGTAGCTTATTGGTCTAGGAACTCGAATTTTGATCAGTGGGTTTCGGATCCGAAAACCATTTCATCCACTGAAGTTTGGACATTCAAATAATATCCTCAGCCTTCGCACACTAGGCGTCTCTCATCGCTTATTACATTGATATGCACTTAGTTGCTGAGTACATTCTGACTTCGGTATTGATAATGATCAATGCCTTTGTAATGGTTTGGAATTTTTAAGCTTTAATACTTGATTGTGGATGTTTCGTCATCAGGACTGGTGACATCGTCAGGATTAACTTTACCGTCATCCTCAGCTAAAAATCCACTTCATGATCTCGACACTATTATTATTATTATTATTAGTCCCTTGGGTTCCTAGTGGAACATAGGGCTTCAGTAGCACGCCTCCAGTGACCTCTGTTCTCTGAGATCTTTTGAACCTGGTCCCACGACAGCCCATAACCTCTCATTTCCTCCTCACACGACCTCTTCCATGTCACCCTCGGACGTCCAACTCGTCGCTTCCCATGGGGATTCCATTCGAGCATCTGGCCTGACGCATGATGTCCTCAGTCGGCCTTCTCAGTGCATGGCCAATCCATCTCCACTTCTTCCTGCATATTTGTTGCGTGATAGGTTCTTGGTTGGTTCGTTCCCAGAGCTCCTTGTTGCTTATTCTTTCTGGCCATCTGATCTTCAGTGGCGAGCGTAAGCAGTTGTTGATGAATGTCTGTAGTTTATTGGAAATGCCTTTCGTGACGCGCCAAGTCTCTGAGCCATACAAGAGCACTGACTTGACGTTGGTGTTGAAAATCCGTATCTTGTTCCGTATGCTGAGTGCAGAAGATCTCCACACTGGTTTCAGGCTAATGAACGCCTGTCTTGCTTTTCCAATTCTGACTTTGACGTCCTCGTCCGTCCCGCCTGTAGTTGAAACAGTGCTTCCTAGATAAGTGAAGGAGGTTACTTCCTTTAAGTTTCTCCCGTTGACGGTGATTGGAGTTTGTTGTTGTTGTTGATGGTGGTGGTGCGGTATCTTCATCACTTCTGTCTTCTCTATATTCACCTGAAGTCCCGTCTTTGCTGCCTCTTCTATCAACTTGTTAGTTTTTGCCTGCAGATCTTCAAGTTTATGTGACATTAGGCTCAAGTCATCGGCGAAATCCAAGTCTTCTAGGTTCTTTTCCGCCGTCCAGCGTAATCTCGACACTATAACTTTGTTTAAAAGATTTAACTTTAAATACAAATGGATATAAGGATCAACTGCTTGAAATCTAATCCACTAATACTTACTTGTTTTACATTAGAAAAAAGGATTATTCCTGATTTGAAAATAAAATTCTGTGCTAAGTGGCAAACAGTTCCACTGATGAATATAATATTCGGATGCAAACACAGAATTTTACATACACAGTTAGTGATGTATTCTTCTTCCTGTAAAGAAAGATGCGCATGGAACGACTGAAAGATGATCAGGAAGAAACGAGAATGTGATACACAAACATACAAATCAGGTGACGAAAACTAAAGAACAGAAATAATAAAATTATACGATCTACAGTTACTAGATGTCTTCATTGTACGATGTTCGCGAAGCTCTGATAATACAGTTTGAAAGTATCCGCCATCAAATTAAATATTGAGATAGAACCGATACCGTTATTAAAGTTGGCCATCAGTCCTACATAAACCCTCTAATATACGCTGAGTTCAGCGGATTTGATTTGAACGATTAGAAACAACCCGTGTTACTTGATAGTATAACACAATCAGTAAGGAACAGGATGAAACATCAACATATCAGTCTAAAATCTACATCGGTTTCACAGTGTTAAAAAAATGAATAACGAAAGTGAACGGAAAAATTGTTTTCTGATAAACATTCCAAGAATGGAAATTAGCATTGATAATGCTTTAAGTCTTTATTTTATCATTGAATAGGTGAATTAAGAAATAAACACCTTGGTAATTGAAATTAATGCCTTAACTGAGGGTGCTGAAGTAATTAGTTAACAAAGTGTACTTAGACTGACGGCCACATTACAGATCTCACTAACACGATTCAATGATACTAAAACACGACATCATCCACTTTATAGTAATTGGTTGGTTGCCACCAAGACATTTCAGTGGAAATGTTGACCAATGAGAAGCTCAGGCTCAAAAACTTCAAAGAACAAGTAATACAATAACCAGATAATCGAATACCAAACAATTTCCCTAGACATATTTATACTACTAATGGTACTCCGGTGCGATTTGCTTAGTGACTGTTAGTAGTGGAATCCAGGACACGCGTGTCGTTTATTTTAGAGGCAATCATCTGGAGTTACCTGCATCCTAGTTGGTAATGGGATTTTCACAGGGACTCAAACCAAGCCCTTTTTGCTTTAAACTCCAGAGCGTTACCCATCAGGCTACCGAATCACACAAGCCTACCTCTTGTGCGACAGGTATCATTTAGTATCTATTGATGCTCATTACTTTCCCCTGATTATTATGCTGGACTGGATTGATTGGTCTCTGTTAGCATACGTTTCACTCAGGTGTAATTTGTTTGGTGGTGGCTAGCAGTAGAATTCATAACGTGCGTTTTGTCCTACTTGGGACGCATTGGCTGGACCTACCTACATCCCAGTGAGTGACTGTGGCACCTATATATTACTTTATTGATCAAGAATATGACTTTGCACTACCTGTGGGAGTTTGGACACATGGAGATAATATTCTTCAGGAAAAAGAAGTCCCTCACACTACAGTGAAGAACGTGCACACAGAAGTTAAGATTATACTGTCTCTAGGAAACAGTTTACTTAGCAGAACCGTATGTATGGTTGAAATGCGTGGGGAAGAAAGAGAATTAAGAATCGTTAAGCAATAGTAGAACCATAGCTTGTATGGTGTTCAAAGAAAACTAAATGAATCACCTGCTCAATTTATGTATGAGGAATCATGTTAAACTTGTTTGAAATGTCTAGATAAAAGAAATAAATATATCTATGCTTACATATGCATACCTGCATAATTTGAGATTCCAGCCATGCCATTTTAGAAGTTGTGCGCTGATAACTTATAGATGAATCTAAAAGGAGTATTCGTGGATTATTCAAAACGCTCGGCATCAGTTTATGAGTTGGATGTTTAGAAAAAATGGTACCAGGGAATACATCTGAACTGTTGTTATCTTTATCTAAAAGCTACAACAAATATCAAAAAATAATAAGTCGTGATGATGAGTATCCTAACAACAATCAATGATTAAAAAATAAACCAGACTGATGTCAGAATCATGTTTGAAGTGGTTTCATTAATTGAAGCAAGTATTTCAACATATCACAACACTGACTGAACTTGCTGATTCCTATAAACATTGTAAAACAACTGAATAACTGTCTAAAAACTAGTTACGTACCACTCTAGAGACTGAGAATCACCTTTGAAAATACAAGAAAATACTTATGCACAATGAAGTGTTCAGTGTGAACAAAGAACCAAGAGCACTTTATAAACGAAATTTAATGTAGATTTCATTTTCTTAGGAAACTCTGTCTGAATAACATCAGAGAATGTAAACTAAGAGCACTGAAAACTGATATCTTTGAAAGCAGGTTAGTTGAGGTGTATTTCACTGATTCAAGAACTTAACTTTCAGGATACTAGTCACACGTTCAAACCCTACTTCATCTACTCTGACGTGAGCAACTTGAAACAACAAGTGTGACATGTAACCTAGAATATAAAGTTATACAGGATTGTTGAGTTGTTTAGCACTAGTTGGTAAATAGTTACCAACTTTGGAAAGTAAGAATAGTCTACATAACCTAATAACTCTTGTTCACATAAAATTTTAGTGAAATCAGTGTGCAGCATATGATTACAAAACCATTTGATAAAGCTTCAACATATATTCACAACGAAATATTTCTAGTTTTTAAATAAACTAATGTTAAGAATTTCAGTCATAAGTACGATCATTTTTAACGGTATGAACGAATGAAAAATGATTTCTCCTTACGTTTACTGATATACCTAGACAGAAAACTCAAAAGCAATGCCCTCTGTTCGTGTTACAAACCATCAACTGAAACGCTTAAAGAAAATTATGCCAAGTACAAAAGAAGAATATTGAGAGAAATTCAAAACAGTAAGCATATACAAAAAAACGAAGGAGATAGTTGCATTCGGAAAATATAAGCTTCCCGTTTAGACGAAACTTGATATATTGGTGAACATAATGAAGTCGACAAGCCATATTTGATGTTACTTGCACCTCTTATATTGTCTTAGTAGGCGACAAATTATTGCTGCATAAGTATATGCCTAGTAACTGACACTTATGGTAGTCCATACCACGACTATAGACTCATTTTGGTAATGTGCATCAATGAGTCCTAAGCTACTGCTTTCGATTAGTGTACAACCCAAAAGTTGTCGTACTAATCGTAGACGTTTTAAACAGAATTCAATTGATTCTTTTTAAATGTAATACATGTTCAAAGTGGAAGCATACCTTTTTAATATGTACATAATATCGAATATCCATTGATGAATAAACTTTTTGTCTATGAGAAGCATTTGGATTTGCTGCATTATTATGTGCTGTACTACTGTTTACAACTCCACTGGTTGGTAACTGTTGTTGTTGTTGTCGATTAAATTGAAAGTAACGCATACCAGTAGATCGTAAATCAAAACCAACAGTTTGGCAAACTTTCCAAGCTAAACGGATTAAAATTGATACCCAACTAGGATGCAGAGCATTATCCCGAATATCTTGTAAAACCAATTGATATATATGTTCATCGAATGCAGCTCTATTATCATTAGAAAAATATTTAAGCAAAAGAAATTTATCGTAAAAGAAATATTGCACACGCAGAGCAAGACAACAGTTTAGGTTGGTACAGTAACAAATTTTAATTCTAAATTGGACCACTATATGGTAATAGTTACTTAATTAGGCATAGCCAACAGCGGAATCACTCGGTCAGCTAATAATAACACAGAATCTGATATTACTGAGTTACTTTCTCAGTTGTGAAATGCTGCAAAAAGAAAAGAGGATTGAAAAGAAGTAATGAAATGTGGTATAATGGTTACGATGAGGACAGAATGATGGTGCGTCAATAGCATTAGGATAAATTCTGAGCCGCATTACCTACAGTCTCGAATAATCGGTTTCAGTTATCTCCTTGGCTCAAAGCCACCTGGAGGATTACGTTTTAAAACACAGCCAACTTAACGAACTGATATTAGGTTTTAGTTTTGCCACCTTTGGATTTCAGCCCACCTGACCCTATTTCAGCTAACATGGATCACCGACATAAACGGTAACTAGGCAAGAAAACACCCTAGACACCTCAGTTGATCAAGGTTTACAACCTCATCAATCGATTTACGTTTTTTGTCTAAGATATCACACCAACCTCCGCATTACTCACATGATGGTTCCAGAAAAGGCAGAAGATGCAACGAAAGTCATCGTAGTCGAAAATGTGAAGCCTATTTTTCTCCTCTAGCTTTAGTGATAAAGTTTCATGGTCATATGGTAGGGCAAACCGAACTGCTGTGCAGTACATTCAATCCTCAACACACACTTGAATATATCTCACCGATACCACATGTAGTGTAATCTCATGGATACAGCTTAAGGGATTCTTTGGACTAGCAAACCACTCGACAATAACATTTTCGCTACTTAATCAGTCAAGTCATTAAAGAGTATAAATAGAAAATGCAACACTATCACCATTTGAGTATATTTCAAAGCTTTTGCTACTCTGAGAAAAACAAAGGCTTCGCTTCACAACCTAAAAAAAGATGATTTAAAAAAGGGTTATCTCGAGAAAATTTTATTGTTCATGATAAACTAGCAAAGTTAGAATTGGAGGTGAAGTGAAAATATTCAGTGACTTATCAGGCAAGCAAAAATGTACACACAGTTAGTGCGATTGTATAATTTAACTATATGCTTAATGGGTAACGAATACATAACTAGCAATACACCTCAATTGTTTTTTCTAATTAGCCATTCAATAGTACCTAAATTATGACTATTCAATGAAGTAATAAGTATAGTTAAAACCAGTGTTCGCATATACACAGAAGTGATGAAGTCATAAGATGAAATCCAAACACATCTAGTTCGAAACCTTTAACGAAGACATAAACCCGATGTTTAGAAAAATTTTTAGCATAAAGTCCTACTTCAAGTTTGAATGATAATTAACTCATACATAGTACAAAATAAATTGTCGATTCACAAAACTCCAGCGAATATATCCACAACCGGTTTCGCACTATAACTGTGACAGCATAAAGCATAGATTTTAACAAGGTTGTAATAACATACACAATACGGAAAGAAACTCACTTCATATTATAGATATTTTTGTGTTTACTCAACTGTACGGTACTATCTGGTTGTATCGAAACACTTGACTCCTGGTTAGTGGTAGCTATTGGTTGAGAAACATACTGACGTTTCTTTGGTGACTTATGTCCTTCAGAACTGTACTCTCGCATTCTGCTAACATCTTGCCCAACTTCAAAATTGGATAGAATATTGTCATTGTAAGAAACTGCAGAATTCGATTTTAACAAATAAGAAAAGGTAAAATATTTACCAAATTAATTATTGACATTTACATTTTACCTCGGAGAAGAAGAAACCTACTCAGTCACCTTGGGCACATCTATGTAGCAGGCAGTGAGCCACGTTTATAGTGTGAGGGCTATTGATACTACCCGGCTTCCCAGACCTCAATATGAGAGATCACGGCTCGGACCCATGATCAAGTGGTTGATTGGCATCTCCCCAAACCAGTGAAGCACAGCTCCATCTATATCATCGACCTGCTTCTGAAGTATACATAACCAAAGTTATTTTGGAAATCTCTTTCCTAAATTTATTCTTTTTGTGCAGATCTATTAAGAGCTTAACTTTACCATACCTCGGAAAATGTAATAAATCTTTCATATTTTCTGGAGTTTCTTTTAAAGTCACATGAGAAATTAGTATTAGGTGTGGCTGATGGATTAGTGTCAACTTTCTTTACTGTAGCCTACTTTCAGTGAGTAATATCAACTAATAAGAAACTAATTCATGAATAAATTCACCTGTAGATGGTTTGGATGTGTCATCATTGAAACTTTCCAATAAAAAGGGTGTAGAAGATCCTGAGTTTTTATTTTCACGACCATTAATTTCTAATAACCAATCGGGTTCGTCAATTCCAAATGTACTCGGATAGGTATTTGAGTTAACACGAAACCAATCATTATCACATGAAATTGAATCCATAGTTTTTCTTCTTGAACTTGTTTGATGGTTAGATCGACTATCTGAGTTAATCTACAACACCACAGAATACAGCAAATATTTGTTCGAAAGACTTCGGTAGATATATCAAATAATTCGCTAGTGGAAATTAGGAACTCTTAATATATTATCATATCGGTGAAGCGGACGAAAATGGAAGTAGCCAAATAAAACTGATGAATATTCAGACCTGGTTAGCAGTCAAATATCATAGATTAGATAGAAAGGCAGCTGCGCCAGTGGACTTCAGTCAACCACTAGTTCAAATTCGACCATCATTCAGACTGCCATCGAATTTTAAAAGTCTCTAATTAGTAACTAATTAGTTAGTTACATTCTGAATAATAATGGATAGTGGGCAGCAGTGGAATCTAGAACACGCGTTTTTTCCTATTTAGGACTCGTCAACTGGATGAACATGCCTCCCGGTGAACGGTGTTGTTCTCACTAAGACTCGAATCTGAGATCGGTCGCTTCAAACGCCAGAGTGTTATCCATTTAGTATCCGTACTGGAGCCCATATCCCGATAGAGACCGATCAATTCGGTCCAATCAACGACGAGACAATGCACGTAACAACATAAATACATTCCGAATAGTCTGATAGAAGATTTAATGATAATTTGTGTAATATCAACTACTGACCAACAGTCTGGCTTCTACAAAGGGATGTTAACAATCACTTGGCAAACTGCGAAACAAATAAATGAAGTGTAATTTCAGATAAGATTATTTATTTGATATTTCAAACAATGAAACAGTTTTATTTGCTGGGTGATGTTTCGAACAGAATTTGTTGTTTATATTCATATCTGTTCGAAACGTCATCCAGTGAATAGCACTGTTTCATTGGGTGAAATACTAAATAAACAATATAATGTGGAAATAGACACTACTATAGTGTCTAATTCCTACTCTCACAATGAGCAAAGTATCGTTAATGCTCAGCTGTGGATGCATACAGCTATGGAAATATGTTTAGTCTTCCGACAACTTAGATTCGATTACTTTATTCCGAAGTTCTAAACAGACAGACTACGCACCAGGCAGACTTTGATAAGGTATGCATAACAAATGTCCTAGCCATCTGAGTCGATGAGCGTTCGCATCTTTACAAACAAGCATCTGCAAGATATTAGTTGATCCAATGATGTAAACGTGTTATACCGGGTAGATCGAAGTATACCATATTAAGCAATCAGAGTACACTTTTTTGCATTCATTTTAACAATTTCAAAAACCACTTATTTGTCTGACTAAACTTTAATAATAATAAAAATCAGGAATTGAAACTATTTGCTGTTAAAAGTGGCGAAGATTATGTTGATCATAAGCGTACTTGATTTTTGATTGGATCAAGCGACAAACTACGGTCCGGTCTTACAAATCCCATCAAGATCAAAAGTATTGAGATATAAAATATATCACTGGTAACTAAGCGACTGAGTGCGGTGAAATAACTGAGTCACCAGTTGGGATGCAAAGAAATACTACAAGTAGTCATCATAACTTAGAGTATGCCCTCAGGAAGCGGTTTATTTAAATACGCCAATAGTTCTGTTGAAATAACTATGTCGGATAGCTTCTAAGCACAAACCATCAAGGCATCCATTTATCAGCAAACGTAAGAACATTTTGGAAGTGGTGAAAAGGCTATTCGAACGATTAGCTCATTTTGAGAAGTTCGATAGCTTTTATGATATAAGAATTGTCCTGTCCGTTAAAACCTATTTTTGTGTCGTATTTTAGCGCAAAGTTAAGAAACATAGTTTCGAAAATGACAAAGGTGAGTATAGTATCGTATGACAAAGTTAAACAATGTAATAAGAAGATGGAGACTATCTGAAACATGTGATGTATTGACACTATACATTTCAAATAATCTGATTACACATGAACTTGTCAAGTGATTTATATTAAACTTAGAAAGGCTACTTAAGCCAAAGAAAGTATAATTAAAGAAAGATAACGAGGACAGAACGAAAACAAGAGAGGGGAAAAAAAATAAAAGGTCAAATCCCCACCACTAATAGTGAAGAAACAGAAAACAACTCGACGAGAGAGTGTTTATTACGAACAATTGGAATGGTAGTGGTTACATATGGTACTCCTTGCACTAACGCAGCCATTTGCAAATGTCTTCGTTTCCTCTCTCTTCCTGTCTTGATTTGCTCTTGACCGGTTCTTCATACACTCTTATCAGCAGCATCCCCTGTAATACGCCCGTGTTGTCCCCTGCGTTGCTCTTGGCAGAAACCTTACTCATTGCCGGTAATTCCCTATGATACCTGACACCCTCTCGATATATACTACTTATATCCGTTGTTATCAGCAACGCCCACTACAGTAGTATGAAGAGTTGAACTTAATACTACCTAGGTGGGTTTAGCGTAAGTAAGAATTGTTTCTGAATACATAGAAGGGGTTTGAATTTAGGGATAGCAAGTGTTTCGATAAATTTAAGTATTCGTTTTTAACCATATCTATAGAGGACAGTAAAGGCTGTTTTCATATATCTTTCTTAATTATAATTCCATTGGCTTAATTAACTTTTCTAAGTTTTATGTAAACTATTCGAGAAGTTTGTGTGTGATCAGATTGTTCGAAATGTATATCGCTAATGCATCAAATGTTTCAAATAATCTCCATCTTCTCATTACGTTGTTTAAATTTATCAAGGGGATTAACTATTTCAAATTCATATGACAAAGTACCAAAATGTAGATATCCATGATTTTCGGGTGGTCAAATGGCAGGATTGGTTGTTCAAAGAATGCTGGGTTGCTGAAAAGTCATGTACAGAGCTGATGCGTATCACTAAAAATGCGTCGATATCTGTAGTCGATCAGACAGTATTATCAAGGGAACTGAAATTAGTGTGTAACGGTTCAAGTTGACACACCCCACTAGCATGTCAAGATAGAATGCACTCAGGTAAAAAGCAGAGATGGAAGGAAGAAACTAGCCACAAGTGGTAGGAAGTCGTGAAGAGACAACAAGCAGGAATGAGAAAATATTGAAATTCAGTAGCACGATTAGGATGAAGATGTGTAGACACATCGGCGTTATTGAGACAGATTCCAAGCCATTTCACCTAGAGTCTCCAATCGCAGATTTCGGCAGTCACACGAACTGTTATCACTTAGTCTACATTTCTCTTCATAGCTCAGACCAGAAGTCAAAGACCGCATGCAACGATACCATAATTAACTTGTCCCACCCACCCACCGCCTAAGTTTTTTCTAGTCTGAACCTACATCAGATAACAATATGCGATCAGGCAGTCTTTGATCAAGTATGCATAATAAATGTCCAGGCCATCTGAGTCGATTAAGGTTCACATCTTTACAAACTGACTGTCTTCCTCTACACCTGACTTCTACGTTAATGGTGTAGTGGCATTACGACATATGGTCTATGCTACGAAGCCAACCGTGGTCAAAAACCTAAAGTCTCCTTACGCTCTCTACATTTAATGATCATGTTTCACAGGCATGCTATAAAAGAGCGAACTGCAACGTAGTACAATCAACCCTTAACAGGTAATCGGATATCACAGCGGCACCATAAATGGCGCATGTTGCCATAAACCAATGGAGCCTATTGTATCCATGACGACATTTCGTCAGTCACTGAAAACCCAACGCTGATCCCATTTCCCAGGGAAGTGAATTGGTTAAAGCATATAACAATTCAACCCAAAGAGAAGGCGGTACTAGCGTGACACTAGCGGTCACCTGCAGATAACAACCTTACTGCTATCACACACCCATCCAGCCAGAAGTACGACACCACCATCGGAACCTCATAGTAGCACAACAATTTACAATATAAAGGCAAATTCTTTTTATTTTATCACTACCCAACTGACCCTTTTGGTATGATTAGAACTTATGGGAGCATTGTGATATCCAAGCCCGACCACCATATAAAGATACCAGTTATCGACTAAGGGTATCTGTAGACTTTAAAGCATAACTTCGAAAATGATGTGATGAGAGTTCATGCATCATGGAATTGAATCTGAATTTATGCAGATGATTCTAAATTTCCCAAGTGACACTTCAAAATAGTCTAAGATGCATTGAATATGCTACTGTAAAAAATTGTACCATTTGTATCATATCGATTTTAAAGTCTCACTGGCTACATTATCAATGGAACTGAGTTCTATTTTCTACTATCTGCACAGAAATATAATAGTTACCTTAATGTCCCTACGGGATATAGATGAATTTAGCTTAATCTAATCAAGACTAAAAATAAATATCATAAGAAAACAACATTTACCTTATCTGTCCCTTAACTGGTGTTCTAGTTAAGTTATGAAAAGACTGTCCGAATTAAATTTGCAGCATACATTTAATACGCCTTAAATGATATCAATTCTTTGCAGTTAATAAGATCACATTATTGGGTGAATACTGTACATTTAAAGTGAACTCTATGTAAGACAATACTATAGACGAAATATAAGGTGGAACTAACCTGTTTCAACCTATAAAATGTAAAATCATCATGAAATTCCCTAGAGTTAGGATCTTGTAGATCAGTCAACAGACCAAGGTCCATGAACTTTTGACAAACGATACGCCCCTTCATTCTACAACAGAAACCACCCACATTAAAAAAATCAAAAATAACAAACGGTAATCCAAGAAATGTCTTGGGTATTTTCTTGATACATAGAAAAACACTGGTTTAAATCCGCTATGAAAACTAGGAGTATTGGATCAAAATAAAGCAGTCACTAGTTACATGTGTCTAAGGTAAAAATTTGTGAGATAATGCATGCCATAAACAGATAACTGACAGAATTTTTGATCGAATCAACCTGGTCCACATTTCTTCTCAAGTTCTGAAGTCAAACTGGTATATGATTCAGTATTATAAAGTAATCTATCCCCTAATAATCCGAAGGTCCTGCTATACAAAGCTAAGTTCTTGTCAGTGATAGGTCCAAATCGACCTGGTGAGTAGCTATAAGCACTTCGCGCACGCTCTTCAGTATCATCTTGGTATGCTTATGAACAATTAATTGTATTCCAAAAATCATATCAAAGAAACAAACTAAAATCTAATTAATCTCCAGTACAGTACCAAGGGTTTACCTTAGTAATTATTTGGACATTTAATTAACCAGTACACAGTCATAGTTTTAAATATATTCCGTTTACTTCAACTTTGACAACCACTAATTTGCTCTCATACAACAAGTACTACCCAAAGCCATGGCATGGTCTAGCACAATGTTAACAAATATCTCTAGAAATATAACAGCATGAGACAGATACTTATGAAATAAACTAACCGGCAGTGTTTCAAACCTGGAATATTATTGACCAGCCAATACACTAATACTAAGCCATAAACACAATAAACTTCTTCATTGTCTCTTTTCCACTTAAATAACTGTAACAACTTAGATGAACTGTTTTCTTTTGTTACATTTTCATTTGAATGACTATGAATAAGACTGGATGATTCCGTTGAAACAGCATTTAGTTTTGAAGTTATTGTAATTGGAAATGAAGAGTCTTCTGATGAATTAGCCCAAATTCTTGACCATAAAAGAAGCATTTCTTGATCTGACGATGAGTTGAATAATGAAGGAGATGTACAGCTCAGCAAACACTCAAATGAGTGAGATAAAGAAATCTTTTTGAACGGAGTACTAGGAACATTGGTATTTATAGAGTCGTCTACAATCAAAGTTTTGTTTTTGCATGGAGTTCGGTGGATTAAATGAAATGCGCTAGTTCCCATTGAATGATGTTTTACTTTTTCAGTAGAATTAGGCGGAGAGGAGATAACAGCACTAAAACTAGCGTTTGCAAACGTTGTTGGAACGTATGTAGGAAACAGGTCTGGGCTTTCATCAGTTGAATTATTAGAAGTGGAATGACATGGGTTAAATGAATCCAGAGTCTGTCTACGGAAACGAAGGGTTGAATTTAGCACTCCTTTTCCATTTGATATAGTATTCAGACTAGTATTCACATGCACATTACGACTGGAGAGACGGCTGATCTGAGATGGGATGGAATCTGACATATTATTTTTCCCATTGTGTCCTATCTCACTCACTTTCTTCTTCAAAGCATAAGCATTGTCAGCATTTAAAGACTGCATTGCATGTTTAGACAATGAATACTCTGGCTTTTTGGTGTCTGTAGTAATCAGTACTTCAGCACAATAACTGCAAGCGCGTTGAAGACCATCAAGTCCAATTTGAGTACCTTCAACAAACTTAAAAGAAACGACAACACATCAAAAAAAACTGAATGGAATTTGAGAAGTTAGTGCTTCAAGTATAATAGAAGCATTGACTATGCAGGTTATAGATATGAAATGTATGATTGGATTTGTGGTACTAAACGTTTTGAGAATGATTTTCTCTTCAAAACATAATGTAAAGTTGTTAGCTTTGCCATAGTCAGTGAAAATTACTTTTCTTTTCTCGTCTACAGAAAAGTGACCCTTTTTACTGCATTTCTTCACCAGTTTTACACTTTTTGTTTCACAGCCCACCCTCTACAGCCACTTTAAGGTTGACCAGGTCATTTTTCAAACTAATTACATGAAACCAGCTTCCAGTTATTGTTTTAACTTTAACAGCTTCTGCCTAACCATTTCAAAAGACATTTAGTGAGGAAGTTATATCAAAAAATATTGTGCTCCCAAGAAGTGCAAGAAGAATTTCAGCTCATTGAATAATGTCTACACAATAATGGTTATCAACTGGAGTTCGTGTAGAATTACTGCAAAAGGAAAAAGAGAGGAGTATAGCATTGTTGAAAAGAAACCATTGTTTCTTACTTTCACTTTCAATGGAGATGATAGTGCGACAAAAACCAACAAATAGATTAGGATTGCACTGTCTAGGACTTATCTGGCTGCAAGATTTGTCGCCCTATATCAAACAATATTTGGAATTACACAGTTCAAATTAGACACATTTTTAACTTTTTTCAATTTCAACTCCATTTATTCATTCATATGCGCATCCGAAGCAAGTACATAGGAAGAACACAGAGACAGCTGTCTACTAGGATCACCGAGAAAATATCAAAAAGTCGATGTCTGAGAGGTTTATCCTCACTCAGCAGTGCAATAGCTCGTCACTTGTGGGATACAGGACATCAATTAGATGCAGTGAAGTCCATCATAGACGTCAACGGACTTCACACTTCGGACTGCCACAAGCATCAATATCCGACGACTTCAGCACGAATTTTATGTCCAAGAGGAGATAGGCATCAATTTTTATTATTGCCCTAGTAATTAGTGACGTCCCATCATATTTCCTCGAAAATATTTTTACATTTGCTTTATGCTTATCCCCAACCATATTCATATTGACTATCGTCTCATTATTGCCATATTTCTTTTTTATCACCCACTTATCATTTTGTTAAGGTAATATTTCCATAGTGAATGATGATTGAAGGTGAAATGAAAATTTGGACCGCGGATTTCCAGTCCAGTGCTCTATCAGCTGAACTACGCGACCCGACTGTTAACCAGATTTTCATTTCACTCCAATCACCAAGGTATATAGGGCTTACGATTACTGATCTATCATCCACTCGAAACATCATTTCTTAAAATATCTGAAGAACACCTTTAGTGTCTGAAGTGTATTAAAAGAATCGAAATTGCTTATTTGTTCTTTTAACATGGTTATTTTGCGTTTTGCATACAATATTTTTCGATTTTTATGACTGATATGGACTTTTCATGGATGTATCTAGCAACACAATCACTGTCACAGGAGTAGTTACTCAGTGTTGTCAAACATGTGAGATCGAACCAATAAAACTATATATCATGTGAATAACCTTTAAAAACAATTAATTATATAGTATTATTATAAAGCCAAGGTCAACTGTTGCTAAATAGATATTGAATAGACTGTATGTAGATAAAACCTCTGTAATATCAACGTTCCTTTGTACTTCAGACACACAGACAACATCAGGATAGGACCTGACCTTACTGAGTAGCTGTTCAATTTACCACAACTCATAACAGCATATCAAATGAGAACGTATCAAGATGAAAGAGAGAAATAGCCAAGAAAGTAATCAAATTGGTGGAAAATCGTAAATCCACAGCAAGGTAGAATGAGACAATATTGAAAATAAGTAGGAAGTCTAAGATGAAGATAACGTGGGGATGCATCTACACCAGTGACATCGATTCTGAGCTATATCACCTAGTCTTCAAATACTAGTTTCTATCATCAAACAGATTCCAACAAGGAAGTCTATGATCCTCTACACGGCTCAGGCTGATAGCCAAAGACTTCACACTCCCTAAACCACTTCCAGCCTGAACCTATTTCAGTTAACAGTGCAACGAGGTAGGCAGTGACTAGGTATGTGTAACACATGTCCCAGCCACCTCAGTTGAGGAAGGTCCACAACCTCATCGGCTTGCTTTTCTCTTTTCCTTAAAACTCTACACCTGACTTCTACATTGCCGATATGGTAACACTATGACACACGGTCTATGCTAATAAGGCAGCGGTTGTCAAATACCTAAAGTCTTCTCATTCCCCCTACCTTAGATGGCTGTCTCACAGATATATAGTAGAATAGAATAAAATGAGACTTCAGCGTCCCCACCTAACAGGACTATGTCATCTGCGAACTCCATATCTACTAAGGATTCACTTGTGACTAGATCCTGTAAAGTCACAGGATGACATAAACATAAACACGTCTATAACAAAATTAAGTACGAATAGAAAAAGTGAACATCCTTGACGGATATTACTCGATGTACACAACTCACATGATAACTAATCATAGGGTCTAACACGCCTATCGATGTTCGAATCAATAGCCCTCAACAGGTCAATGCACTTACTGGGCACCCTTTTCAGTAACAGACTGCCATAAGATGGAACCAAATCCCGCGTTCAGGTCCGGAAATACAGCGAGTGTCAGGCGACAGTAAGTGTGCCTGTGTTGCAGAACTTGGCGAAGGGTGAATATCTGGTCGACACAATCACCACTACGTCTGAGACCCGTACGGTTTTCTCGTGTTTGCTGTTCCTGAGCGCCACTGTGATGATTGCAGAAACTAGTAACACAATGTTCGTCAGACCGATTTCCTTGTATCACAAGAGGGCTTTTCCTCTTTCTTGAAGACTAGAACAACCAGTGATTGGGACCAACTAAATGACACCACTAATCCTTTATCACCGAACTCAAATACTCCCGCCAGTACCAGTGCATTTGGCTCTGATGTTCTTCCTTGTTTCGGATTACTTACAACCGTCTCTAATTCTGCAAGCATCGGAGGACCTATCTCAGTGTTTCATTCCGGATTCTACGGAATAGTGAGCAAAGGAACAGTAGCTGGAAACCAGTCGACCTGTTCCTCGAAGTGTTCCATCCATCATTCTAGTTGTGTCCCTTGCAAGTTAATCCCAGGCTTATCCTTCTCCACCACAATCGCACTAACCACTGATCGTTTTGCAGCAGTTTCCTTGTTGGTTACGAACAGCTAGCTGTCTACTGTTGCCTATTACCTCTGCTTTCTTCACCTCTTTAACCTTCGCCACCCACAAAATAGCCCGCGGTCATTCCACAGACTTCTGGTTAGTCTATATTTATTTCCGTTCCTCATTGTGCTCGGAACCTACAGCAATACATCAGTGTGTTCCTATTAATCAAGAAGAATCTGCTGGGAATCACTGGCCCTCTCTAACCACTTTCTGATAGTTGGCTACGACCTTCAACAGACCGGATATAGTACCAAGCTTTCTCTAGATGAGTGATGCTGTTCTGTCCTGAGAACTGTCTAGCCAGTTTCTCACTGAAAGTACCCTTAATGTTCTCAGTGTCAAGCTGGACTCACAGTGGCCTTGTTGTTGTAGTTCTCCAGCGATCATTCACGCACACATAAAAGCGCGCTCGAACCAACGTGTGATTACTGTCCAGACACATGCTTTAGAAAGAGTGGGAATCTCCCACCGACCTTTTACACCAATAACTGACAATAGTATGATCTATCTGTTGCTTTCAGGTTGGTGGACGCCACGTCAGACAGTGCCTCTCCTATCGTCTGAAGTTCGTGCTGGTCACAAATAGATGCTTGTCTGAGCACAGTTTTACTAAGTGATCGCCATTATTTGTTCGTTCAGTTGGGATTTCGAAAGTAACCCTTAACTGCCTTTCTACCCGACTTAGCCTACACAATTGTATATTGAAGTTGCCTGCTAAAAAAACACGTCTGAACGTTTGGCTTTCAGTGGGAGGCTAGAGAGTTTTCGGTGGAACTCACTTCTTCCAAACCGCAGTCAGTGGGTGCATGAGTAGAGATTACAAAGAGACAACAACAAGTTTCATTATTTCTTCTAGTCCTCACTATGAAATTCAGTCGAACAGTGTACAGACAACTATCAACTTAGACGCAGTCAAGAAGTACATTTTCTGTCTTAGCACTTAGTGGTTTATCCACACCTGCAAGACTGCGAGAACTAGCCATCAAATCTCCAGAAACTCGAGGAGTGGATTTCACAGATTACACCGAATTCGACGACTGAAGTCAAGTGGATAACTAAGCTTGTATTCTGTATGCATGTCTCACAAATACAGTACACATCCATGGCCCGAGATCGCAGAGTTTCGGTCAGTAAAGTTTGTTCGCCGACTTGATGAGGGGTGAGGATATTAAAAGCTCCAAAACGTAGTTTGAAGCGTGAAGTCAGATGACTACAGTTGCTCCTTCATGAAGTAAGGATGTGGAAGGTTGATAATGACCAGAGGGAACTTGATTGTCGACGGAGTTGTGGGGGTGGTTGATAGTTCTTGGCGGCCCACACCGTGGAACTTTGTTTCTTCTTGAGGTATCTGGAAAAGAAGGGTTAGTGCGTGACCGCAGAAAACAAAGGATATCCATCTAAGATTGCTCATACATGCTGTTTTTTAAAGTTTTTATTTAGGTTTGTTTTTGTGAGTCCAACTATGAACCCGTAGAGCCGGCACTAGTATGTGGTCGGGTACAGAATGTGCCATTTTTAGGCCAAACATTTTCTAACCTTACCCCTTATTATAGGCGGGGTAGCACTAGCATGGCAATGCTGGTCATCTGCGGATAACACTTTACTGCCGTCACATTCTCATCATCCAGCAGTACGACTTCACCCTCGGGGCCTCATCTTAGTGTAGCAATTTACAATATAACGATGGCATCTTTTTATCCTGTTACTGTCTAACTGATCCCTGTAGTATGGTAGGACGTCGATTGAACAAGTGTTCCGCCAACGTACCATGTTGGGTCATCGAGGAATGTAATCCCAATCATCAAATCGATGTAGCGGCTATCCTTCTTGCTTCAAGTAACAACTATTTTAGCCGTATTCATTAAAAATTGCTGCATTGTGTACCAAATCAACTTATTGTGAATATGTCTGTTATGAATATTTGCTCACAAGGACGTTATTTAATTTTGGTGGTCTTCCAAATAAAATTACTGCCCATGATCACACTAAATGTTGCTGCAGCTACAACTTTCACCATAAAATTATTGGAAAAGCAGAACTTCAGAAGTCCCAGTTTTCACATTTACAGATAACATTTACTACACTACATAGCTATGTTTGCATAATTTACGACTATTAAATGAACGACTAGTGATAAAAAATCGGTTACACCATCAGATGGAAATCAATATACCATCGTTTACAAGATTTATCTTAACTTCAAACTAAAATAAAAGTGAATACAAAATAAATTTATCTCTATCTATCTCTTCCATGTCACCCTCGGACACCCGACTCGTCGTTTTCCCTTTAGGTTCCACTAGAGGGCCTGGCGCGTGATGTCCCCAAATGGTCATCTCAGTGTATGCCCAATCCATCTCCACTTTCTTCTGCATATTTGTTGGGCGATGGGTTCTTAGTTGGTTCGTTGTCAACCTGGGCTCTTTGTTGCTTATTCTCATTGTTACTGGCCATCTGATCTTCGGTATCGAGCGTAGGCAGCTGTTAATGAATGTCTGTAGTTTGTTGAAAATGCTTTTCGTGACACACCAAATTTCTGAACCATATAGCAGCACCGACTTGACTGACATTAGTGCTGAAAATCCGGATCTTGTTCTTGATGCTGAGTGCAGAAGATTTTCACACCAAGCAGACGTAATAATTATTTAGATCTCCACACTGATTTCAGGTTAATGAAGGCGTCTTGCTTCTCTGATCCTGGCTTTGACGTCCACATCTGCGCCATCTGCCTAGGAAAGTGAAATAGATTACTTCCTTTGGATTTCTCCCGTTGATCGTGATTGGTGTTGCTGTTAGTTGGGTATCTTCATCACCTCTGTCTTCTCTATGTTCACTTGAAGTCCTGTCTTCGCTGCCTCGCCTCTTCTGTCAACTTGTTGGTTTTTGCCTGTGCGACATTAGATATAAATCATCATCGGTGAAATCCAAATCTTCTAGGGTCATCTCATCGATCCAGCTAGCGTATGTCAATCTCCTCATAGCTCCTCACAGTTTGTTGCATGGTCCAGTCCAGTCGAATACAATCAGCAAGATCATCGGTGATAGTAGGAGGCAACTTTGTCTTACTCCTGTTTTCGCATTAAAGACATCGCTGAGCTTTCTATTGTGAATCACTTCGCATGTAGCATATGACATACAGCTGTTGAATGAAGTTGATAAAGGTTTGTGGCACTAAAACCGTAGTGTTGGAGCAGCTGCCTACCAAGTTACTTCTCGGTCGACGCCGTCGAAGGCCTTTTCAAAGTCGATAAAGTTGAAGTACAGGTACAGTGGACTGCCATTCTATGCTCTGTTCTATGATGATGCGTACGTTGCAATTTCATCCGCACATGATTTGTTCTTGCTGAAGCCCTCCAGCCTGTTCCGGTCGTAATTTTGAATCCAGAGCAGTTTTTAGTCTCTCCAGGATGATGCGTCTTAATATTTTGCTTGGTGCGGACAGGAGCATGATTCCTCCCCCACCTTCTGTAGACTTATGTTTATCCTAGGAATTTGACAAGGTAGACCCTTCTTCCAACCAATGGGCAGGTATTTTTCCTTTCTTCCAAACCTTGTGCACTAGTGGTGTCAGCATAACCACTGTTGTCTCTGCGTCTGTTCTCAGTGCTTCTGGCAGAATTGCATCTGGTCCTACTGCTTTCCCGGATTTCAGCAACTTTATGGCGTTCCGGACTTCACTTTGGCTTTTGTCGAGAGCTTGCGTTCACTGGTAATTTTGTGGCTGCTGGTGGTATTTCTGGATGAATGCGGGTGGTGTTGGTAGTTGATTCAAGAGTTTTCTGAAGTGGTTAGCCCATCGCTTCCTTTGTTTCTCGTCTTAGTAACTAGGTCCCCTTCACTATCTTTCATTTGTTTAGTCTGCGTTGATCTGTTCCATCCCAGATAGTACCCTGGTTGTTTGATATAACGTTTTCAGGTCTCTCCTACCAGCAGCCTGTTCTGCTTCACTTGCCAGTGTGTCGTAGAAGTATCTTTTGTTTTCGTGTGCACTCTTCTTCACTTTTTGTCCAGTGTTTTATAGGTTGTGTTTAGTTCCTCTCCTCGTTGTGCATCCTTGCGTTGGTTTATCTTCTGCCTCATTATCTTTCTCTTCTTTATCAGCTGTCATGTGTCCGTGGAGATCCATTCCTTATCTTGTTTTGTCTCTTCTTTTTCCTTCGTAGCATGGTTATGCAGGTTTTTTTGCACATCTCTTTCAAAGAGTTTCAGTGTTCTTCCACGCAGGTTTCTTCAGGGATGTTGCTTAATATCTCCCATTTTGTTCTGGTGACTGACGTGAAGATGTCCTTTGTAGTTACGTCCTTCACTTTCTGTTCTAGGTGTTGAACTTCAACTGTGGTCTATCACAAACTTCCTTGAAGGCTTCCAACTTGGTAGTGAAGGCAGGTTCCTTGCACTAGATAGTGAGTGGTGTGAACCTACATCTGCTCCCCTCTTGATCTTGTGTCCAGTAGGCTGCGTCTCCACTTTCTTCACATTGAGATTAAGTAGATTTGACTTTCTGTGTGTCTGGTGAAATCCATGTCGCCTTATGAATATCCTTGTGCCTGTACACTGCCTCCAATCACCAAATTATTAAATGCGCAGAAATCTGCAGTTCTCCATTGTCGTTCATTCCACCGAGTGCTTCTCGACCCATAATGAGTTCTCTTCTTGTATTACTTCTTCCCAGTTTGGTATTCATGTCACCCCACCCATTGGAATTCCGATATCGCCAACTGGGACGGGGTCTTGTCCAGTACTAACTGCAGTTTTCTATAGAATTCCTCCTTCCTCTCATGATCTGCATTATTTGTAGGTACATAGCATAGCATTGTATGGCTGTGACTTTCCTTCCTTTTGAGTCAAACTATGCTGTCATGATCCTGCAGGAGGAGATTAGTTCCCACTGCAATATAGCCTTGGATGCTCTTGGGGACATCATGATAACCACTCGAAAACTCAGTGCGCTCGTGGTTGTCGTCTGGGTGACGATATTGGAGTAGATTATTGACTCTCCAGTTGACAGTTTGGAGAGTCCACTTCCATCCCATCTGCTTTCGTAGATTCCTAGCACTTCTATGCCATACCTTCTCATCTCTTTTGTTCAGACATTCCATGTCCCCATTTTTACTTTCGCTTTCATCGAGAAAAGATACATCGGCCAATTGGCTTCTCGAGGGCTTTCACCAACCAGCATCATTTTGTCTCCTCGATTCCAGCGGGGAATAAATTTATCTTTATTTTCTATATTTTTTCTGTGCTTTGAAGTTTCTTTACGGATTGGATTGGTTTGACGAGGTAGCGTTGCTACCCCTATGACCAAACTTCCGTCTTTATCTGAGTTTAGGACCGGCTAGTAACTAGTGAACTAGTTAACTAGCTTCATATTACATAAATAGTCACCTGAAAGTGGAGGAGCAAAAGTACTCTAGAGGAATGTGGATTGATTTGGAACATTAAATAACAAAAAAAATACTAAAAGCAGTACTTTAAGAGCTGTAGGATCTAAAACTGAATGATAACTAAAATTGATCATTCCTTACAAACTGTGGTAAAATTACCTGGTTACTGCATTGATTACAGAATATCCTGCCACATACACGACAGTGGTGTTTACGACGAATTGCTGTGAAACGTGACCCACATTCGAAACAAAACTTGCAGTTCTCATCTTGCATCCAATAACGTCTCTCAGACTGTCTAATGGGCTCTGATAGCTGACCAGATGAAAAGACGGATGTTTCTTGAGATATGTTTACATTCGGAATCGGATGGCTAAGGTCAGATACTTCATGACATTCAGTTTCCTATTGGAATGTAGACAACAGACAGGTTATTTAGAAGCCAAAATGGAAATTCAAGGAAACTCTTAAACCCAACCTTTGACAATCAGGCTAAAATTGCAACGCCGCTTAGTGACCCAGATAGATTTTGATCTACAGCAAGAAAACGTAAAGTTAAATTTCTACCAACTTAAACTACTCAGATAAACGAAATTATGAGCCAAGAAATGGACTGACAAATCGACGTAGGATCTGTCATGCAAATAACAAATGGGTAGAGTGATACGGAGATAGACTAATGTATGTAAGTAGAGGCTAACAAAATGTTGAAAACTGTAGACGATATGTACATTGTGTTATTGAGGCTTCTTCCAAGCCACCCAACCAAGGCGCTCTAACCCTAAATTCTTATGGTCTCGGGGATCCCCAAACTGGACAGTCTACTGTTCCTTACAAAGCTCACAAACTGCCAAAAACCTCATGAACTGATGCCACACCTTGGTCTGACCGCTCTTAGACTTCTTTCAATGCAATTACACTTTCGCTAACATTGAATGTAGATGTAGGCGGTGGCTCAGCATGGGCAATACATATCTAAGCTATCTCAGATGGTGAAAGTTCACAGCCTCATTGACCGATTTTCCTTCCTTGGTTAACACTGTGTAACCTTGACATTGCTCACGTGGTGACCCTACCAAACGCAAGCAATGCTACGGAGACACTTGTGTTTGGAAACTTGTAATCTCTCCACATTTTGTACTTGCAATGGCCATGTTAGTCGTATAGTGGGAAAAAGTGGACTGTAACCCAGTATACTCGTCCTTTAATAGATAATTAAGTTTCTCCCCAGTCAGCGCCACAGATGGTGCGAGTTAGTAAATGCCAGTCGGGCCTTTCATATCCTAGCTGAGATTTCATCAGCAGCCAACCAGTTAGGGTTGATGCAACTATCAAAGTGAAATGGTCAACGTATACCACCATTTAGTTTCCTGTCATTAAACTGGTAGTGATTGCATATCAGACCTGGAGCATCACATATCACAGATGCAAAACGCATGCTCAATACGTTCAGAAAATTTCGTGTGCATACTACGAGTCAGACAAGTGCGAAATAAAGTAGAGGTACTTTATGTAATATAAGCTTAAGTCCAGCAGACGCTAGAAACGATTGTAGAGCTGGTGAATAATTTGTGAATTACTAATTAGTTTAGGCGTGTTTGAGAGATAGCGCATTATACTATATGTAATGTACTTTTAATCAGCTTTGATTTATGAAAAGACTTATCACAAACTGAACTTCCTAGTACACGTTTTATCTCAATCAATTGGAGAGGGAGAACTGTAGCTTGTGGGCAGATGAACTCATTGATAGAAGACGCTTTAAGGTCACTCATCTACGTGGCTCATGGTTACCTAGCTGCTGAATTGTTTCAGTCCATATTATCTGCTTGAAAGTCTGAAACAGATCGGTGATAATGATAAGCTACGGTGAAGTAAAATGGTTATATTTAGATGTAACTTTTGGAAGACATTTTTTTGAATCAGGCGCTACTGTTGAGTTTCCCCAACATTTTCAGTTTTTGCTCAGCGAGTTCCTTTTCGGAATTTTCCTGGCATTTGGTTCAAATTTTTTCATATTTGCAGTAATGAACTTCATGATACAATATAGCACAAATCAAAGCCCGTCTTGAGTAAAAATACACTCTTGGAATGTCAGTGATCTAAATCACGGATTCAGATGAATTCCTTCGATGAACGGCTTTTTGCTGACTATAAGGTTGAATAAAAATTACGATGGTGATGTATAATAAACGGTTAGCATTGCTAAGTTGTTGAGTAATTCAGCGGAAACATTTTTTACCCTCCGAGATCGACGTCGAAAGAGAAAGTTTTCTACGCTGAATTACCTCGTCTTCCCTCTATTGAGTTTTTCCCAACCCTTCATTCTAGATGTACACTAGTGTTGAAACGGATATGATTGCGCATACTATGCAGCAAGGAAAACTGTCTGGTTGGCGGAAAGGAGAATCTTGAAAGATTTAAAGGACAACTTAAGTGCATGCACCAAACCGTGCATAGTGGGACTGAGAAATTGAACTGTACCTGAAATGATAGTCGAAAGAGTGTGGGTCATCTCCTGACTTTTGACAGACCTAAGCTCTAGAAATCTTTATCCTTCCTCACATCTAAAATCATGACGCTTTTGCCATTTTGAGCTGCTCCGGCGTGAAGTGAGATCCATTTGGATGAACAGGATGCTTTGATTATCGTGGTCACCGAAAGTTAGGATTTAAAGTTAAAAAACCAAGACTAGAGGTTAAAGTAAAGACCTTGGATTTAATCACTTCTAACCTACTTGAAGTAGGACCCAAATGAGTAGGGATTAAGGATACGGTTTGAAGATTGGATGGACACCTCAGTGATAAACCACTTAGAATATTAGACCTTTATTCCCAAGTTCTTCGACTCAAGGCAATAGAAAGTATACAGAAATTTACGGATGCGATAGAAAGCACAAACCTACTGTGCAGAACTTGGCCTCTTTTCTTTCTGACAAATGCAATCTTCAATTACGTAAGCTAGTTAGTCATCGGTTCGATAGTACGATGGGAAACTAAGTATTACTCAACAAGTTTCTCAAGGAGTCCACCTTTTGACGCATTGAGGAATGAGAACAAAATACACACTGGAGAACCAGACCAATAAACATGATACGGAAAAGCCCTGACTACATTTATTAACTGAGCATTTTAACAATTCACTCACGATGTTAGCTGATTCCTGAACCTCAGGTAACTGAAATTTACACTTGCTGTTTTGTTGATTATTTGAGTTAGCACCAGTCAGTTTAGCTATAAAATTTCTCAATAAATTACCGCTTTTGTGTGGGCTTTCAAAATCTGGAACACCGAATGAAATATATTCCTTAGAACTGGAAGGCTTCATTCCTAGTAACGTACTTCTTGAAGTACGCATCAGTATACAATATCTGTTTCAACATCCAATAACAACATCCAACATAAATAGCGCAAGTAGCGGAAACTTTAGTTTCTGAGCTCTCGCTTCCAGGTCTGGTGTAAACCACTTGATTTCTCTTTGCTCGCTCATCGGTCTTGCTAGACGGTTCCAGGTCTTTGGCTGGTTCCGATGCAGTAGATGCAGCCACTCATCTGCTATAATAATAATAATGATAATAATAATGATGTATGTATATATATATATATATATATATATATTTCATACAACATAGGTTGCATGAATATAAACCAGTTTACAGGTTTGATCATTTTGGTAATGAGAAGTGACTATTATTTACAATGTTGAGCTATACATTAGATGCCGTTATTCATGGCATATAAGAGGTGTGATGAAGCAGGCTTAGTTCGAAATTAGGAATTATTCGGTTGTTGTTTGAATCTTCCGATATTCTTGAAGGTAGGGCAGGTATCGCAGCTCTGGTATACAGAACAGGAAGCTAAGTGTTGGTTCATTTGGGTGGAACTGTGGTGCAGTTGAGTTCTTCAGACGTCGAGTTGCCAGACGGCTGTCGTTAGAGGGAGTTGAGGATAGTGAAGAGAAAGCCCAGAAAGACAAATATAGGTGAGTGAAAAGCAAAGAAAAAGGAACCAAAGCAGTAATCTACTAGCGATCAAGTAGGGCGAGGAGGGGTACAAAGATATGAAGAATTTAGTTGGGTGAGTCTGGTTCATAGCAAGTAAGACAGATAAAAAAGGCCTTAATGGTCACAGCAGAAGGAAAGCCGGTGTGGTTCAACACAGTTGGAACGATGCAACAGTAGTAGATTTCTTTAGTTTAGTTCATATTCCAACCACATATGGGCAGACAGTGGGTCTCTGCCTAGTCTTCTCTTGAAACTTTCAACGGATCGAAGGAGACTATGTATTCCAGTGGTCACAGACCTGAGGGGAGAAGAAGTGTGAACGCACGCGAATTTTTGACCTTTGGTGGGAAATTCTGTTGAGGTTTTCACAAAAATCATCAAAGTGGCCACTCGTTAGTATTCCTCTGTTTGGGTGACGGATTATTTAGTATTTTGTAAGCCATTATCAGGTCATCTCGTAACCTCCCATAACTAAGAGAGTGCAGGCCTACATATTTCAGTCTATCTTCGCATGACTTTTGTTGCGTCCTAACAACTTCGTTGGTGGCTCGCCTCTGAACTTTCTCATGTTGCTTCGTGCCTCTTTTCAGTTGTGGTGGGGCGAAGACGTTATAGACCTCCAAGTGGGGTTATATGTAAGTCTAATAGAGTTTCAAAAAGAAGTCTCGGGTGAGGGCGCCTGGTTGTCCACACACAAAGTGTAGTACACCGTACGCTTTTGAGGCGTCACCTGGGTAATCGGAACTGGTTTCCAGTTTCTCCGTCAGGTCTTTCTCAGCTGTGGTATGGGATAAACGTGAACCACAGAGAGGGTAGGGTACTTTCTGTGGGTCAAGAGTGTGGAAAAACATGGACCGGCATCTATCCAGGTTAAGTGCCAATCTGTTACTTTCTGACCATTACTGTAGTGTTTTGAGGTCGTTCTACTAACTATTGCACACCAACTGATTTCTTCACCCTCGATTCTGGGTTCCGCAGAGCCGTTTTAGGCATTTGGTGGATTCCGACGTGCCAGATCTACCCACTCGCCTACTGCATCTCCAGTTAGCTCGATGCGCGGTCGGGAGTTGGAGGAGAAACAGGCAAATTCGGAGGAGATAAGTGGCAGGGAAAACTCTGCCAAATGGTGTGGGATCATGGAATCGAATGGAGGAGAAGAAACGGGTGAGATTATGGATTATGAGAGTAGAAATAGTGACACTGTTTGTAGGGGATGGTAACTGCAGAAGACGTCTGCAGCGGGGTATAAGGCTGAGTCAAGCTAGCGATGCTGATGGCAGTACAAAAGATTCGGTATAAGTTTGACTTTTGTGGTTGTGTGAAGTTATTAGGTTGTATCAACCCATCACATGTCCCAGCTGGATGAGTACAAACCGTGCGTTACTGCGTCGCTTCCCAACCTCCTCCTGAAGCTGTCAGCAGACGGAACGGTAATGATCTCGGCAGACAATGAGCTTCAGTTGCCGCAAACTCTCAGGGAGAAAAGGTGTGAATATACACAACTCTTCGTCCCTCGGTGGGAATTTCTGCTTAGATTACCACGAGGATTACCACGATGGCCGTTCGGCAAGATTCCTCTGTTGGGATGATTTGAATTACTCAGCATTTTATTAACCGTTATCTAGTCGCCAAGCGAACTGGGGCAGCTAAGTGAGCAAGGCCCTAGATCCTTCACCCTTTCCTCGTAGAGTTCATACCGAATTCCGAATCCTTTGCTGCTCGAGTCCTTGCATTATCGCCAACGGGACATCGCAAAGACGAATCAAACAGGTCGACTGCTTGTAGCGGGAATTTAGAATTTCGTGCCACCTTGCTTCTACTAATGGTGAAAAAAGGAAGTATGACTGAAAGCGATCCAAACTTTAACACTCTCCATACGCTGGAAAGTAATACTTTCTTGTTCATTTCATGACTTGTGTAAACTTCTGATGTCTTCAACTTAATTTAATGACCCCCATTCCGTACCATTTTGATCCCGCAAAATCTTGTAAGCTTTCCGACATGTATCAGTGTGACGATGCCTGTAGGCCGGCTTCTCTCATGTTAAATCACTAATATGAGAATTAAATATTTATCATTATTATTATTATCTCTTTTCAGACTTTTTGATGCAATAATATCATTGGTCTTTGAGTGAGGTCGTCGCACCAGGAAGAGTTACGGTTTGTGGATGCCTCGTTTCCTGTGCATGAGGTCCACCACTTCGCAGACTGTGCAGTCATCTACTGGGTAACTGCAACGATTTCTGTCTTGTCAGTCAGCATTACTCCCAGGTTTTTGTCCGTGGCGGTGTGGGAAAGTTGGGTCCTATTGACGGAGTTGGGTGCCCTCTGGGTTGCGAGTGCGGAGAAACATGGTTCGGCATTTATCCGGATTAACTGCTAGTACGTTGTTCTCCACCCACTTTGCAAGCAATCTGAGATTACTTTATGCCACACGTGGTTCTGCCTTGGGTGCCACTGCTCTCCATAACCTAAAATCGACAGGATAAGTAGAACGGGGGGCTGAGACTCGGCGGGAAGTCATTCGCAAAAAGGAGGAATGGCAGCCGACCCAGAACAGCTGTTTATGATGCGCTGGATGATGATGTCCCCAAAGTCAAGCGAACCTTTGTGACTTTTGTGAAGAATTCTCTGGTATCCAAGATGTCCTGCTGCCGGGAAAGCACTTGACTGCTAACATTCAAACTTGATGCATTTTTCGGACGAGAATGGTGTGTGGGTCTGTGTCAAACGCCCCTGTGAAACTCAAGAAAGCCATGAGAACAAAACTTGGAGGTCCCATCATCCCATCCACTTATCACCCGTTGCCCGAGGGCTTCAAACACAAGACCTCTCCCATCCGAAACCGTCTGTGGCTTTACCTAATGCTTCCCTATTGTCCAAGTGCTGTCTGATATGGTCGTCTACCAAGTTGTTGTGGTGCCCCAGTTTCGCATAAAACATTGTTATCTATCTGAACATTTTAACGTGTCATTCCCACACCATTTTCACGGTATGACTAATAGTCTACTTTCTGCCCCCATTGTAATGTAAATGGCTAATTGGCTAGTCTTTACTCTTACTATGCCAATGCCTGAGATTGAGGATAAGGTCATGTTTCATGTGCATACTTATTCACATGTTTTGGATTGGTCCATTATTATATTCTTGGGGTAATACACTCTCCCATCTGCCAGCTTCGGTGTTCTCTTTATTCATCCCGAAGTTGCGTACCAAGTTAGCTGCCAGCTGATCGCGCGTATTACATTCGTTCTGGAACATGTAAATATATATATCTATTAGCGGTTCGAAATCATAACACTGGTCCTCCATTACTTTCGATGGCACTGCAAAAGCACTAAAGTTCTGTGGGATTTCGGGCCCTGCCTATCTCTTCCTTTGAAGATGAGAGAAAGAATAGCACGTTCTCACTCTCATGAAAGCATATGTTCGCCTGAGGAGTGTTGAAACAGATTACCAACACATCGTTCCGAAACAACGTTGTGGAGCTTTGTCGAATCTCGGTGGTTTTCCTGTGCGGAGTTTTGACCTTTCTTACAAGACCATTGCATGGTTTACCCTTATTCCGTGCAACTATGCAGCATTGAGTGGTGCTGGAGGCCACTCGGCCAGTAGTCAGTTTCGTCTGGAAGACTCCCCGCTTCGCTGCGCGCCAAATGGGGAGCTTAAGTTTTCGGGGATCTCAAGTTTAGGTAGCTTCTACCAATTCAGACCCTTCATGAGGCAAGCTCCCTTGCTAATGGATTTTACCTTTACCATGAGTCAGCATAGGTTTTGGGGTATGCCTCAAGTTTCTAGGCAAGGCTCGCCTGGACCAACCTCCATGCCACCTCACTTTGACTTTCCAACTATCCTCTAGAGAAATGTATGCGCCATAATTAGACTCTTGTCTGGAGATCCCCCATCTGTGCTATGGTACCCACTTTGCTTCTGAGAGGCGTTCAGTGCATCTTTTAAGGCCTGCGGTTCGCTTATTTGGCATTGTTGTGACTGCTAGGCTGTTTTCAAAGATAGTCGCACTTGGGTATCCCTTACCTGTTCCCAGAGTCGGTCAACCGACGAGATACCTTACCTCTGGGACCGTGTTGGTTTTGGCAGACACTGGTTCATTGCCGCCTAGTTTGCCTTGCTGCAGCAAAAAGAGGAGAGGTTACTCCCATGACAGTTGTTCGCTGAATACCAGATGAAACACTACAATACCTTGATAGCTGCTGCCAATAGGATTTTGAACCTGAACGTTTTTCTCTAGTAGAGGGTGGCTAGTAATAAGGTAGTTCAGTTCGGACAGTTTTTTGCTTCCCCCCGGGCAAGCACTATAGCCAGTATTCTCATGCAGTGCACACTTTTTGGTA